TGGCCAAAAAGCGTTTTTCTCTCTGACCGCTCTCCACGTTTAGCGTGCTCTCTCGGCGGCAAAGATCGTTCGATATCTCGGCGGCGCCTGCAAAGCGCGAGCTAAAACTTTCAGGAATTGATACTTACGAGGGAATGGTCTGAACTTCCCCCGGCGTTTGGCAAAATGACTAGTACAGGTGGATAGAGCAGGTAAAATTTGGTAAAAAGAGCCATTTCCCAGCTGCGGAATAAGCCCGGCCGACGTGAAAAATCGACCAAAAGTTCCACAAAAATTTCCTCTTTCTCTTCCCTCCGAAAAGAAGAGCGGTGTCCAATGGTTCGGTTGGCCGAGTGGATAAAGCGTCCGCTCGGTATTCTTTTGGGGGTTGGTTCGATTCCGGGGCAGCCCGAAGACCGAAGACTTTGGTGTGGAAGACCAAACTCTCATAAAACAAAAAAAATATTTTGCCATTTTTATACGTTTTATGGAACTATACCGAAAACACAGATAATCGTTAAAAAATGGTTTTTTTGGATTTTTCCAGACCTACAAATCGATGGAACGTCGAAGTCATACTCGTTTGGTCATACAAGGTATCCATCATCTCTTTTTGAAAAGGACCGTACCCCAATTTGTATTATTTAAAAGTTTTTTTTATAACCTATAAAACGTTTAAAAATGGCAAAATATTTTTTTTGTTTTATGTGAGTTTGGTATTGCCCACACCAAAGTCTTATTACGGCCCTTCGGGCTTCCCCGGAATCGAACCAACCCCCAAAAGAATATCGAGCGGATGCTTTATCCACTCGGCTAACCGAACCACTGAACGCCGCCCTTCTTTTCGGAAGGAAGAGAAAGAGGAAATTTTTGTGGAACTTTCGGTCGATTTTTCTCGTCGGCCGGGCTTATTCCGCAGCTGGAAAAGGGCTTTTTTTACCAAAGTTTACCTGCTCTATCCACCTGTACTAGTCATTTTGCCAAACGCCGGGGGAAGTTCAGACCATTCCCTCGTTAGTTCATGACCGACCTGTGTGCAAAATTTAAAGAAAATCTGAGCGTCGGACTTGGGGTACTTCCCTTGTTAAAAAATTGTGAAAATAAAATTGATTTTTTTTATAAAATTGTAAAAAAAAATAAAGTTATTTTTTATTATTTTTTTAAAGTAGAATTCCCACTAAACAAATGACGAATCAAGAATTCGAAGAATTTGACAAATTTTTTGAAAAACAAGGAAACTCATGGGTAGACTAAATTTCAAAAAAAAAGTTCATGTAACCGAACACCGTTACTATTGTGAGGGATTGCGTCAATCGGGATTGATCTTGAACGGATCAAGATTCAAATTTCGTATGTTGAAAAAATGTTTGTATGCTCTGTGAGATCGGGATGTAGAAAGAATTCTCTGGAAATAAAATTTTTTCCGACCACTGCGGCCGAGAGAGAACGAGGGGAGAGCGGTCACAGATATGGCCAGTTTTTGGCCATACCTGGGCCAGCTTCAAGCAAAAAGATTTTTTATGGAAACACGTTGCTCTATGCATTTAGAAAATAATATTTATGTAAAGAAATTTAAAAAAATTGATTTCAAGGTTAACAGGGGAAGCACTCCATAGGCGTCGCCGAGATATCGAACGATTTTTGCCGCCGAGAGAGCACGCTAAACGTGGAGAGCGGTCAGAGAGAAAAACGCTTTTTGGCCATAACTTTGGCAGTTTTGTGCGGAAAAGTCTGATTTTTTGTAGAAACATTATCCTTTACGGTAGAAATAGGCATGAAACTTTTCGTGCCGAAATTCGGCAAAAAGTCCTAAATTTTGGCCGACTTTCGATCTAAAAATCTCGGTTGTTTCTGCAAAGCGCGAGCTAGGATTCTCGCATATGTCTTATAAAAAATTATTCTAAATTTGTGCCAAGTTCCATCAAAATCTGAGCGTCGCACTTGGAGTACTTCCCCTGTAAATTTAAATTTAAAAAAATTTGCAAGATGTAAAATAACGTCACAAAGTTTACGGAGATTGAAAAAGGAGCCAAAAAATTTCCCATCGAATTTGTTTATTTCGAGAGCTCGTTTTGCAGACTAATTACATCCAAGAGCTTGCCAAAAACATCACATTCGATACATTTGTCATATTCTAGCCGTAAAGTTTGTAGTAGAAGTGCAGTTTTTACAGATATTTTTTCTGGCTAGTATAATTTTTTTATTTATTTTTCTTCATTGCTGATTGTGAAGAAATTTGAAAGAATTATGACAAAAAATTTTTTTTTAAATTAAGATTTTTTGTATGAGGTTTTGAAAAATTTTCCAAATTTTTTATCATCAAAATACCCAAAAAAATCGATATTTTTCAGAGTTTAAAAAACAGTCGATGTTAAAAATGACAAATCAAATTTTCGTGCAAAAATAACAGGCTACATAACCTTCAAAGTTAATGTAAAAAATAATCCAACCCACTTTTATTTTGGCTATTTTTAAATCTGATCTAACAGGGGAAGTACTCCAAGTGCGACGCTCAGATTTTGATGATACTTGGCACAAATTTAGAATAATTTTTTCTAAGATATATGCGGGAATCCTAGCCCGCGCTTTGCAGAAACAACCGAGATTTTTAGATCGAAAGTCGGCGAAAATTTAGGACTTTTTGAAGAATTTCGGCACGAAAATTTTCATGCCTATTTCTACCGTAAAGGATAATATTTCTGCAAAAAATCAAATTTTTCCGCACGAAACTGCCAAAGTTATGGCCAAAAGCGCTTTTCTCTCTGACCGCTCTCCACGTTAGCGTGCTCTCTCGGCGGCAAAAATCGTTCGATATCTCGGCGGCGCACGGAAAGCGCGAGCTAAAACTTTGAGGAATTGATTTTTGGTCCATACCCAACGTGTGTGCAAAACTTAAAGAAAATCTGAGCGTCGCACTTGGAGTACTTCCCCTGTAAGTCTCTCTGCTACTACTGGTCTATGCAATTGCTGATGGTCTGTTTTGTCACATTTGCAGAACCTTCTCTTTTTCATAAACCTAACTTTTTACGTCATCAAAATTCTGGTGATGTCTGAGATTCCCAACAAATTTTTAACCGATTTTTGGAACTTCCCTGAGCAGTGTTGTCTCTGAAGTTCACGTCATCATTTTCCCGACATTCTCGGATTTTTTCTCCCTTCCCAGACGTGTCCAATCGTTTTTATCTCCTTTTCTACTCATCAACAAGTTCAAGTGAGCGTCGAAACATTTTTTTCGCCCCATTCTGGCTTCAAATTACAGTATTCCCGCGTTTCCCGGAAGCTTCAAGGCGAACGGACGTACCTGTCAACGAATCTGTGCCTGGGAATGTCTCGTCTTACGTCAATCGCGTCAAGTGGGGTTTCGTCTCGACCTTTCGCTCGACCCCTCCTCCCCCCACAATTCGATCCCTCCGCTTGTGTTCTTGAAGGGGGGATTCGATTCGGCCCCCAAGGCTTTTCTTTGAGTGCATTTGGGAATTCATAAATTTACGGCTGGGGGCCCGCCTTTTAATTTATACTTTTGCAACAAAATGAAGTGTTTTCTGATCACAACTGCCACTCGTCTCGAGCGTGTGATGGCGGAGGTTTTAATTGACCTCCGCCGAGACGGGGCATTGGAATGTGGAGAGGGGTAATTGTAGGTGATGTTAGAGAGTCTTAGTAGAAACAGCAGGAATTTAGACGGTGAAAACTATAAGTTTGATAAATCAAATTTATAAAGGAGGTACCCTAAGAGCAACGCTTGGGTTTTCTTTAAATTTTTGACGAATTTCAGGCATAGGCCAGATACAGATTCCTGAAGATTTTAGCTTGCGCTTAGCAGGGACAGTCTAGGTATTCAGTGAGTTTTGCGGCAGACAGAGTACGCTGAAAAAGCACCTGGCTCTTCAGGCGGCCAATCAGATGTTACAGTCTTCAATTTGCCCTCACTAGCCGCTGTAGCCGTTATGTCATCAGCGCTAGGGTCATGATAGAGACGATACAGACTTTTTTGTCACCTATAGTGGCGGACCTGCTCCACTGGCAAAAAACGTATAATTTTGGATCCGGGAAGTATCAAAAATGCAGCAAAATGCCTCCCCCTCCAAGTGGAAATACTCCGATTTCAAAAGCGCGCTCGCTCTTTTTGTGAGGGAAGGGTTTCAAAACGGAGTTTTTTTATTGTAGCGGGAGGTATTTTGCCACATTTTTGATACTTCCCGGATGCAAAATTATAAGCTTATTGCCATTGTATCAGGTCCCCTACTGTCATCGCCTTAAAAGAATTTTTTTTTGAAAAATGCGATCTCACCATCGCATTGCACGTCACACTGCCCAGGGTGGAAATATTAAGCTTCTGAAATAATTTTCAACCGTTTCAGTCCTATGGAAAGTGACCTACAACTTTTATTTTTATAAATTATCACCCAATACACACCTTTTAAATCATCCTGGTGATCTTCTGCACTATGAGCCTCTTTTCTTTGTCATTTTTTTCCACTCACTTCATTCTAACGTCTATATCTTGTGGCCAGCGCAAAACACTTGAAATGTGTGGGTGCACACGACTTGATGAGAGCATTTTCAGCGAAAAAACATTGTTTTTTTGAACCCTTGCAGATCAACTTTGAGTTAAAAGAAGGTCTTGATGACAAAAACATTAGCTGCGTTTAGGACACGGAGAAGCGATCTTCGAACAAAGGAAAGGTTAGATTTTGCAGAAAAAATAAATTTTTGGCTTTCTGGCCTAATTTACGCCGAAAGTTTGAGCTATGAGACTTAATCTTACAGTATACTCTTTGTTCTACATTTTCCAGACACCTCATTCAATTTACGACAAATTTTTGACCACGTGTTCGAAAAATCACGCCTCGTGCTTCACTCTGAGAATTCATTTGTTTATTCCGCGAACTTTTACACTTGATTCCGAGCGTCAAACCGCCTCCGGGTGACTTCTCAAATTTCACTAATTTCGTTGCATTTTCAGACAAATCAAAATCCCCGAAACTGCCAGACTTTTCGTTATTTATAACCAACTTTCAATGATCTTAATGGAGCTCGAGCGTGCCCATGGTCTTGAGGACCGTCGCGTTCGTCAGGAAGAGCATGCCGCTGTTGTGATTCAGGTAAGTGAGATGGACATTGGTGGGGAGTATTTGGCTTAAATTTACTTTGGAAGTGTTGCAAGTGCGACGTACAAATTCTCTTTAAATTTTGCATTCATTTGGGGGATATCTCACACATAAATTCCTGAGAGTTTTAGCTCGCGTTTTGCAGGCACAGCCGAGATATTCTTTTCGCGGCTGAGGGAGTATTAGAAACGTGGACTGGTCAGATCTTTGTCAGCTTCGTGCGAAAAAAGTTATTTTTTTATAGAAAAATTACCCTCATTATGTAAGAAATAACCGCGAAGATTTTCATGTAAAAATTTAGAAAAAAGTCTTGCATTTTTGCCAACTTCCAACCTAAAAATCTCGGTCATTCCTGTAGCACGAAGCAAGGAGCTTGGCATGTCTTACAATTCGCAAACTTTATTTCAAATTTTTGCCAATTTACACCAAAATTTAGGCGTCGCACTTGGACCACTTCCCTTGTTAGTTGGGCTTTTGTTTTTTATACCCCTATGACTGTAACTCCTTTAACTTTCCTTTTTCTATCTAGCGCTTCTACCGGGCCCAACGTGGGATCCGCCAACAGCGTTTGGAGCATGCTGCGGTGGTTTTGCAGGTTAGTTTGGCTTCGATTTTCACTAATAAACCTCTTGGTTCGCTGTATTCTTTTCTTTTACATTTAATTTGTGTTTTGAACCTCTTTAGTTGGCGTTGTGATACAAAAGAAAATTTCAATGAAGCCATCGTATTTTACAACAAAACAGTATACATTAGAAGTTAGTATAGATGCAATTATCGTATCTAACGGCAAGAAACTTCTGCAAACTCAAAATAAACACTCTTTTCTGTTACTAAACAATTTTCCCTTTGCCTTCGAAAGACGTTGGTCTAATAAACAAATTTCAGAGCCATATTCGCCGTTTCTTGGCCATGCGGAGATACGAGCGTCTTCGCCACATGTACACATCAGGCCGTCCCATCGACGAACAAGCGCTGCGTGAGGGCGCCGAGGCCGATCAAAAAGAGGCCGAGGAGTTTCTGAGGGCCGTTATCGGGAATCCCGAGAAGCTGGAGGCGTTGGATCGGGAGCAAAAGTTGCAAAAGATCTACAGAAGAAGCGAGGACCGGGCTGCGACCAAAATTCAGGTGAGAATTTTGATATGAAGCTGTTTAGGGGGCTTAAACTTGATATGACGGTACTAAAGCTGCAGTGGTTTGATTTGCTTATGTTCAGCGATGTTATCAGACAAGAGAATGCGTGGAATGAGGAGGGCCTTTTAGAGACTTTTATCAAAGTTTTCACACGCTTCAGGCATAAGCTACATATCAATTCAGAAACGAAAAAAAAATATATAATATATAAAATTTAGCTTGCGCTTTGCATGGGCATCAAATATATTCAACGAGCGGAAACTTGGAGGGACATTCGACCTAGAAATCTCCGGCGTTTCTGCAAAGCGCGCGTTTGAAATCTCCCATGTGTCTTACAAAAGAATAAGCTAAGCTTCTACCAAATGTCATCAAAATTTGACCGTTGCACTTCAAGCATATCACACTTATTTTTTGATTATTATTATTGCTCCAAACTTCGTTAGACTCCATATTTTTACCGCCGCTATTTGCAAACATTGATAAGCACCACCGTCGGACATTTCGTTTGCTTTGGGCACTTTACGAGCATTCCGAACACCCCCATCTACGTCATCATTTTTGTATGCCCTTTTGACCTTTCAAAAATAAAAAAATCTAAAAAAAATTCTCAAAACATTTACGAGTTTTGCGAACCTTTTAGCCTCTGACGTCGTGCTCTAGCGGGGCCTTAAAAATAGCCGTTATCTTTACTATTTTTACTCTGTTTATATGAGTGGAGAGGCGATGGATCGAGTCCATTGCGTACGTCAGCGAGCGTCAGTTGTCCTGTGTTCCCGTGAAGCGGAGAACTGGAAATTTTGACATTCCCTGAGACAAGGGTCGACCTTCCGTCATAATTGACAGACAGCGCCTTCGGGGATGAACGGCAATTTTGCAAACTCCGCATTTTTTAGCACTATTTCTATTCTTTTCCGGAATTTTGGCCTTAAATTTTGAATTACTCGAATAATATTAGATCAAACAAGAGAATGTGTGAATTGAGGGTGCTGCCGTAGATCAAGATATGACAAATCGACCGGCGTCAGGCGGGGAGCGACAGGTCCAATGAATCACGTAAATAGAAGGGTGGAATTGGGACTCGTTTTTGATATAATCGCATTTTAAAAGACCTTCGTTTTGTGGGGATCTGGGTCGAAAACAAATAACAATTTCGGTGCTTTAGGAACAGAGGGATACGTTTCAGATAGGCAGTGTCGAAGGGCGACGCTGAGGCGTTGATGATACATAGTTCATGTGAAAAGTAATTTTGTTTTATATTGTCACGGTGTTTTGCGAATTTTAACATATATAGATTCATGCCTATTTCTACTGTAGAGAGTAATGTTCCCACGATAAAATCAATTTTTTTCGCGCGAAGCTGGCAAAGATATGGACCAAAAGTTTTCTTCTCTCTGACAGCTCTCCGCTTTTTGTGTACTCTCTTGGCGGCAAAGGCCATAGAATATCAAGGCCACCCCTGCAAAGCGTGAGCTAAAATTTTGAGCAATTGATATGTTGCCTATGCTCGAAATGTATGTAAAATTGAAAGGGATCCCGAGAGTTGCATTAGTGGCACCCAACAAGTCTAAAACATGGCACTAGGCAATATTTTTCCACGGAATTTGCGGCATCTTTAGCACACGCTTTGCAAAAATTCACGAAAGATATTTTGATGTCGAGCACTTTGCTTCAATATAGCAATCCAAAAGATACTGCTTATACTTTTTTAACTGACAGATCTCGCCCTAGTTTCCATAATCTCTAGCCTCCAAAGACCGCTGAAAACGTCATACAAATGCTTGTTGAAATTCTCGGGAATAAAAACGTGGCTTATGCTGCAAAGTTATCAAAATTTTGATGACAATCTACCACTGGGTCTCGGGCATTTTTTTTTGCGAATATTGATCAATTTTACTCTATAATAAACTTTCTATTTTCAGCGATTCTACCGTAGCCAACGTCAGCAAAAACTCGACAAAGCCGCCATCGTTCTTCAAGTAAGTTTTAGCATTTTTTATCATTTTTTCATTACTTTCTTCATCTCTATTTCCCACTTGATCCAAAAATTTCGTAATGATCGACAGGCGATCTAAGATCAGGTCTTATTTTTTAGCTCATCGGATCATTAGTGAGCAAAATCTCGAGCCTCATTCGAAATTAGACAAATAAAGGGAAAAACAAATAGGTTGGCTCTTAAAAACGCTTCTAAAGTTTGCTTCCTTCAACTGAAGAGGGGTTTATTTCAGGTTGCATTTTGGTGAAAGGGTTGTTTTGATTTCGAAACGAGATTACTGGGATTTTTCGGAGATTTTCGGCGCGTCGGGGAAGTAATCCAAGACGCTCGGGTTTTGATAAAACCTGGCAAAAATTTAGAATACTTTTCTATATGACATATCTGAAGTTCACAGCTCGCGCTTTGCAGAAATGACCGAGATTTTTAGGTCCAATATTAAGATTTTTAGGAAGTATCAAAAATACAGCAAAATGACTCACTCTCCAAGTGAAAAGGTCCGCCACTGTAGCTTACAGTTCAAACGTTACAAGTATGACACTTGATTTTGATGAAACTTGGAACAAATTTTAATCCGTTTTTTACAACTTGGCCATTGGAGCAACCGATAATTTTATGTCAAAATCTGAAAAAAATGTAACACTCTTTTTGCGAATTTTGGCATCAAAGTTCTTCCACCTATTTCTACTGTAGAGAGAAATGTTTCCACAAAAAATCAATTTTTTCCGCACGGAATTGACAAAGATACGGCCAAAAACACTCTTTTCTCTGACCACTCTCCGCATTTTCCATACTCTCTCGGCCGTTAAATATCTCGGCTCTCCCTGCAAAGCATGGGCTAAAATTTTCAGTATTTGCTATATGGCCTACCCCTAAAATCTGTGCAAAATTTAAGGAAAATCTGGACGCCGCACTCGGTGTACTGCGCTTGTCAAAACAATATACCTGTACTTTTGTTAAAGGGTATTCAATTGTATTTCCCGCTCCCATTCACGTCTCACTTCCTCATTCGACTGTTTTGTTCGGCTCTGCGATTGTTTGGGGATGCCGAAAATACCTTTTGAACCTATTATCTCCCAATTTCAGAGCCATATTCGCCGTTTTCTGGCCGTCCGCCGCTATAATCGAATGAAAACCGCTCGATTGGAGCACATTCAACCCAGAATGGTAGGAGTTTTTGACTTTACATTTGTCTGCCGCGACCTGGCGAGCTCTATTTTTTGTTCTGAACGTTTACGCGAAAAAAATTCGGAATTTTTGAAAAATTGAATAAAAATGTTTTAATTTTCCAGGCCGTTGAGATCCGTGTAACCCCTCCCGCCGAAGACCTGCCCACCTCCACCGAATCCCGCCTAATCCCCGACGCCGAAGTGGAAGAGGCCGCGAAGAAGATCCAAAAGTTCTATCGACTCCACCGCAACGACATGCATCGCCGTCTCAACCAAGCCGCCACTGTTATACAGTCCTACATTCGCCGGTATTTGGCTATGAAACGGGTCGAACGCATGAGACTGGCCATTGAGGCGGAGAAAAATGCGGCGACGGCGCATTCAGATATGACCCCGGAGAAAGCCGCCACCAAAATTCAGGTGGGATTTGAATTATAATAAAAAATTTTTTTGTGATTTTTTAAATTTCTATCATTCCGTCGGGAAAATAATGTGGACTCATATCGCCTTTAAATCGCCCTTTGCGACGGCTCTCAGCGGCTGGAGATTAGGTGCGCTAGAGGCGAGAAATTTTACTCCGACGAATCCACATTATTTTCCCGACAGGCTGATATTGGCTTGTAGCTGAGTTATCGCCATAAAATTTGAGGTACAAAAATGCGTCAAAAAAGCAAAATTTTTTATTCTTCAAAAGTTCAAAAAATTTGCATAATTCTAATTTTTTCATAATTGAATTTGGAAATTTGCATAAAAAAATTTAAAATTGACTAATTTTTGTATAAAATACGACAAAAGTATGCAAATTTTAATTTCACGGAAATTTTGTAAAATTTGCATAATTTTGAATTTTCCAAAAAAATTAATTTTTTTTAGATTTTGAAGGCTCATTAAATAAAAATGTTTTTTTCAAAAAAAATCAAAAAAAAATTTTTTTTTCAAAATTACCCAAAAAACCATTTCAGAGTGTATGGCGAGGGTTCGCAACGCGCAGAAGACTGAGCAACACCGATCCGCTGCAGGCCCAAGACCCCAATCGGCCCAATTCCTCCACATAACCCGTTCTCAGAGAGCGCCCCACAACAGCAAAGAATAATCTACGTGTAATCTAATAACTACTATTATGAAGTGACTTTTGGGTCGGTCGGTTTGTCATGTTAGGTTAGGCATACGTTCCATGAAAATTACAGTAGTTTTTGATCAAAAATACAGTGATGAAAATAAAAAAAAAAACGCAAAAATGATGATAAAAAAGTGTGCGTAGATATGACAGACTGACCGAGCCTTCTTGAAATTACTCCTCGATTACTGTGAACAATGAAATATCATAATAAATCTATAACTGTTGAAATTACGGGGGTAGAAGACCTCACAAACCAAGGAGGAAATTTCAAAAAATGATCTCTGAATTTTACTGGCAGTTATCGCTGTTTGATCACTTTGAGGTCAAACTATTTTTTAGTGTCTGATTTCTAAGGAAATCTGAAGTGAAAGCGATAACAAAGTGCCAAAAACAAGTGAGAAAACATATTTTTTGAGGCTAGAAAATGAAAACTCCTTGATCATCAGAATGTGGTACACAAAAGAGTGTTTTCTCTATGATACACTCTGCTCTTACGCAATTTATTTTACAGGGGAAGTACTCCAAGTGCGACGCTCAGATTTTCTTTAAATTTTGCACAAACGTCGGGTATGGACCAAATATCAATTCCTGAAAGTTTTAGCTCGCGCTTTGCGGGCGCCGCCGAGATATCGAACGTTTTTTGCCGCCGAGAGAGAACGCTAAACGTGGAGAACGGTAAGAGAGAAAACACCTTTTTGGCCATAACTTTGGCAGTTTCATGCGGAAAATTTTGATTTTTTACAAAAACATTATTGTTTACGGTAGAAATAGGCACGATTCATGCCAAAATTCGGCAAAAAGTCCTGAATTTTCGCCGACTTTCGATCTAAAAATCTCGGTTGTTTCTGCAAAGCGCGAACTAGGATTCTGGCATATATCATAGAAAAAACTATTCTAAATTTGTGCCAAATCTCATCAAAATCTGAGAGTCGCACTTGGAGTACTTCCCCTGTTAATCAAGAGATTTCTTACAAAAATTAATCATTAGGTTTCCTTGCCTTGACGTCTCATCCATTTTCAGAGGAGATCTCGTCGTATAAAACGGTTGATACGTGACTGATACCATGTATATATGTAAGCGTTGTCTGATTAGCACATAATTATTGATATCACGGATTTTGAAGGGACTTTAAGGATTTTGTAAAGCTGTAAAAATTCAGAAATGTTGGGATTTTTCAAAGGGCGAGGCTGCACAAATTTTGGGTCCTTTGTAGAAGTGAGTAGGCTTGTCAGAATCTGCAAGATTTAAACTTCTTTGTATTATATTTCAAAACTTTTATCTTCTCCATCCATAAAAATGCAGACTCGCAACTTTTCGGACAAAGCTTGAGGCTAAACTCCACCGCATTTTCTTCCATTTTCATGCCAATACACGTCTTCTTTTGTGGCCAGACTTGCGACAATCGAAGCACCCAACAGAAGGTTCTCGAACAGCTCAAACTTCCAACATATCATTTCCGGGAATCCCCCATCACGTACCGTACGTTGCTGCTTACACTTTGCTCTTCACCTCCCTGCAAGCACACGCTTATCAGGTGTTGTTTGAAAGTGAAGACGATTATGACAGGGCCTCAACCTCTCAACCCGGGACCCAAAAATATTTCAAAGGCCGAATGCCGACACAGACCGCATTCTTGCCGCAAATTCCACGACATTTTTTTGTCGTGTTCAGCGGTTTGGAACGTTGGGACGAAAGATTTGCGGTCGGGTTTCAAATTGTCCTTGGAATCGGGTCGATCAGTCGAGGCCAAAGTTTTGCAAGCTCAGCGAATTTGCATGACTTGGAGCCTCTTATCGGCGTTGATACGGGCTTTGAGAGGCCTGATTTTTGCTGATAGTGAGGTGTGAGTCTAATGAACCAAAGTATTTTTTGTAAGCGGATTTTAAATCAGAGACTCTTTGATTAAGGTCCCGAGACGAAAGTCTTTTTGACTTATTAGAAGCTAGAAATGAAGAAATAGTTTTTATTATCTTTGCTCTGCTTTGCAATACACATATGTATGTATTTATACGTTCCTGTGCCATAACAAAAAAGTGAAAAAGTCAAAGGCGATGGTCATAAAGTTTACAGCCTTATCTGCCCATTCGTTTACTTTGTTATCTTTGACAACGTCCCTAAATTGCAAACTGCAATAAAAAAGGCGACCGCCTTTTATGTACTGCCGCTTTCTACGGTCAGAGTGATATGAGAATCCAATTTTTTAATAGAGGAGTATGACGTGTATGTTTTTTGGTCGTCATGAACTCAAATGCTCAATGACGTCTCTTGTAAAGGTATTTTTAAAAACCAATTTTACATTTATTGAGGCATAAAATTTTTTTGATCAAGAGGAACTATGCCTTGGGACTGGCTAAGAATGGATCATATGCGACGTAGGCTGTATAAAAATGTCTTGAAGCACCATGAAAAGAAATATTTATAAACCTTCTTTAAACGCATAAGGTTAATAGGGTTGCAAGGGAAAAGCCCAAAGTTTCTTGAAATGAAAAATCTTGTGCCTACTTCTACCGTAGATGTTTCGACAAATAATTAATTTACGGTGCGCGAAACAAGCAAAGTTATGGCAAAAAATGTCTTTTTTCTGCATGATCGCGGCAGAGATTGTTGAAAATCACGGGCAGGAACTTTCGGGGATTGATGTTGACAACGCCCGAAGTGTAACGGAGATTCCTTGGGTACATGTTCGGATCAGCCAACATTTGCTTACAACAGGAAGCTCTACCGATGAATTTGGCATTTAGATATTGCGAATACGTTTTCTGGAGTATAGGTGGCTTAAATACTTACCGTAAGGTAAAATCGGCAAATACCGGCTTTCCCCAAAGTGATCAGCAAGCGTCGCGATGCCGCCTACTTACCCGCAAACTATGGACCTTTAATGCAAGCTCAAATCACAAGACTTGTAACATGTAGTTTCAGGAAAGTCAAGTCTAAAATTAACCCTACAGATCACTTCAATTTTCTCAACTTTAATTAGAATGGCCTTCGCAATTAGACCCCTTTACTGTCAACCCAACAAAAAAAGGAACATAAAATTAAGTCGCCTTTTTTGCACACGGAATATTCCACTAGTATAGCGTGATTTTGTAGTCTAGACTTTAACAGAAAGGCAAGTGAATCACGAGCTTCACATCGACTTTTAAAAATTGTCCGTTGCCTTTCAAACTGAGCGCTTAAAACCAGCCGTTTTTTCGATTTACAAACTGTTTTCGCGAAAAATTCGGTCGCTTTATCAGGGTCTTTGGTGGTTTTTATGTACCGACTTGTTGTTGTAGTCCGCCGGCTCCCGAAATTCTTATCTTTCGCTTGTCTGAACGCGTTTTCATGAGCAAAACAAGAGATGAGTGCTCAATTTTTTGGGTGCAAATTACGTTTGGAAATTTTGAGAGGCTTTGGGGAGTGTTTTTGATGCTGAAATTACAGTATGTTATAGATAATGTTATTGATTTTTCAATCTTTGGATGTTGTCTCAAAACGCCATTGATCTTGTTGACAAACAGCAAAACTTTTACATTGATTAGGGTTCAAAGGTTAGACAATTTCTTTCCAAATCTTTGTTGTGACCTTGTCCTTTCATCTTGACAGTTTTCAACTCCAAAAAAATAAACAAAACTCGGCATTATCGACGGGTTATCTCTCTCACTCTCATTTTGGTCGGACCCAAAACAAAGGCGGCTTCGAATCTCGTCGAGAGGCTTCTCAAGCACCGACTTATCAAGTTCATAAGCCTCGCGAATTGATAACATTAGAAGGGGTTGCCCTGCTTATTTTCAACGAAAGTCGAGTTGAGGGTGAGGCGAGAGTTTTGGAGCGGGGAAATTGCTGGAGAATTCCTCAACTGTTTCAAGGTTGAGGAGGGAAAGTTGCGTGTGTTCTGGGGCGGAGTTGAAGCGTAGATGGGAGAATCTTGACAGAATGTTGTTGAAAACATAGGAAGTAAGGGATACTGTAGTGATGGGGTGGTAGTAAGTGAGAGTCATGATTTTTGACTGGCTTGTAATGCAAGGATTGCGTTGTAACCCGAATTCCTAGGAAGTTCTCTTGCGATGACTTGGAATGTGTACAAAATAATCATCAAATAATGCTAACTAGCATCCCTAGTGGGCGCTGAGACAAAAAAAAGGTCTAAATGCGCGTAGTTGACATTGTAGGCCAGAACCGTCAACCAAAATAATCAAAAAACGAGTTCATGTAGTTGTAAGCTTGCGTGGGTGAGAGGAAATGCCAAGACCGTCTGAAAGACATACCAGGTGCCTTCAGCAGCATCCAAGAATATATCATTGACGTCTTAGCCGATATTTTTGCCCCCCAAAACGTTAATGATGTCAAATCTAACTTCATGTAGCATTTGCATGCTCCTAATAGTCTTCGATTATTTTCCCCAGCCATCCAGAATTTCACTTTTCTGTATCGGCCCCTTCTTCCCTCAAGATTTGATGTTTGTTCGCGGCAACATTCTACATTAAACTTACTAACTTCTGTTTCTCTTTAGAATACCTCTTAGTATCAATACAAAAATCGTCGACATGCATTGTCTACACGGATTGGCTTTTCTGGCCTTCTTCGGCTGCATGTGTACAGTAGAAGCGTTCCGAGTGCAAGGAGTTGCGGCAAAAGGACGGCTGAAGTGCAATGGCCGTCCATTGGTCGACGCGTTGGTTTCGATTTACGACAAGGACCGATGTAAGTGCACCTCTGTCTTAATTTTCTTTATGTCTGGTTTTTGCGCCCAATAGGGCAAAACTAAAAGTTACTATCCCCAAAAAAGTTGCGTTTTGATATGTTTTGGTCACAAAATTAGATGTAAAAACAGTGGGAAATTCCCCAGTAGTCAGATTGTCATATCAACAAGCCTCTCCCTACTGCTTTTCCCTAACCTCCTTATCAGGATTTTCGGGATTGTAAACAGACCGTGACCTTTATCAATTTGCAGTCCCCTTTGACAGCGACGAGCTGCTCGACCAGGAATTGACAGACGAGATCGGCGCCTTCTTCCTGGACGGTACAACCCGCGAGCTGACAAACATCGAGCCCGAACTGCGGATCGTCCACAACTGCACAAATGGCGGAGAGCCGGTGAGTTGAGGGGGTAAACATTTGGGGTAGACTACATTTGAGGAGGCAATGGGAAGAAACGGTAGATAATTCTATGGGAAAAATGGCTGATGCTTTGTAAAAAAGGAGGTAAACAATTTTGTTGGAACGCATAGTCATCTCTGCAAAAATTTACTTCCGTTTTGCAAGCACAGTTGAGAGAGTCAACAGTTATTAATCTGCCGGGAAAATAATGAGGTCAATGTTGCTGAGCCGGTCTTGTCGCTGAAGTGAAAAGATGTTCAATTTTGCCGCGGTACAATTCATTTTTCTATGCGATTTTTGATGCGACAGAATGCCCATTATTTTCTCGACAGATAATTACGGATGTTTTGCATCCATATTAAATATATATTTCATTCTATTCGAAAATATATCATCAATTTCTTTTAGTCAAACTTTGCCATTTGGATGACTATCCCGCTGGCTTTTTCTTCCTTAAATTCCAATGTCCTAGGGCTCAAAACAACACCAGTTTTCAGATCACAATCTTCCACACATTTACAGCTCTAACGCATCCGCCTTTTCAGCATTGCCGCCGCTACCTCGTCGTCCCAATCGACTCATATTTCATTCACAGCGGAGACGCCGAAGTGGTCTATGATTTCGGCGTTCAGGACCTCTCCATCAACGGTGGGGAGATGAGATGCCGGAGTCATGGACTGAAGTAGACTGGCCCGCCGACGCAGATGGTTGTCGAATTCGAAACGCGATCAGATATACAGGCATTTCGCGGCGCCGGCAGAGATCGCCGGCACGGTGCACAGTCGGATCGACGACCGACATATTCATATTTGTCGTTAATAGCATAACCAATTTTTCATGAAAACCTTGTTCAAGATAAAATATAAATTTTTTCACGCTGTAATGGTAAAAATACGATCGAAAAAAGACGTGGTAAATGATTGCATTTATGTTCCCAATAGATAAAACTTATTGACGTTTCTGCCAATCGATATCTTTCAATCTCGGTGCTGCAACACTCTTCAGCGTAACTTCGCCCCCAGGCAGATACATGGCTATCCTCACAACTCCGTCATAGCCCCATTTACTTCCCCACGAGTTTCTTGCCAACCAATACGGCGTACTCTCTTCTTCGTTCCAGCCAATCAGCTTGAGCGATTGTTGGCCAAGAACGAGGGCGTTGAAATTGGGCTAAAAATTGAGGGAACATTGCACTGCAAAGCGATTACTTACAATATAAATACCACCCGGATACGTCACCAACGCTGCTTGCAGATCGATGGTAAAAGCCATCGGGCCAAAGTGCATTAATTCCTGTTTGATGAGGTCAATGTTTCCTTTGATTTCCACTAATTCACTGCCTCTTATAACGCCGGATTCTATAGGCTCAAAATCACATTTTTCTTTGCATGTTGGAAGACTCCCCCAATAACCGCCTTTGCACGGATGCCACGCTAAAAATGCAGAAAGAACGTCACGGAATAAGATACAGGCTGGGTGGGAAAAGGTGATACGTCTTGTTTTAGGAATAACCAGGGATTGCAACGGCTCCGAAGCCGGTTCTTTGCATTTTTGGAAATTATTTTTAATTATTTTGAGCCGGAGCTGAAAATTTTGTCTCGGCTCCGGTTCTGGGAGCTAAGAGCCGGAGCAGTAGCCGAAATTTTGGCCGTGGCAACCTCTGGTCATAACTTAGCAACCAATGGACTGTTTGATGTAAATCAAACATCAAACTACTTCTTATGACACTGACTTTTTACTGATACAACTTTTAATATTCACCATGCCTTAGGGCTTTTCTAATCTGAGTTTTTCAATGGCACATAAGAAAATCTCGAAGAAGGGCTTCGTCTTACAATAGGCTCGTTTCGGCTTAAACGTGACTACCCTGTAAAGTTGATCGTTATAGCAAAGTCCTGCTTTCTAGGAGTCCATTTTACAAAGGTTACACCGTATTATATACAATAACATTTAACGTACGAAGGGTCACAGTGTCATCGTTGAAAGCTTTGCACTCCGGGTAATCAGGGAAGCATTTGGTCTGGTTCTTCAAGTAAGTCTTAACCCCGCGGTACGTCCAATGAAGAAATGCCCTCCGTACTGTCGCTGAGTAGTCGTAACAACTGAAATCATTGAACATTGCCAGGATGAAACCTCGGAACTGAAGCTTAGAAAAGGCTTCACTGTCTTCGGGAAGCAAAGTCTGATCCAGACCGGAGTAATTCTTCTTTTCCGTGCGGAAGGGCGATGTTCCTTACGAAAAGCGTGCTTATTCCGGCTGTTCCTCCCCATTCCGCATGCAAAGAAAACCGTAGAATATGTCAATAAAGGCAGGCGGACACTTGCGGGCAACACGTTGTGGACAGCCAAGAAGAACCATGGAGATTCCGCGAGCACGGTTGGAAAGCAGCAATCATTTGCCAATACCAATTTTGTTGAAAACAAACAACCATAACTCATACTACTTACAGCGGAAGTACTCCAAGTGCGGCGCTCAGATTTTGATGAAACTTGTCACAAATTTAGAATAATTTTTTCTAAGAAATATGCGAGAATCCTAGCTCGCGCTTTGCAGAAACAACCGAGATTTTTAGATCGAAAGTCGGCGAAAATTTAGGACTTTTTGCCGAATTTCGGCACGAAAAGTTAGTTTCAAGCCTATCTCTACCGTAAACAATAATGTTTCTATAAAAAATAAAATTTTTCCGCACGAAACTGCCAAATTTATGGCCAAAAAGCGTTTTTCTCTCTGACCGCTCACCACGTTTAGCGTGCTCTCTCGGCGGCAAAAATCGTTCGATATCTCGGCGGCGCCCGCAAAGCGCGAGCTAAAACTTTCAGGAATTGATTTTTAGTCCATTCCCGACGTGTGTGAAAAATTGAAAGAAAATCTAGAGTACTTCCCCTGTTAGGTTACGGTAGAAAAATATAAGTTTTAATTGGAAAATGACGGCTGCCCGCATAGTGGCTGCCCGCAATTATCGCGACGTCCTGACAAATGCGAGCTGTAATCTTTTGTCCGGTACTTTTTGGTCCGGCAAGTTGAATGTATAATATTAGCAACAGAAAAACAAATTTAGTTCTAACGGAGTTTGCCATAACGGAAAAAAGTCTTACTAACGTAAGACGGAACAAATGAAGGGGAAATGTGCTGCAAATGTTCCAACTGACGACCAGATTAATGCTGCACTAAATTTCACATACCCTGCCATACAACCCTTGCAACATGCCAAGATATCCATGCCACTGACTTCCACATCTGCGTTTGTAGTCATCATGCATAATCGATCTGATAACACACTAGCCGCTTGGATCGCCCACGAATTCAGACAGAGACCTGGAGTTATAAAGAGATTAGTAATAATCGGAAAAAAGCATGTCGTACGTTAAGCTGAGGAATCCGGTGAGCGGAATAGACACTTCGCTATCGGTTTTTACACTTCATCTTGATTTCACAGAGAAGTCAGAGAAAAGGCGCGCAAAAACCTACTCTCTCGCCCCAAAAATTCCCCATTTCTTCCTCGACAAAAAGTTTTTCGCGGCGAATTGCCAATCCGTTCACCGGACGGTTTTAGATTGCCTCAGGTTGACGTGCGTCGTAGCTCTTGCGGGCAACACTTTGCAGGAATTTACGATTACGATTTTTCTACCGTAATCTACGAAATATAACAGAAAGTTTGCATTGGTAACTCCGTGTAGTTAAGCACCCGAATCTATTGAACTTATCTACTGCCTTCAAATTAAAAATGCCTGATTAAAATCGTATGGAAACTATTCAAGAAATGTTGGCTGATTTCCGAAAATGCCCTCAATCCAAAATGGAAGAAAAGATTTCCCGTCCCTTTTTGGTGATTCGTTCAAAACGAAATGTCACTATCCGATTAAACGCATTTTCTTATCTTTATCCTTCCTTTTCGAGAAAAAACAATTATTTCCGGCGAGAAAAGGTGCCGATAATTTCGCGAAATTTCGTCTCTTTTGTAAATCAATGAAAACGACACGAAGTTTCGAAACGGTTCGGGAAATGCGCTGGATTGACGCACGTCAAACTGAGGAGTCCGGTGACCGGAATAGACTCTTCGCTATCGGTTTTTTACACTTCGTCTTGATTTCGCAGAGATAGAGAGAAAAAAGACACGCAAAAACGTACTCTCTCGCCCCAAAAAATTCCCCATTTCTTCTCCGACAAAACGATTTTTCGCGTCTTTTTTTGGCAAACCGCCAATCCATTCACCGGACTGTTTTAGCTTATCTCAGTTTGACGCGTGACGTGCCGCAGAATCTTCGTGGCTCTTTTTGCTGCCCACAAAGTGGTTGCCCGCAAGTGCCGGGTCACAGAACAAGAACGCCAAAAAGATCTTTTCACTTTGACTTTGCACTTGTTTTATCCGACTTCCACATCCGGCATGATCTCGCAGATCGAACTTTTTTGGGACCTCATCTGCAGAGCATAGAGCAAATATAACAAAAATTATTAGTAATTGCATTTCCGCGGAGAAATAATCATTGTTCAATATTAATTTTTCACTGACTAAAAGTTTTAGAGACTGCTCCTGCGGAAATGATAAGGAAATGAAGAAATGGAATATAAAAAGTTATGTCGATTACCAACAACAGGGCATTGGAATTTTTATTAAAAAAATTTTGGGATACGTCCATGAGTCGCCCATCTTTGAGGGTCAGCCTCATGTCTAACACAGGGATGAAGGAAGAGATAATGAAGCCAATAATTTCTGGTCACCGGTGGATACTCCAATTTAGAGGATTTTAATATTTTCAGGTTGGTTTTTCGGCTTTTACGCAACTTTTTTTGAAGACTTGCGCAAAAACCGACGAATTTTAGATGGATCTTAAGACATACAATAATAAAATTAAACTGGACAAAGAAGACAACTAGAAAACCACAAAAAGTTTGCCATATATCTGCTCAGTGTTTTTTCGATACATATCTTACATTCACTTGATACGAAATTGCGCTCCGCCACGAAAAATTGAATCTTGGCATTCCGTGCTACCTGAAATTTCGCGGGAAAAATGTTTTTGTTGTTCACGGCGGTTTCAAAGCAACCCTTCGAATGGGCGAAAAAAACTTTTCGAAAAGAAAGAAATGAAACGCGTGCAAATTGCGGGACCAAGTTATACGATAGAAGTTTTTCGAGTTACACTGCAAAACAAAGAAAAGCAATTTATTTGCGTGTAACACGGTATATAAACGGGCCTAAATCGGTGAACTGTTCATAATTATATCGAATTAAATAAAAATATGAGGTATGGGTTCAACCGTGATGATCATAATCTTCGGATTCCATAATTACGTTCGCGATGTTTCACCGCTTATAAAAAGCACGTCGACGTTCCTTTGCTACTAGACTAAAAAAGATCAACGAACACACTGAGCCAAGAGAGTCCGTAATAAGATTGCCCTGGAAGTTACACTTCATCTTCATTATTAAGGAGAGCTTTACAGCTACCTGACGCGTGCAAACATTTTGCCTGTGTGAATTCCGTTTATGGGAAAGTTTTTTCACAGCGCTGATTCCAAAAATGAAAAAAAATCCACGAAAATTATTGAAAAAAATCGAGAAAATCGAGATTTTTTGATTGAGCATTGGCGTTACGGTATGTTACAGTAACCTGACAAACTTCGGGTCAATTACAAAGTTGTTCAGCATGGCCAATAACGTATATATACTCAGTTCTGAGATATTTCGGCAATAAATCAGTACAATATATCACATTATGCGAAATTCAATAAATACGTCATATCTCGGTCATGATGACGAATTTTTCGAAAAAAATTCACCAAGTTCTTTAGCATCCTACATGTCATCAGTTAAGACAAAAAAAAGTGGGGGTCAATTTCTAGGGCAGACCCCCCTTCCACAGCTCGCGAAGTGCGTTTTAAGTGGAAGAAGAGGTCTTTAGAACTCATTTATGGTATGCCTACTGTAACCTCATAGTATTACAATACAAATAAATTTTTTAGAATTCGTATTACTGAATATTCTAGAGAGTCCTATACAAATCATGTTGAGTTAGTTCAGCTGTCTCAAGTGTAACATAAACCAAGAAAAATGTAATCTACAGGTTAAGTACAATTAACAACGTCAAAAGCGTTCACGTATCAACTTTATTTTATGCAAATTTTGTGGTTGCCAACAATTCCTACGATTTTACTGCGATTTCTCTCCGCCGATGTCATGACTACCGTACCTTTCGCTTTAAACAATGGTTCAAAATCGAAGTCGATGATCCAAATTTTTTATGTATAAACAATCGCTGTTTGATTAAGTTTCTAAATCTCTGGTCGATTTTTGATTAAAGGTCTCATTAAAAAGATACTGTAGTTTTAGTGACATTTTTCAAACCTCTGATTTTTTGGTGTTTTTCAAAAGACTATAACTCCTAGTATATCCCACCGTTTTTTACATTTAAGGTGTTGTTCGTTTTGTCAGGAGCTTAGCTCTGTAACTAGGCTATCAGTTTTTCCAAATTTCACCGTATACGTATGTTACACCAGTTGTAAAATACGATTTTTTCGGCTTTAAACAACATACCTCTAAATCCAACCAATTTTCGAAATCTTTATGTCATTATATCGGTAAAGTAATGCTCTTTCTTAATCTCTGGTCGATTTTTAATTCGACTCTTACCAACAAAGTTATGACTAAAAAGGTCGTAAAATCGCCATTTTCCGCTCCGCGAGCTGCCGCCAGGCTTCAAAAACGAGACCAAACGAAGGAAATTTTTTCCCTTTGTTGAAACCGCCGTGCCTCGAAAATACTTTATAACATCGTATTTACTTCGTAAATGTGTCTTATATTAGAATGGTTAACGATCTTAGTCTCGCATGTCGAATTTTCTTTTTTCTTTGAACTTTTTTGGTGTTTTTCAGGTTGATTAGCCCAGCATAATCTTGTTTGAAGAGCGTATAACGTTGCAGACGCTCTCAATTACACATTGCTCACATTTTTCCACAAACCAACAGCTACATTCTTCAGATCCGAATATGAAGGTAGGCTAAAATAACATGTTTTCCATTGATTGTCTCGTCTTTAGCCCCAATCCTCTCACAAAGCAAACGATGGCGATCGGAATCGCCCTCATAGCAGCCACCATTCTGACAAATATGCGGGCCTTACCAGAAATCAAATAAGGCGCCGAAAGTAAGTGATTTTTATTTGCTTATTATTCTTGGTTTAGATACCGTGAAAAGAAACGAAGACCGAAAGAGGCTGTTAACGAAGGTGGAGCTGCGATTAGGTTCATTAATCACGGACAATTTAAAATATATATCCATGGTGACGTCCACATCAGATTTAACAACGTTAAATTCGGGCATGGCCAGTCAAGCGCAACCTCATCTAAATCCGGTCAGGGTGTGAAATCACATGCTATTGATAAAGGGACTCGTCAGGCAGATCCTCGTCCTCTCAGAGAAAGAAATTGGAACGAGTTGACTAAAAATCAAAGGAAGAGTTTAAAGTATGTCGTCTTTCTTTATTTTTATGGATTTAGATATCGTCAAAAGCATCGCAAGCCAAAGGAGGATAAAGAAACATCAGAACCCGTGAATGTTGTCAAGAAAGAAGTGAAAGAAGAGAGTGGCTCCAACTCTCAAGACCGATTCTGATTATATTCACCATGTTCAAGAAAGCTCTAAATAGATTCAGGTAATTATGTTTTATTTGTTTAGTTATTATTTATTCTTGTTAATTATGGTAAACTCAGTAAATTTCTACCCATTTTCCCAGAGGTTTTTGACTTTTATTAGCAAATTCATGACTTAAATTGAGGAATTATGTTGTTGCACCACGTGCACGGTGCAGACTTGCTTGTTACTCCTCGTTTGTAGGATTGTTGAGCTTGCCAACTGTTTGTGCGGCCGGCATTTTAAGCACCCGAGCAAGAATTGGCTGCGAATCACATCGCTGAACATCATGACAAAATATGGGTTCACTGCGCTGTAGATGGTGCTAAAATAAGGTCAAAATTATGATTTTCCGAGGAATTTTAATCCATTTTTTTAAGAATGAGTCCTTTATTAGCAACTTGAGGATCGTTATTTGCTATTTTACATCAAACTAGATATCCATATTAACAGATTCTAGCAATAATTTGCTTTTTTCTACATGTAGGCACAGTGACGGACCTGATCCAGTGGCAAAAAACGTACCATTTTGCATCCGGGAGGCATCAAAAATGTCGCAAAATGCTTCCCTCTCCAAGTGAAAAAACTCTGACTTCAAAAGCGCGCCCTTCAAAACGAAGTTTTTTCACTTGGGGAGGGAAGCATTTTGCCACATTTTTGGTACTTCCCGTATGCAAAATGGTACGTTTTTGCCACTGGATCAGGTCCCCCACTATATCGAAGTTTTCCACGAAATTATTTTTTCAAGTTGCGTAAAATCTCACCTGACGAAATTGTAGATGCTCAGATCGGCATCAAACGTTCGCAGCACAAATTTCAGCACCAAAAATACTGTAGCGCAGACTTGGGTGCAACAAATTAGAGCCGAAAGCATCACCAGTTTCTTCTCCCTTCGTTTCTGAACAATGCTGCTCTTGATAAAATAAGTGGTCCGCTGCATGAATGTCAACCTTTTGACAGTGTTGTGTCGATGTCTTCGGACTTGTTGCCAGATGTAGAGGTACATTATAACGAGAATTACACAATAGAGCATAAGACAAGCACCGGTGACACCAAACCCGTAGTGAGATACATCGTCACTGTAAATGAGGATAAAATTTTGTTATAGCGGGATGTAACTTTTCTATTTGTGATTTTCTGAAGCTGATGTCCCGATAATTTTTCATAAAAAACTGTTAGGACAAAGAGTTATTACAGCGGCAATCCAGTGGCAAAAAACGTGTCATTCTGCATCCGGGAAGTATCAAAAAATGTAGCACAATAACTCCCCCTCCAAGTGAAAAAAACCACGATTTCAAAGCTCCTTTTGTGAGGGAAAGGGCGCGCCCTTCAAAACGGAGTTTTTTCACTTGGAGAGGGAGGGATTTTGCTACATTTGTTGATACTTCCGGGATGCAAAATGGTACGTTTTTTGTTGTGTAAAAAATTTTAGCGGACAGCCGTCTCAGGATGTCGTGAGTAAGAAAAAAGTCTCACCTTGACATTTTCGGAATCAGCGAATATCCAAGTTTCTTATAGTAGACGTCACTGTGCATGACAATAATTCCCATGGCCACTCCGGGCGAAATAATGAAACCCGCTATATAGGGATATGATGCGCGCCACCACTGAAAACACCATTATGATTCATACTAGAGTCTAATATGCGATAATTATACAGAATGTTACGTAAACTTAGAATTAGTGTAACCTTACCCGACTGTGGTGTTGCGAATAAACAATAGCGCTGAAACGATTGATCCCCAACAATAACGTGGCCTGCGCTTGCATTACATTGCACGCCCACGAAACCACAAAACCGAGATGAAGAAACGGTCCGCCGGCCCAAATATAGAACTCGGACCAAAGACCCCAACGCGGAAGTGTGTAGAAGAATATGTTATTCAGCAATGATACTGAAAATGTATGATAAACATTCAAAGTTATTAATTGGCATGTAGGAATGCGAAATTGGAAAGCACAGGTGATCTATCACTTGCAATTGCTTGGGCTATGTGAAAAATGTGAAAAAACCAAGAATTTTTTGAGATTTACAGACGGTTGAATCAAATTTATAAATAAAAATAGACTTACTGATATCGATATACCCATGTATCAACAAGATAAAGTAGAATGCATTAGCCTGCCTCACATCTTTCCCGGATTTCCATAGGAATCTCAGTACTAAACCGTAAAACGGCAATGTTGCCACTGCAAATAGGAAGCCAGCGTATTCATATACCTGTACCATAACCAAATGAACTTGTTATAAGTTAGCAGTAGTAACTTGAATGCATCTTCCTCATTGAAGATGCATTGAACCTCAAAGTCCTTTGAGACCAACGAATAAGCACTTGTGGCTGCACAATAGCTACAATTAATAGGTGATTAATTTGGTGTCCAACGAAAAAATGGGATATGTTACAATATACCGCAACAGTGGAAGAAACAGAGTTAAGTTTTCGAAGGGTTCGTAATATTTGTAGCTTGGAAACTTTGAAATTTGCAATTTTAACGTTTAAAGAGGCACGTGCCTATGGAATACAATATAAGTGTAGAGATATTTAAGGTAGGATGGAAAGTTGTGCAAGCAAAGAACAGGGGCGTAACTGACCACAAATTTTGGGGAGGTGGGCTGGGTGGGGGTCACTGTGTAAAAGTTCGCGCCGCGAAAGTTGCCTTGGTCCCCCCTTGCCATTTTTTCGTTCAGCCGGCCTGGAGAGAGGTCAACGCCCCTGGTAAAGCACACATTTTTCTGATACTTTTTTATAGATATTTAGACAGTGCTCTGACCAAAAATATACGGTACATTCTAAAGAAACACATGTTTCAATGACCATCTCTCGTAGTTTCCTAAGCAACTTTTATGAGTTAATATTTCTTATAAAACGCGGGCCAAACATTCAAAATAAAGGTGCTAGATACCTTGATAAGGTGTCCGAAACTTTAAGGAATAGTTGGTCGTTTCACCTTGCTACCATCCTTACTCCAAAACGAAACAGAAAAACATTGTACGAAGTGTAGAAATTAAATTGGCTTCTTTTTTCCTATTTGTCTACAAGGGTTACAAAACCAATTTTCTAAATCATGCAGCACGAACAGGTGATCATAAATAATTATGTTTTGGAATTGCTTAAAACGCGTTTTACTACAAACCGTAGATTGGCCCGGACATTGTTGAGTCGATGTCTCAGAATTCAACCAAAATTGGTTTACCGAATCACCAATCGGTATGGAGCAATCGCTTGATTTTTTTTTTGCCCATAGTCGTTATATGGTGGATTACTGTAACTTTCTTTCTGAGAAAAGAGTTGCCTTTTCTGCAGATATGGTGCGGTATTTTAGTGAGACCGAACCACCACTTTATGTTCTCGACCATGTAGAACATTTTTGTAATTATGACCAAAAGATCAGAATTACATCTAAGCAATGTTTCGCCTGCGGTAACGTACCATTTCGGGCATAAAATTGGCTACTGTAGCCAGATGCATTTTTAAATACGGTAAAAAGAAACTTCAACCTTCATCCAATAACCCATAAAAATTTCAAAAAAATCAAATATACAACTTTTGAGAAAATGGGCATTCAATATCTCATGTACAAGGTCATCTGGGCCCGAAAAAATCTGGCATTCTTGGGATTCCAACGGGATGCACTTTTTCAAAGTTTCTAATACATTCTGAGGCTGATTAAAGATGATATGGCAAGTTTCAGGAGAAAAAAATATACAACTTTCGAGAAATTGACCAAAATACCTTATTTTAGGTCATCAGAACGCCGAAAAAGTCTGGCATTCTTAGGTTTTCAACGGGATGCACTTTTTCAGAGTTTCTAATACATTCTGAGGCTGAATAAAGATGATACGGCAAGTTTCAGGAGAAAAAATATACAACTTTTGAGAAATTGACCAAAATACCTTATTTTAGGTCATCAGAACGCCGAAAAAGTCTGGCATTCTTGGGATTCCAACGGGATGCACTTTTTCAAAGTTTCTAATGCATTCTGAGGCTGATTAAAGATGAGATGGCAAGTTTCAGGAGAAAAAAATGCACAACTTTCGAGAAAATGACCAAAAGACCTTATTTTAGGTCATCAGAACCCCGAAAAAACTGGCATTCTTGGGATTTGAGGTTGTAGCACTTTTTGATAGCCTCTAATCTTTAATCAGCCTCAGAATGTATTAGAAACTCTGAAAAAGTGCATCCCGTTGGAATCCCAAGAATGCCAGACTTTTTCGGCGTTCTGATGACCTAAAATAAGGTATTTTGGTCAATTTCTCGAAAGTTGTATATTTTTTCTCCTGAAAATTGCCATATCATCTTTATTCAGCCTCAGAATGTATTAGAAACTCTGAAAAAGTGCATCCCGTTGGAATCCCAAGAATGCCAGACTTTTTCGGCGTTCTGATGACCTAAAATAAGGTATTTTGGTCAATTTCTCGAAAGTTGTATATTTTTTTCTCCTGAAACTTGCCATATCATCTTTAATCAGCCTCAGAATGTATTAGAAACTTTGAAAAAGTGCATCCCGTTGGAATCCCAAGAATGCCAGATTTTTTCGGGCCCAGATGACCTTGTACATGAGATATTGAATGCCCATTTTCTCAAAAGTTGTATATTTGATTTTTTTGAAATTTTTATGGGTTATTGGATGAAGGTTGAAGTTGCTTTTTGCCGTATTTAAAAGTGCATCTGGTTACAGTAGCCAATTTTATGCCCGAAATGGTATGTTACCGCAGGCGAAACATTGCTTAGATGTAATTTTGAGCTTTTGGCCATAATTACAAAAATATTCTGCGTGGTCGAAAACATACACCTGAACTCGATTTGTGCTAAAATAGAGCTTCGTTTTCTTGATTAGGCCATATCTTTTTTAAAAAAAAATGTTACAGTATGCCGTCATACGGTAATTTTGGGCAAAAAGAAAGAAAGCGAATGTTTTACCTGCCATGATGATCAAGTTGACCGATTTTGGTTAAATTCTGAGATACCGATTTTAACAATGTCCGCCCTCTGTTAGGCTAAACTCCAAAGTGTGGCAAAACGCGTTTTAATTGACAACAATTCGACCTTATGATATCAGACTCGGTAGACGACAATATGTACAGAGTCTATACGTAGTATACCTGAAATATGATGACCGTAATATGAACTACATTAGATTAGAGTTCGGTCATTTAAAGGGTATGCTAAATCGGTTCCTGGCAAGCTACGCGTTAACGGGGTTGAGTGGAAGTTCATCATAGCGTTTAGGGATCATACAAGTTCTACTGGATGTATGCATACAGTGACGGACCTGATTCAGTGCCAAAAAACGTACCATTTTGCATCGGGTATCAAAAAAGTGTAGCAAAATGTCTCCTTCTCCAAGTGAAAAAACTCCGATTTTAGAAGCGCGCCTGCTCTCTTTGTGAGGGAAGTAGCGCGACCTTCAGAAATGGAGTTTTTTTAGTTGGAGAGGGAGACATTTTGCCATACTTTTTGATACTTCCCGGATGCAAAACGGTACGTTTTTTGGCACTGGATCAGGTCCGTCACTGTAGGTCATAAAATGGAATAAACGCACAAAAGAAAATTTTAAAAGAACATGATAAGGTAAGAGTATATCACACTAAAACCCACAATGCAAACGTCCATCATTCCGCCTTCTTCTCATGACAAACAATAAACGTATTACTCAACGAATAAGTTGTCAATAAATAAAAAATTTATTAAATCAACCCTTTTCCGTAAGTATATTTATAAAACGTTCGAGAGTAAAACGAATTAATTGAGACCTTTCCGTTATTGCGTATGAGTTCCTCTTGTAGTCTGCGGGTCTAATTCATAATTATCCCCTGGAAAAGGTTACGGTTCGTCGCGGATTCCCTCCAATAACGGCCAACGACGAGCTGTGGTGGGGCTCCACTTTGAGGCCCTTATTGCTGCGGGTGAAAGCTTCGACGAGACGTTGCCGTATCACGTCACTGAACGCTATGACGAAGTACGGGTTCACGGCGCTGTATACGGTACTGGAAAGAAAGGAATGAATTGTGGTTGGAGTTAAAAGGACATTGTTATTTTTGTGGGAGAAATTTCGTATGGAATTGCAGATACATGTAAAAAACCTGTAAGACGGTTTGTAGGGGGCCAACATTTCGTTTTTCGACGAAACGGTCCATTACTCACCTAAAAAAGTTGTACAGACTCAAATCCTGGTCGATTTTCCCATGGGTAAATTTGTAGACCAAGAACGTTGAAGCCGCAACTTGTGTGGCACAAATTAGCGCTGACATTATTAGCAGTTTCTTCTCTCGTCTGCGTTGTATCGCATTTCTATTGACGACCTGGACAGTTTGTGGGACATCGGTGACTTTGTAGACAGCGCTGAAGCGATGTTGTCGAACAACATACCAAATATAGAGGTACATGAAAATTAGAGCTAGGCAGTAGAGGATGAGGAGAAGACCGGCGATTCCGAAGCCGATGTGCGCTAGGGCTTTGCTGAAAATTCAGTGTGTTTGAGGTGGGTTGAAAAAGATGAGCAATCCGGGCAATCTTATTTATGAGTCAACTTCTTACTTGACCATTTTCGGGATAACTCCGCCATGATCATATGGCACGTAGTACATATCGCTGAACATGATTACCCCGCCCATAACCACTCCTGGCAAGATTATAAAAGCTGCTATTGCTCTCCGAGAACTTGTCCACCACTAAAACAAAGAATCGTTATGATAAGATCAGGCTCTGATGTTTTATCCACACACGACAAACTCACTTGGCTATGGCGTTGAGAATATACAATCGCCGTAAATCGGTTGATCCCGAGCAATAATGTGGCCTGCGCTTGCATTACATTGCAAGCCCAGGAGAGGAAAAACCCGATTCGAAGGAACGGCTCACCGGCCCACATGTAAAATTGAGGACAAACTCCCCAGCGGGAAAGTGTGTAAAAGATGATATTGTTGAGAAGCGAGACTGAAATTTGTTTTGTAAAATATTTGCATAGCGACAATTGTGTCGGAAAGTCGAGTTTCGATAGTTTTAGAAAGGGAAATTTTCCAAGTGCGACGCTCAGATTTTGTTGAAGTTTTTGGATATCTACTGGACATGATCCAACTGTTAATCCTTGGAATTTTTAGATCGCGATTTGCAGGAACCGCTGAGATATGGATAATAATCGCTTTTTCCGAGATAGCGTTCAAAATGTGGAGTGCTGAGAGCCCATTTGTCGGACTAAAAATCGTTTTTTCCGCAAAGCGATGGCTATTATAGAAATACCGAATGCGCCTTAGAAAGCCAAAACTTGTGCCAAATCCCATCAAAAAGTGAATGCCGCAAGAAAAATTGAAGCAATTCCTCTGTTCATAGAGTCTAAACGTAGCTATACAGCGTTGCCCCATTCCCCGAACTTACCCAGATCAATATACCCGTGAAGCAGCAATATAAAGTAAAACGAATTTGTCCTGCTCGTTTCCTTGCTGAACCTCCGCACCATCTCCAGCAGCAGGCAATAGAATGGAAATGTGATTGCTGCGAACGCACACCCGACGTACTCATATGCCTCCGGCATTTCTGCACTCGGCCTATAGCCTGGAAAATTGATATTGCAAACAAACTACAACAAACAATGATAATATGCTCATAAACGTTTCAAAAACTTCGCGACCGGGTTCGCCTTTTTTCGATTGCCATTTGCGGGGGCTGAGAGAAAATTCAAATACAAAAGAATTCAAGTGGAAGATTAAACAGCAAATTTGGTGCTTATATAAATTAACACATGATGTGGTTAAACATAAGATGGCAGCTTTATGATGGGATAAAACACAAAGTCTAGATGTTCCATAAGGCTCTTTCATGAAGGTACATGGATAAATTGATGACGAATATACGTATATCAAGGCTGTAATCAAGATTTGGGAGAGTTACAAAAGCGTAGTTGTACGAAAAAGCATTTTATTTAACAAGTCGCCAAAACGTTGACTAATAAAAAATGCTATAAGCAAAAGATTTGAGATGACGACACGGAGTTGTCCATCAATTTTTGGAAGACTTGCATAACTCACCTAAGGACACAGATTGTAAAACATTTTTGCGTGGCAGATTCTGTCTGGGAAAGCATTTTATTTTTTTGCCAACTCTCTCGCTGCAAAAGGTCGTTGACTCCGTAAAAACCCCTAGCTAAAATATTCAGATATTTAATGTAAAAAAAATTACAATCTGTGTATAAAAATTGTACAGGCATGTCCATTCCTAAACCTTGCAAAACCGGCTTCAAAAGCTAAAAAAATCGGCACACAATACGTTTTACCACTAGTCTTAACATTTGCTGTCACAGACACAACAACCTACTGTATTGCACGAGCATTCCCTACAGTCAGCTCAAATTAAACTATCTAAAAAATGTAGTTCCCACGTAAGATTAATTAATCGGCTTGTGAGTGCGAGATTATCATTTTTTTTGCACTGCATATTTTCATTGTCAAAAAGGAAGTTTTTAGCAGAGTTTGTAGCGTTAGGAGAGCAAATTTCGCATGTGAATTTTATAGTATATTTAAAAGCTATAAATTGAGAGATTAGTTGTTGGAGAAAGAAGTCAAGATATAAAAGGGTTGTGAGGATAATTGGACAGTACGTCAAAGGAGTGTAAAGCTAAGGAATCAAAAGTGGTTTTGCAGAAAAATTGGTATCAAGATACTGATGAAACTTGGTAAAAAGAGAGCTTCAGGTTTTAGGCATACAGTGGCGGACCTGATCAGGTGGGAAAAAATGTACCATTTTGCATCCGGGAAGTATCAAAAAATGTAGCAAAATACCTCCCCCTCCAAGTGAAAAGCTCCGTTTTGATGGTCGCACCATTTACCCTCACAAAAAGAACGGGCGCGCTTTTGAAATCGGGTTTTTTTTCACTTGGAGAGGAGGTATTTTGCCACATTTCTTTGATACTTCCCAGATGCAAAATAGTACGTTTCTTACCACAAGATCAGGTGGTAAAAATGGCGGCACTGTAGGTGAGATTTGTAGAACACGCGTTGCAGAAATGACCTGGGCTTTTGACCTAGGTTATTACGACCTAGGTTCAAATTTGGCGGAGACTTGGCGATCTTTCAAGGTGGTTAGAGCATAGATAAAATAAAGTTGATTTTTTGGGCTAAATTTGTAAAGACTGGGTTGAAAAGATTTTTTTTCTGATTGACTGTCTTCACTTCCCATAGTCTCTTGTCTTAAATGATCGCTCAATTTCTCGGCTAATCTTGGAAATCACGAGCTAAAATTTTAGAGCATTCACAAACAGGCTAGACAGATCAATGTCCATAAAATTAAACGGATTTCACATGTAATGCCGGCAGTAATTTTTGACCTACAGTAATTTGATGAAAATGCTGCGACCTTAACAAGCGCGACCCTAAGGCTACAAAACCTTATCCAAACACCGTTGCAATTATTTACCATCCCAAATATAGCCTGAACTGGCCAAATTCTATCTCTGTCTACCCGTCCAAAAAAACTTAAATAAACAAATTACTGGTTAATTACCGATTGAAGAATTGCGACGCAAACAGAGTGCGCAACCCGGTTAAGGGGACGCGAATTCAGCGGGGAGCGAAAATAACCCGCCCCGGATACCTATAATCGTCACGTATTTACTCGCAATTAAGATATTTGCCAACTGATATTTGCAGGAACGTGGGCTCCTTGCTATGTCAAGCCCAAACATGGGACAATACGACGCGCCTTGAATGGGTATAAAAGCCAGCGCATCAATGGAGATCAACAACAATAAGCAGCGCTCGCTTTTTATTCATTACCTTCGCCTCTTCACGCAAAAAAACGTGCATTGCCCGGTTCGACATGTGCTCCCGTGTGGCGTAAGTTTTTCAACAATTAAAATTGGGAGTGGCGGAGGGGCGATTGTAGCCGGCGAATTGTCAATTTTTGGAGGCTGTAGAATTTGAAAAGGCTGGGAAAAAATTTTGAGAAAAGTCAGCAAAGTCCTCGTAATTTTGGCAAATTTTTTGTGTGCTATGAAAGAAAGCGATGACGTTAATTTTTCGCTTCATACGGCCCATTTATTTTTCGAATAAAAGCTGCTATTTTTGTTGTCCTATCGGGCCTATATGGCCAATTGTTTTCCCCACAAAAAGCGATCGAAAAACGGTTCTTATGAGATGTCAAAAAACGGCCTGATCCTCCAACTAGTACCCTAACCCAGATGACTTTATTCCCTCAAAGTCTAGCCTCCGATACCTTCCACAAAATTGGGCTACCATTAGTACGTTTCCTCTCGTCGCACGAGCTCTTAAATCCCCGAATCTACTCACCGGATCCATCCGACACCTTATTTATCAGTTGGATAAACAACCCTCTCCCACCGAAATTCCCATACCGAAAATCCCGTTGAGAATGCCGGGACAACGGAAATCGAAAATTTTCATTTATGGAATGTTTGCACAAGTTTCGGTGAGACGCGTGAGAAAAATATTCCGTTCCGAATTGATCTCGGGGAGGGTGGTTTTTCGACGGGGAATTATTATGTCCTTCCTCCTGATAAGAGAAAGTATAGGGACGGGTGTGGATGAACATGAAAGTGGAACATAATAGAGGTATTTGGTCGGATATTTGTTCAATTTATTGGTGGTTGGTATGTTAGAGAACTGAAAAAACTTTTTGTGACTATTTGAAGTTATGCGGTAGGTTTTCAAAGGGACTAAAATGGAGCGATAGACTCTAAGGCCTCTAGATTGCGCTATGACTTTAGCAACGGCAAATGTCTGTCAGCAAATTTTCATAAATCCCATTAAGGCCAAAGGCCACAAACCCCTGAAAAAAGTTCAAATTTCAGCCTCATCTCTTTTGCTGTGGTCTGCTTCTTCGCTTACGCCTATGCTTGCGGCTGCGGTTGCGACTGTTGCGGCGGCGACAGCCAGTGCCCACCAGGTCTAATCCTCAACTCAACCCGAAGAAGACGTGCCGCTGAGGGCTGCAACGTCAAGCTCACAACCCTCCCACGTGTGCGCCGCCAAGCCGCCGACGAGAAACTGGCCGAGATCGAGGGACAGACCCACGACCGCGATGTCACCCCACAAGTGTCTCTGATTAAGGCCGTCAACCCGATGGGACTTCGGCGGAAACCAGCTGCCGCTAGCTCCACCGCCTCTCCCGTTGAGCTGACCGTCACTCAGGCATCCGTGGTTGAGACGACAACTTCGGCATGAGAGATCAAGCTCAAAAGTTGCATCAAGACGAATACCACATCTTCAGAGGTTTGAGGGCCTCCGCAATTGCAATATATCCCTTTCTGTACATTCCTGACAACATATTCTCATGCAATATCCAATAGTCGTACCATTTCGCTTCGATTTTTAATAAACGCTTGACAAAATGACCAGCTTTCAAGCCAAAGTTGAAAAATCTTAAATATAGTGCTAAAACAACGTGAAGGGTAAATAAACCTCAAAAGGAAGGAAAATGTGTGGTATTTCGATGAGAATTAGTGGCCCAAAAGTCAGAGAACAGCGCTTTTTCCCCCGAGGAATACCCAAATTGGGTTTGCGCGAAAGAAATATATCCCCGAGCCGCAGACAATATTAGAGTCTTCGGTCGGGAATTTCATAGCCCACACTTAGGTAGAGCCTCCATAAATTACGGATGGAAATTTCGGCAGAGACTACAACTCTTTGAAGAGGGATAGCGAAAATGTCTAGCAAATGCAAGTACATTTAGTGATTGTTGAGTTGAAAGGGGTGGATTTGTTGTTGGACAAATTTAAGAGCATGAAAGGTTTAATTCAAAGTATTATAATTACGTGGCTTGATAACTTGATGACGAAATAATAGTGCAAATTTCAAGTTTAGTGGGCATAGATCTTGACGAAACTTTTATGAGATTTTTGAAGCGGTTTTTTTAAAGATAAATCCCCAAGCTTTGAACAGCATTTTGCCTAGCTTTGGTGGTCTACTAAACACGTCAAGGACAGTAAACCGTACAATAAGAGACGGCTGTTCCCGCAGATATAGAAAGTAACGGTCATAAAATATCGTTTAATCATGACTCTCTCTCATCATTTTCGTTGATCTCTTAACAGCAAAAAATGTTGAATATATTGGCCACATTTATAAAGTGCGTGCTACAATCTTCAGTAATTCTAATACTACACAACCCACAGTAATTCTAATAGTACATAACCCACGTGGACCTGGCAACCATAATTTCAAGGCAAACTAAATATCGTACTTGAAGAAAAAGACTTGTTTGTCATCTACAGAGTTCAATTGAAAATTCATTCGGTTAAAGCATTTAGCCTTTTAAATTTTCCGGGAGGCGGCATGCGTCAAAATCTTGCAATTTCCATCAAATGCCAGCACTTCCCGCTTTAAAACCAAAGGCCATAAGTCGTCAGAAACAAAGAAACGAAAAGACTAACAAGTGATTCACACGTAATGGCCACTTAATGCCCCTTTCTCTAATTCCCCAAAATTTATTGACTAACTGATTCAGCGCAAAAAACTGTCCAATTTTCCTGACATCCGACCGAAAACTCCTGGCAATCACCTTGCCCTTTTATACATTGAAAATATAAATGAAAGCAATTTATGACGCTTTAAAATAATTCCGCATAGAAGGCGCAATCAAACATGTGGGCCGGATTCGAGGGTTTAATTAAAAGTAATGCGCAACATCCATCTTTTGGAAATGAATGGGAAAAGGCCGAGGAATGCGGGCAATGCAAATATGCATAACAATTGTAAAGAGGTGTGAAGTCCACGCGAATGTAGGCTTAGAAAGGAGAGCTGCGATATGTGTGATGACCTTTCAATGTCGATTACATTTTATTTGTCTGAACTACTGCGGTTTGAGGTCGAGTCTTTTCCTGCGCGAGAAAAACTTGACACATTAGGGAGAAACTTGACACATCAGGGAAAAACTTGACTCTGCGGGGAGAAACTTGTCACATCAGGGAGAATCTTGATTCTGCAGGGAGAAACTTGACGCAATAAAGGAGAAAGTTGACACATCAAGAAGAAACTTGACACACCATGGAGAAACTTGTCACATCAGAGAGAAAGTTGACTCTACAGGGGGAAACTTGACACGTAAAGCTGAAAGCCGACATATCAGGGAGAAACTTGACTCTGCAGAGAAAAACTTGACACATCAATGAGAAACTTGACACATCAGGGAGAAACTTGTCACACTAGGGAGAAACTTGACATATTAGGGAGAAACTTGTCACATCATGGTGAAACTTGACGCATCATTGAGAAACTTGACTCTGCTGGGAGAAACTTGACACATCAAGAAGAAACCTGACCCCAACCCGCAATGCGGAGCTATATAGTAAGCGATGATCATGTTGATGCAACAATTTGGGCATTGCTTGCAAATGAGGCAAGATGTGCTTGTTTGCGTCATTATCGCACAGCTCCAAATTCCCAATTGTTCAATCAGATGTAACAGCTTTTCTCTATGCCGAAACGCACGTATTATTTATTAGTGAGCAAACCATGATAAGGTTGCAAGCGTTCTTTGAAGAAAAGCAGAAAAAGCAGTTTATTTCCTCGTCTCTCCTGTTTTTCTTTCCTTTTCGCCAAGTCCTTCATCGATTAAATAAGTGTTTACCCCGATTATGAACCTTAAACTTGTAGGTCAGAGTTTTTATCCCTTCCCATTATGTTTCCCCTTAATTTTATTTAAATACTTCAGATAGTCAGAGCTCAGCGCTCTTTCTTTTTGACCCACAAGACCAAGTCTGTCGAATGTCGCACGGGTTTATTGAGGTCTTTGAAGGAGGGGATAGAAAAGAAGATGGACAACCTGACTGAAGCCGTTTATGAGGACTTGAAACGAAGCCCCACGTTGACGGAGAAATACGAAATTGTGCCAGTTCTGAAGGAACTTACAAACTTCATCGACAACATCGATAAATGGGCAAAACCTCAGGCTGTAAGTTCTTTAACCAGTATTTTCTCCCGGCTAAAGTCGAAAAATGTGTGCGGCTATGACATGATCAGGGGTATCTCAATCACATCTCCCGTGCTTTAGCTCCCCGCAACCCCCAAAGGCCGTCCGTATCTTTATAAAGAGCCGCTGGGTGTGGTCTGTGTCATCGGCCCTTACAACTTGCCATTGGCATTGAATCTTCTCCCAGCCGTGGCTGCGCTCGCTGCTGGCAATACAGTCGTCGTCAAGCCCTCCGAACTGGCGCCATTTTCAACACAAGCACTCGATGAGCTGATCAAGAAGAATTGTGATGAGGTAGGAAAATTTATCCCGTAAATCAGAAACAAAGGCGTTCTTTCGTATGTGGTTTATATTACATCATTCTTTTTAGCACCACTTCACCACTGTTATTGGAGGATTTGATGCGACAATGAAGTTGCTGGCCGAGCGATTCGACCATATCTACTATGCGGGATCTCCGAGAATTGGAAGGATCATTATGCGAGAAGCCTCGCATTTCCTGACGCCAGTAACTCTGGAACTTGGAGGAAAAAAGTAAGAATAACTCTCACAAATTCAAATAGATACATTCATTTTTACATTTTGTATTTTTAAACCCGCAGGGCTTGTTTTGACTTCAACAGGAAACCTTTTCAGCCCAGTGATTGTCTACCCGGACGCTGACATCGACAGCTTGGCCGAGCAGTTGATTCGGGGAAAGTGGCTGAATTGCGGGCAGCACTGTCTTCATGCTGATTATTTGGTGGTTTTCGACAACGAGACAAGAGAAGCGTTACGTCATGCGCTGAAGAAGCAGATTGAAAAACATTTCGGCAAACATCCAAAGGAGTCACCACTGTACAGCCGACTGATCAACAAAGACAATTTTAAGTGAGTTTTCAAATAGTGATCAGTCCAAAAAAGATATGCTTTATGATGATATTTTAATGTTTAAATTATCTTGATTAAAATTGCAATACTTTCAGTCGAGTCTCCGATCTTTTATGGAAGACCGACGGAGAATTTCTGTACCAATCTCCGGATCCAGAAGATGCTGACGATAATTTCATTGGGCCTCATGTTATCGAGGTCAAAACGGATGATGTCCTTATGGAGGATGAAGTATTTGGACCTGTTTTGCTGGTAGTTAAATTCGAAAATGAGCATGAGATAATTGAATATATCAATTCGAATGAAAAGCCCTTGGCATTATATGTGTTCACCAAGAATCAAGAGAAGGCCGATCTGTTTATTAATCGGACCTCTTCTGGAGGAGTTTGTATCAATGGAATCTCAGATCATGCTCAAGGTAAGAGAGAATGATTTAAACCGCTTGAGCTTTGAAATTGTCAAATTTTATAGGTATATTGTAATTCCTTTTATTTTAGTTGAAGGCCTCCCATTCGGAGGTATTGGAGGCAGTGGAACTGGAAGATATCATGGTAAATATGGATTCGACACCTTCACCCATGAAAAAGCCGTGTTTGTAAAGGACTAGGACAACTTTTGGTCATGTCAAAATTTCATTCCAACCAAAATTTCACTTCCTATAAATTCAACGTCATCATTTTTTTGCACTCCTAAAAATTTCCGCTGTAAATTACAGCGTTTGTGCTTGAGATCAATAAATAAGTTATATCAACCTTGCAAGGTCCCACTGAACATTACACTTTAAAATTTATGGTTGATCAATCCGATTTGACCGCTCACGGCGGCTCAAGTGTAACACCAAACGATCAGTCCATTCGTCTTTCTTTAAAAGTTATCGATCGTGGCAGACGGTTTAATGATGAAGAGTGTAGATCGAAAAAGATCTGCAGAATCGAACGGTGTAAAAATTGGAACGCTCCCTGCGAAAAGATGACGAAATCACAAAGGGCAGAAGTTAAGGAAACCCCGGAGAAAAATGCTCTGAAATGTTCTACGCTGCAAGAAAAAAATCGTATACGCAGGTGACAAAACGCGGCGTGGTAAATACGCCACATTGTAACGCTATTTTATCAGATTCCAAGCCTGAAAAAGTCGGTTTTGAAGGCGACTTGTTTGTAAAAATTCTTTGGCTGATTTAGAAAATGTAGCGAAAATTGGAACGGGCGTTTCGAAGAGGCTTGGCTTATATATGCCCCTTCACTCGACCCTTGGAGGCGGTCCATGTACACTTCTTCGTTTTTTCTACAGTTTCCCGACCACTTTCTGCAGCCGTGACTTTTGACGCAGCTCAAAGATCAATGCGGTCGTGCAGCGGCCTCTGACTAACCTTGTGCGGTCTTTTGGGCGTCAAAGTTGATTGAAGGTTAATTCTAAAAATTTTTTTTGCCTAGCCGAAACAGCGTCTAAACTGTCATTTTGATGTAGCAGCGTGACTACATTTAAAAAGATTGTTATAAGAGTAGCCCATTTTTAGCAAAGTCGTTAATGCGAAAGACTTTGTAACCTTCTTTTACTGTTGCTTTCTCTACAGTAAAATGGAAGTAGGACTTATGGTAAGAATGTACCTATTGCGAGTTCCCAAAAAAAGTTGACCATAGACTCCGTGGTCAAAAAAAAACGATGACTTTCTGGCACAGAGTCATGATTTTTATCATAAGATGTCATCATGACACCAAAACTGAATCCCCTTATAGCATTTTTGACCATTACAGTAGGGGACTTGATCCAGCGGCAAAAAACGTACCATTTTTCATCCGAGAAGTATCAAAAATGCGGTAAAATGATTCCCTCTCCAAGTGAAAAAACTTCGATTTCAAAAGCGCGCCAGCTCTTTTTGTGAGGGAAAGGGCGCGCTTTTGGAATCGGATTTCTTTTTTCACTTAGAGAGGGAAGCATTTTGCCACATTTTTGATAGTTCCCGGATGCAAAATGGTACGTTTTTTGCCACTGGATCAAGTCACCCCACTGTACCTTCCTACAGTTCCTTTTCCTTATAAAAATTGCGAACACATTCAGAATTACAACACAAAACGAACCACAACCTTCAAAGATTGCATTGCCCACAATCAGACATGGTCTTATTAATCGCATTATCATCAATTTAATTTAACAGCAAAAGCGCAACTTACAGTGGCACACAAACAAAACCTGACATAAACTTTACACTGCCCAAATTGACCGCTCAAATTTTTGATTACTTTTTATGGTGTTGAACAGTGAGGTTCATCAATCATCGTTTTTTAATGTAAAAATTTATTGCCGAAAGGTGCGTAGCAAAAATTTTTGAGGCTTTTACAACAGTAAATACCATAGCAATTATCGCAGTAAACTATGCGTTGCAAAATACAGTAATCAGTAGATTCCTTCGTCAAAAACATTCCTTTTGACACGTCAAAATATTTTTTTGACATTTTTTATTGCTGACATAAAAAATCTCTTTTTTTTTATACCTTTAACACCAAGAAACGCAATATAATGTATATATTTATTATCAACAATGATACAAATATGAGATCATTTGATGAGCCCGAGTTTCGAATGGAAAACTAAAACAATTTAGAGGTGTTTGGGGTGTTCGAAGGTGTGAAGAATATTGTGCAGTTCCTTCTCCACCTGATCAGCCTCCTGGTCCATGGGCACAACGACCTCTTCCTTGTGGTTGTGGTGAAGGCTGGACGGGGTGGTGAACTGAGGTCTGCGTCCGGCAATGATGTCCTCGTTGATCTTCTTTTGCTGAGCATGAAGAGAGGCGACCATCATGCGATCACGTTGCACGTCGAACATGACCTCGGGGGCATAGAGGTAGTTGCATTCGGGCTCGGTTTGAGTGGCCATGATGTTGGTCAATCTCATTCCATCGAGGTCGGCGCGATGGGTGTGGAGGGTCAAGTCGATGAGGTAGCGAACAGCGCCTCCGGCATCATTTCCGTCGGGAAGGCGGGGGCAGGTAGCCGAAGTCTTGAGGACAGTGCAACGCTGGGAGCACTTGAACATGGCGCAAGCGTCGTTGGACATACGGGCAAAGTTGCTGTGGGCTTCGGCGTCAAAGTAGGGCTGCTTGGCCAATTTCGCCGAGGCTTCGTTGACCTGCTCGTGGAAAGTCTCGTAGTCTCCGCACTCCTTAATGCATTCCTCGTTGATTTGACGGCCATGTTGCGTCAAGCAGGGCTGCAATTCGTCGACAATCTTCTTGGTTTCGCGGTTGCACAGAGCGTTCACCGAGCGCAGGGCAAACGGATTGGATTTGACTTGGCAATTGTCCAGACAAGTTCTGGCCGATCCAATCATCTCGCAGACCAGCTCAAGGTTGAGCAAATGGTCGGTAACGTTGGTGCGCTTGACCAACGAGAGTTCAATGTCATGCTCTTGAAGATGGTCCATGCATTTTTTGAGGCAGACGTCAGAATTGATCAATTTGTTGAATTGCCGGAGAATGGCGGGATTGGCGGCTAAAAATAGGAAAAATAACAATGCAAAATCGAAGAAACTACAAACTAAAAAGAATTTGGTGACAAGAGAAAGTCACAAAAACTCAAAAATGTCGCAAAACTTACCACTAACGGTGGCCAGGCACGCAAGAACAAAAACAGTTCGGGAAATCATCATCAAATCAGCTGTGGAACAAGAAATCTCCTCTTCAAGCAAGTAGCCACTCGCTGTCTACTCGAAGGTACTTTATTTTGTCGGTAAACCGTTTCGGTTTATATACAATTACTTTACAACCGTCCAACCCCCCAGCTGCGGGCCGCCCCGCACCGTCTTCCCACCCTTCCCTCTGCTCCCATTTTCAACACCCGCTTCCAGCGGGTGATAAACCGCGATTTCACAAGAAAAAACAAACCCAGCATCAGTGGGGGAAGACTGAGACGCTGGAAACGTCGATGGAACTGTGGTCAGATTGATTTCTCAACTTGGGGTCAAGCCGCAGCGATCAACGTTACAGCGAACGCGGAACAATTGCAACTATGGGAATGAAAAAAGGAGCATCTGTTGAATGCATGGGGTCGTGATGCAATCTTCGGGGTTGTGGGGAATTCTTGTGAGAAAATCGGGAATTCGGGCTGTTAAGGTCGAAGACAAACAGATACTTGGGAAAATCAAAAAACCAAATTTTTTGCTGATCCTTTGTGTTTTTTGGTGTTTAAGGAAAGTAAAAGTGCATCATCTGACAGTAATTGTAAAGTATAGAACATGTTAATGAAGGTTCCATTCAGTCTGGTTGTAATTAGGTTACTGTAATTTTGTCCTTGATCAATTTTGGTCGATATGTTCAGTCAAATTTTGTGACAAACACAGTACCTTGAACACCCCCATAATTGTGAGAGACTTTACTACGACGTTCTTTGACGTCTTTCAGGAGGAAAAAATACGATCTTCGTTACAAAAATTGGAGTCTGTTACTTTCTGAACCTTGTGATCAGACATGGCTGGGGCCGGCCCGGGCTTCAGAAAGTTCGAAAAATGCTGGGCCGACGACTTTTTCTGGAGCCGGGTATGGGGCTTCGTCTAAGCCTTTGGGGGCCGGCCTTCGGGTCTGGCGGTGCCAAAAGGCCGGCCCGTAGCCATCTCTGACCGTTACTGAGTATGTTTTGACACATCGGGAACATAATCTGATGTTTTAAAGCACCAATCATTTCCTACCTCTTGACCAAAAAAACCTTGGCATTACAGTGGAAGACCTGATCCAGTGGCAAAAAAACGTGCCGTTTTGCATCCGGGAGGTATCAAAAAATGTAGCAAAATACCTCCCTCTCCAAGTGAAAAGACTCCGATTTCAAAAGCGCGCCCGCTCTTTTTGTGAGGGAAAGGGCCCGCAGTTCAAAACGGGACTTTTTTAGTTGGAGAAGGAGGCATTTTGCCACATTTTTGATACTTCCCGGATGCAAAATGGTACGTTTGTTGCCACTGGATCAGGGCCCCACTGTATCTGCAAAACCCGGTCTAAAGTCATAAATAAACTCATGAGCATTTTACATAAAAAAACTCAAATTTGTGTCAAGTTTTATCCAAATCAGTCTGCTCCGCATTTTTTATTTCTCAAGTATTTTTTGCCATACCCCAAATTGACCCTCAAATTTGACCAAACTTATTATTTCGTAACCTAATTCCTCTACAAACTATAAAATCCACGAGGAATGACACATCTTCCGAGAACAGCAGACCACTTTACACTACCTTCCTCAAAATAAGGTTTCTTGTGCGGCGATTTGATAAACTCGGTTTCAATAAACCCTAAAAACCTCGAGGGTTTCCGGTGGATTTGTTGTTTACCCGCCAATCGCTGGTTAATTATGATTTCGACAATTGGATGGCTCACTGTTTTAGTGTAAAGTCTCTCAGTTATGAACAAACTTGATCAGTTAAAGTACCATTTACTCTAATTTCTCGACTACAATTTTTCAAGTTTGGCTGCAGATTTTTAGACTACCGAAAATACATGGCTTCTGTTGCGTGTTACACTGTTTTTTTAACCGATAAGACATACTCGGAAGTCTTTCTCTCATTGTCATATTACAAAAAAGCAATAAAATGCTCGAATCTTTTTGACCGGTCAATTTTTTTTGAGCTTTTAAGTTACTCTCGACTGTAATTATAGTAAAACTGGTGGTTTATTACTGCAACGGCAGATCAATGGTTTTCGTAATCAGGTCAAAGGAGAAAGTAGACCGCAATTCGAAGCTTGGGGTCCTACAGTGACGAACCCGTTACAGTGGCAAAAAACGTACCATTTTGTATCCGGGAAGTATCAAAAAATGTAGCAAAATACCTCCCTCTCCAAGTGAAAAAACCCCGATTTCAAAAGCGCCCCCGCTTTTTTGTGAGGGAAGGCGACCTTCAAAACGGAATTTTTTAGTTGGAGAGGGAGGCATATTGCCACATTTTTTGATACTTCCCGGACGCAAAATGGCACGTTTTTTTGCCGCTGGATCAGGTCCGTCACTGTAGAATGTTCGCGACTAAACTTTTGTCACATTTTCCGTTCTTATAGAGAAATATCCAAAGATTTCTACTTCATTCTTTCTTGTGATTTCGTAAGACATCTATCAACTTGTACTACGACCTCCAAGCTGAGCAAAAAATCGTATCCTCGGCTTCCAACAGACTTTTTGAGCCTACAAACCCACCCGTGGTCACTTGGATCCCCCATAAACTTTGTCTTTGCTCCTGTGACATCATAAAGACGTTATTTACTGACTTTTCGAACTTCAGATTTGGTCTCTTACAACAAAATCTTTTTTCATATTACGCATGGTTCGTAACCCGTTGGTTTTCAGTTTGTCTACGAATTGAGACCCAAGAGCATAGTGGAGGTGTAAGAATCACGTAGCGATCATAGTGTAGTTTTGAAATACATTCTTCCTACTAATATAAAAACAAGGTCCAATTTCGACCTTATTTTAACGACTTTTTGGAAGTTTTACCGCAAATTTCGACTGGAAATTGCAAAACAATTTACTATAAATTTTTTCGGAACAGTAAGTCAATAACTTGTGACATTTCGTCATGAAAAATGCCCTTGAAATCGTTCCAAAAATCCAAAATCGATTTTTCAAACGATTCCAATGATATTATCCGTGACGAAATCACATAAATCATCGATCCACCCGTTCCATATCTATATTTAGCTATAATTATTAACGTTAATTAGCAAACAAACAAGACCTTCATTGATCTTATGTTCATTACCACAGTTATGACCAAGTGTAATATAATGTTGTAAAACTCGGGCTCTTTCGAAAGTCCTCGCTTTCTTTCCAATCATTCATATGCAATTTCCAAAACTGCACTGTAAAAGCGCATCATGTTTCAATGAAATGACGTTCGTCGACCAAAAGTCACGGTGATATCTTCGATCACGACTATAATGTCACGTTCTGGGGGTTTCCGCGAGATCAACAATGATGAATTTTTGTCAATAAAGTCATCAATAATAAAATAACCCTGGTGTTTTTTGGGAGAAGAGGACTTCGCTAGTTGCGTCATGTGCCCATGGATAACGGTGTATTGTAACAAACAAGTTGTTGAAAATATATTTGCCTACAGCGGGGACCTGATCCAGTGGAAAAAAACGTACAATTTTGCATCCGGGAAGTATCAAAAATGCAGCAAAACACCTCCCTCTTCCAATGAAAAAAACTCCCATTTCAAAACCGCGCCCGCTCCCTTTATGAGGGAAACGGTGCGCCTTTCAAAACGAAGTTTCTTCGCTTGGAGAGGGAGGTATTTTGCCACATTTTTCACACCTTTTTTTCACTTGTGAAGGGAGGCACTTTGCTACATTTTTTTGATAATTTCCGGATGCAAAATGGTACGTTTTTGCCACTGGATCAGGTCCGTCACTGTAGTTGGCCAATTCAAAAGCCAAGTTGACAGCTGGGTCGTGCAACTGAATTTGACAAATGGTTGGATTGGCCTAAAAATCTTCTATTTCGTTGCCATTTTTTGAGATTTTTAGGCTAATCCAACTTTTTTCCTGTCCATTTAGCCTGGCTATCAATTCAACTCCAAAATTAGTGACCTCTCGCGACGATGAGGCATAATCAAAGTTTTTCAAATAAAAATCAATGTCATTTTTTCGACTTGTTTGTTACAGTATATCATAAACCATAGTCACATGGGGTTACACCACTAGAAACCCTAGAAAACCCATCTTTCGCCCAAGGCCATTATTGATGACTTTATCGACAAACTTTACCATCAATATGACAGCAGGCCCATGCACTTTCTTGATTTTTAAATTGAAATACCGAAATCATAGGTCGTCTCATAACCCAATGAGTAATTTTAAGTAAACCTTTCGGCTTTATTTCTATTTCACCTAAATCTCTCTATTCAACGACGCTGGCGACCATTTTCTCACCAGACAAGGCGTTGAAAATGTTGTCTACCGTGGTCGAAGCCATCAAATTTCGCGTAGCCACCGTTGCCGACCCAATATGGGGCAGAATCGTGCAATTTCTTCTTTGAAAAAGCGGATGATCCAATGGGAGAGGCTCTGGATCCGTGACATCAAGCCCAGCGGCATAGATTTCCCCAGATTCCAGGGCGGAATTCAAATCATCCATCTTGACAAGGACTCCTCGACTAACGTTGACGAATATGGCATCACTTTTCATCTTCTTGAAGGCTTCCGTGTTGAAAATCCCCTTATTTTCAGCAGTCGCAGCCACAGTGCAGATCAAAAAATCGCTTTCTTTGAGTAAAGTGTCAAAATCAACGTATTCATATCCGGGAACTAAAAATACAAATAATTTTGCATTCAAAAGGAACCTACCGTCATTTCTAGGCTTTCTATTATGATACAAGATACGCCCCGGCTTGAATGGCTCCAATTTTTCGGCCATACTTTTACCAATCGCACCTAAACCATAAAATCCAATTGTTTGACCGGATATTGCTTTGCCACACATGTAATACGGCGTCCAGGTAGACCAACCGCCGCTGAAAATAAAACGATAGATCGGGCAGGGTACGTCGTTGAACTCGAAACCAAAATTCGAAGACAAATTATATTATCCATGATTAAAAAATCTCAAGAAAAGCAATAAGTAGAGGTAACTAACAATTACCTTTTTGCAGAGTCAGCTGCCTCAACAATACGCCGACTAACAGCCAGCAACAACGAGATTCCCAGTTCTGCTGTAGCCTCCGTCAAAACTCCAGGTGTGTAGCCAACTTTGATCGCCCTAAAGCAAAGAAACATAAATCGAATAAAACCATGTTTACCTCTTCTTGCATTCCTCAATGTCCAAATGCTCATATCCAACTGACATAGTCCCAATAACCTTTAGTTTTTCACCTGAATTCGCAAAATTATATTATCCATGCGGGCAAGCTCACAATTGCTCAAAAACTCCTTGTCAATCTTGTCCCTCAGCAAACAGAAGAGTCCATCCACGTTCCTGGACCGCTCAATCAGCTCTTTCCGAGGCATCTGACCAACTGCATCGTACTGATCAACATCTGCACTGGAAAAATCAGCAATTTACCCGGAAACAATATAAACTACCTAAAAACAGGATGAAAAATATGACGACTTACATCTTTCTAAGCTTGTCGACGTTGACGGTGCTGTCAGTGACCAGGACCTTCGGTCGACTCATTGAAAATCGAGCAGAATCAGCCACAACAGCTGATCTAAAAAGGGTTTCAAGTCATAAATGCAATATAATTTACCTGCATGCAGATAATAACGTCAATACCTGTGATCGATTAATTTTTACAGCGTTTGCAAAACAATAACAACCATTTTTATCATTTTTGGTTCAACAAATTCGGTATCAAAAATCCAATAATTCCTGGACATTTCGTGTGACAAACCAATGGTTTTGTGGCATTTCGTCTATGGCGATTTGTTTGTGGCTTTTCGCTGTGGGTCGATATTGGCGTCGAAATTCGGGAGAAAAAACGGCGAGAAAAAAGCTTGGCCGACCGCAATTTATCTTCTTCGTCGCGTGAAATGATTCATCGGGCATGAATTCTGTGAATCTGGACAAACTCACAACGCAGGACGCCTTCTTCGTGGTTCAGGTAGGGTTACCCTTAATTTTTGAATGTTCTAAATTTAGATGAGCCGGAAATCGATGAGTAATTACCTCTTATTATACTGTAATTTTCTTTTGGCCGCAGAGCTGACTTTTTAAAAAAGTTTTTCGTTGAAGCCTAGTGCAATATTGTTTTTGAATTTTCATAAGGAAACTCTTTCAGGAGTTGGACGAACTTCCGGTATTCGATGACCAGCCAAGTATTGAAGCTAATTCAGCGCAAATCAGTGTTCAAACCAGCTTTGACACCAATTTTCAAGACCGAGAAGCATTTGTAACTGGTGTCTCAAAATACATCGAAGAGGCCACTCGTCATGGCGTTTTTGTAAGTCCTTTCCGTGGGTTTTCTGTGTTTAGGTATTCCATGTCATTTTTACACCCGTATTTTGCTGTATTTTCCTATTTGTCTCGCTTTCTTCTTTAATTTTTACTTTCCACACTGATGGCAAGTATAATGTAAAATTTCTTTGTAGAATGACATGCTGGCGGAGGGATTCCAACATGCCGCAAATCTTTACACCTGGAGGTGTATTTCTCGCTCAGTTCCGACGGTACAATCGAACGATGATCCCGCGAGAAATGCGATAAATCAACGGGTCTGCCAAGTTTTAGGTCCTCACATTGATAAACTCTTTGAATTTATGGAATTTACCGTGAGTTTTCTTGATTATTTGATTGCTTCTGTTTTTAGAGTTTCAGATCTTGCTTACGAATGTTCTCTTGACCTATAAATGCTTTCAGAACAAGGCAATAAATCGGTTTTGCGACGAGATTGCCAGATTATGCCATCCGGAAAAACGAAAAGATTTCGTTTCGGAGTCGTATCTCATGACATTGGGCAAATTTCTGAATATGTTGGTGGTTCTCGACGAGCTGAAGAATATGAAAGCGTCGATAAAGAATGACATGTCAACGTTTAAACGTGCTACGCAGGCTCTTCAAAGCAATGGAATGGAGATGATGTCCTTTCAAAAAGTCCATGACCTCAGTTTATTCTTGGCCACACAACATAAAGTCAAGGAGAATTTAAAAGAGCGACTCGTGCAGGTAACTTTTTTTCTTTTTTTGTTGAATTTTAGGTTGAAATCGCAATCTGGGACATTAATTTATATTACACTATGTGTCGGATGTTCAAAAATCACTAAACTTATAATCTTTTCAGATCGAAGGGTTCGAAGACGTCCTAGCTGATGTGATAAACATTTGTGTGTACTTTTTTGAGAATCAAATTTACATCACAGCAGACGAGAAGCACATGTTTGTCAAAGTAATAGCATTTAGTTTGTTCTTGATCGATGGCAATGGTGACAACGTCAAAAAGCTCGATCAGTCAAAGCGATTGAGTATTCAGAAGCTGGATAAACTCTTGAAAGTAAGAATTTCCTCTTTTTATATTATCCATGAAGAAAAATTATATTGTTTTAGGCATCAAAATTTTTTCTGGATTCTTATAAATTTGAGTATTATAAATTGTGATTTCAGACTCTAGAAGCAGTTCCATTGTTCGGCGACATGCAGATTCAGCCATTTTCGTTTGTCAAGCGATCTCAATTTTACAATCCGTCGAAATGGCCGTTGTGCAGTTCGCTGTCGAATACTTGTCATATAAATATCCTGGAGAAAGTGAGAGTGACCCGCAAACATCACGATGAGTTTGTAACACACTTGGCAAGAATCAAAAATGATGTGAGTGAAAAATTTTATATTATACTAGGCAAATTTTTTCCATTTTTGTTGATTTTTGTGTCTTTGGCTATTTATTTGAATTGATTTTTGATTTATTTGTGTTTCAGATGACAATTGTTGAGCCGGATCAGCCCAGAACCGACGAGGAGAACAAAGAAATCACCGAATTGTGTCTAAATGGCCTCAGACTTCTTTGTGATTGGACATCGTCGGTAATAGAGTTGGTGTCATGGAAGCTGGACAACCCAGCCAAACCGGAAACCCATCCCGAATGCCCTCCGGAGTCGGCGAGTTATGCCCGAGCCACCACTTACAATTATACTCCAAGTGAAAAGGCAGCGTTGGTGGAGATGATTGCAATGATAAAAGGTAAGCGTAAGATATTTTTTTTTTGGATTTTCTGTCTTTAGGAGTTCAACTGCAACTCAGTCGACTTGAAGCGGACTTTGCAACTCCGATCCGCAAACATATCTACGCGGAAGTCCAAGATTTTGTCCAATTGACCCTAAGGGAACCACTTCACAAAGCTGTGAAACACAAGAAGGATATGATCTCGACTATCATCAACTCGATTATTGACACTTGTGCGGATGCGTCGAATTTGACCATGTCGAAATCAATGGAGTTCTCGTCGAAGAAGAAGAGCAAAAAGGAGCAAAGCCAGAGTTTGAGCGATTTGAGCAGCAAAAGGAGAAGAGAAGTACCGCCGAGTAGCACGCAGGTGAGCCTAATTAAACCTAGAGGGATATAACAGAAAGTTTAGGTCAGATATTATTGGTAGACCCCTTTAAATTAAGTTTTTTTGACCTTTTCTTTATGGTGAATATAAGAACATGTGAAATTTCAGCTCTACCTGACCAGAACAATGCTGGAAAGCTTGGTGTCGGAGAAATCGGGCGGCCGAAGACTCCGAAAAGACATTGACCCAAAGCATTTGGAGAAGATGTTTCTCTTCCTCCGCCAATCTTACTACTGGCCATGTTTGTTGTCTTTCTCGCAAACCCTCGCCAATTGCTGCGATCTGAGTCAGTTCTGGTTCCGCGAATTCTACCTGGAGATGTCGATGGGCGAGCAAATCCAATTCCCAATTGAGATGTCGATCCCATGGATCCTGACGGATTATGTGTTGACCAGTCAGGACCCATCCCTGATGGAGTGTTTATTGTACCAATTGGACCTCTACAACGACGCGGCGGCGTATTCGTTGTCGAAATTCCGAAAGCAACATCTTTATGATGAAGTGGAGGCGGAAGTGAATTTGTGCTTTGATCAGTTCGTTTTCAAGCTGTCCGAAGCCGTCTTCCAGCATTATAAACAGTTGGCTGCGAGGTAAGAGGGAACTGTCTTGGAAGTGATTGAGTTTATGTGGGATTTGGGTAGAATATACAGTGGCGGACCTGATCCAGCGGCAAAAAACGTACCGTTTTGCATCCAGGAAGTATCAAAAAATGAAGCAAAATACCTCCCTCTCCAAGTGAAAAAAATCCGATTTCGCAAGCGCGCCCGCTCGTTTTGCGAGGGAAAATGCGAGCCCTTCAAAACGAAGTTTTTTCACTTGGAGAGGGAAGTATTTTGCTACATTTTTTGATACTTCCCAGATGCAAAATGATACGTTTTTTGCCACTGTATCAGGTTTGTCACTGTAGGGGAAATTATGGATCTTTTTTTGGAAAATGTTGGGGTTTGGGATGCTGAGATCAGTTTTTATGGGGTTTGGATAGGTTTTTAGTAGATTCGGTATATAAATTTTAGTTTTTTGGACGCTCATTGAGCTCAGGATTGATTGGAAAAAAGGTGGGATGACCATAAAAGTGGTACAAGATCGTAACAAAATTTTGGAATTGAAATTTTAGCTTTTGTGTTCGGTTTTTGGTCGCCTGTTGCCTGTATTTTGAGCAGATTATGGACTTGAAACAAGTTTAGGCTCTGTTGAAATTTTGTTTTATGTTCATACGATAGTTTATATCAAATATTTTCTAAATTTTTCATTTTTTTAAAAAATTTACAGTATGCTTCTGGATAAGGGATTCAAAGCGGACTGTACACGAATGGGAATTACCCTCCGAACCCCACCCGCAGCACGCTTCGAAACGCTCCTGAAGCAACGCCACGTCCAACTGCTCGGCCGCTCCATCGATCTGAATCGCCTGATCTCGCAAAGAATTGATGTTGCTCTCGCCAGAAGCTTGGATGTCGCGATTTCGAGGTTCGAATCGGAAGGCCTGTGGTACATTGTCCCCTTGGATGCGATGATCGAAACAAATAGACTCTGTCATCATTTATTGTCGGAGCATTTGCATTCTCTGGCCGATTTTGATGACATGTTGACAGAAGCAAATCATCAAGTGAATTCAACGAATGGACGGACGACTTTGCACATTTTCAACGAAATGAGTGGCGATTTGATGCCAAATTATTATTATAATTCGTTCACTCAACGGTTTGTGAAAGGAAGAGTGAGTTTTTGCGAGGTTTAGGCCGATTTTTTGAAGAAATTTGAGAAAATTGGAAATTTTTTGAATTTTTTGAAAATTTTTTTCGAGAATTTGATTTTTTTTGGGTAAAAAGTATATTTTTTGTTTGGGGAAAATTGGAAATTCTTTGGATTTTTTGAAAATTTGATTTTGAAAATTGTTTTTTTTATGAAAAATTTATTTTTTTGTTGTCGAATTAGGCCGATTTTTTGGAAGAAATTTGAGGAAAATTTCAAAATTTTTTGAATTTTTTTTTGAGAATTTGATTTTTTTGGGTAAAAAATGTATTTTCTGTTGACGAACAACATTTTCAGCTCCGATATCGCAACGAACCGCACCGAGACAAGCCCCCATCAGTCCCGCCGGTCTTTGAATTCGGCTCCAAATCCCTGAACGCGGCCTTTGCCAATATATGCGCAATGCATAAAAATTACATCGGATTGACTCACTTTGCAACAATGGCCAAGTTTATGGGATATCAGGTAGGAAAATTGAAAAAAAAATTTTTTTTGATTTTGGGGATTTTTTGAAAAAAATTTTTGTGTAATTTCGGGTAAATTTTGGCAAAAATATGTAATATTTGTGATGAAATTGCGATTTTACTCCATCAGAAATTATTTTGCCACCAAAAAATATTTTTTTGACACAAAAAATTTGTAAAAATGGATTAATTTTTGCCAATTTCAGGGAATTGCCACTGTGATCGACGAGATGCTAATGTTGGCCCGACAAATCATCGACGAACAGATCAAACCCCACGTCCGAATCCTGTACAATTTAAGTCCGAAGATCCTCAAGCTCCCCCGATACGACTATGGCGCCGAAGCCATCCTACAGTACTACTTACAGCCAGCAAAGTCGATAGTTGCATACGAGCCGCTGAAGAAGGAATTCGCTCAAGGATTGAGAGAACTGGGAAACTTGATCACATTTTGTCTCCAATTGGAATCGGGCCTGGGAAAGGAGGACATGATCGACTTGTTCAACAGCGCTCCGTTCACGAAATGCATCCCGAAACCGCCGTTTAAATGTGAGTGGGTGTGATGGGATAGCATGGCCGAAATTTTGGTGAAAATTTGCGGAAATTTAGACAAATTTTTGGAGAGATTTGCGACTTTTTTTGAAGAAAACGTCTCAAAAATTTTTGAAAAAATGGAAAAATATTTTTCAATTGTGATCAGTCAGAAATGGTGATGATTATCGCGGCAAAAAGTCCTTGGAAATTTTCTGCGACTCTGCACTGTGCATGAACCCGAAAAAACATTTTGCACCGTGCTTCCGTCCCAAAAAGTGCTTTTGCGGAAAAATGTCCTTTGAATTTTTCGCGACCTCCGAATTCCGTCGCACTCCGAAAAGTTGATTTGTCGCGGCGAAAAATGGGAAAATTGCACTGTGCAAAAGCACTTTTTGGGCCGGATGCGCGGTGCAAAATGTTTCTTCGGGTTCATGCACAGTGCAGAGTCGCAGAAAATTCCAAGGATTTGTCGCGACGTAAGGCAAAAACAAGAAAATTGCACTGTGCAAAAGCACTTTTTGGGCCGGATGCGCGGTGCAAAATGTTTCTTCGGGTTCATGCACAGTGCAGAGTCGCAGAAAATTCCAAGGATTTGTCGCGACGTAAGGCAAAAACAAGAAAATTGCACTGTGCAAAAGCACTTTTTGGGCCGGATGCACGGTGCAAAATTTTTTTCGGGTTCATGCACAGTGCAGAGTCGCAGAAAATTCCAAGGACTTGTCGCGACGTAAGGCAAAAACAAGAAAATTGCACTGTGCAAAAGCACTTTTCGGGCCGGATGCACGGTGCAAAATGTTTTTTCGGGTTCATGCACAGTGCAGAATCGCAGAAAATTCCAAGGACTTGTCGCGACGTAAGGCAAAAACAAGAAAATTGCACTGTGCAAAAGCACTTTTTGGGACGGATGCGCGGTGCAAAATGTTTCTCCGGGTTCATGCACAGTGCAGAGTCGCAGAAAATTCCAACGACTTTTTGCCGCGAAATTAATTTGGATTCGATTTTAGCCCGAGAAGACCACGAAATGAGGCTGACCCGGCTCAGCGAACAAGCGGAACGCATTCATATTGCATCGGCCGTTGAGACCTTCGGCAATGCAATTCAAAGAGGCCTGGTGCAAGAAACGGAACTCCTGACGAAGGAAAGACTCTGCGGAGGCATGAATATATTCGAGAGATTGCTCACCCGACTTCGAGATCACTTTATGGACGACCAAATTTTTGTGGGACCACCGAATCCGACGAATGGAGTGATGCTGGTCGATGAAATTGCGGAATTCCATAGATTGTGGTCGAATATCCAAGTCGCTCTTCATGTACTCCAAATTCACAATGCCAGCGACAAAACGAATGATGTCCCGAGCACAGAGTAAGAGATTTTGAAAAGTTTTGGAGGGTTTTTTATGTTGTAGTAGGTTCAGATTGAGGTTTTTGGAAGTTTGATGATTTTGAAGTAATGAGTGGATATTTTCAGCGAAGTTTTTGGCGATTCGCTATATTGGGCCTCCATGACGATCATCAGAGTGTTAAATCAGCATCGGCGATTCGAAGTCATGGACTTTTCGTATCATTTGCTAAGGGTTTATAGAGTCGAAATGGGAGCACTACAGCAAGGAAATGCCAAAAAGGAAGATGGAGTGGTAAGTAGAGGCCTTAAAGGAGATGTTGGAGGGTTTTAGAGCCAATAAAAATAATAAGAGATGATTTTTTGGCGGCTTTTTATATCTGATGTCATGGATAATATAATTTTTTGAATTTTCAGACTTTATCCGCTATTGTTGACCGAATCCGACGGCAGCAGGCCCTGAACAATTACATTTTGTCTATTTTGGATTCGCATTTGGGTGTCGTGGACAGAGAATACGGCATGAATTCGCGACAACAGTTCGAAGCCCCCCAGCATCGGAAGGCCGAAGAAATGCGGCGATTGCCCCCGTTGGCGGCACCTGGAACCAATAAAAACCTATCCTCATTGAGCGCAAATACGTCATCGACCAACATATACGGCCATCAAAATAATTTGGACGGCACTTGGGAGCAATTAACGCCCCGATAGCCGACTTGATGGGTAATATAATATAAAAGGGAAATTTTTTGAATTTTCTGGCTAAAATTGTCATTCTTTTTGCAGATTGCGAATTTTTAGCGAATATTCCTCCTATATACAGCGTTTTTATCGATTTTTGACTTTGTTTTTACACCTAAGATTAAAGATTGTACAGTAATTTTAGTTGTAATTTTTTTTATTTTTTTTTTCATTTCCTGCTCGAATCGTGTCTTTATTTTTGCTCACAGCCACCTCTTGCTTATATTATTTATTCCAACAATAAGTACATGGTATTTATGTATACATAAAATATTAAAAATGCTACTGGTTTTTTTGAAAATTGTGAAATTTCGGAATATGAGGTGGTTTCTGGAGAGAGTTAGGTATACTGCACGTCAAAAGTTTGGAACAGGCCAGATCTTCTTTGCGGCTTGAGATGGGAGTTTCATTTCTTATTTATTAGAAGCTCCATGTATTAAGAACCTCAATGAATACATAGCCACTGAAATCAGAAAGCTCGTTGGAATTTAAAAAAAAATTTTAAAAAATAAGTGCGTCAAAAGTTTGGAACAGCTTTTGGAAGGTGATTATAAACTTCGGGATGGAGGCAGGTATCCTCGCATTTAGTGTTTCTGGATGATGTATGGAATCGGCATGCCAATGGCATACTGATTTTCATCGATAAACCCAAAATGAAAAAAATGCTTATTGAGCCAAAAACTACGGTCAAATTTGCGAAAAAATGAATTTTTTGGTTTGGGTTCTTTATGTTATCGGTGTGTAAGCGTTCCAAAATATTTAATGTGGTCGCACAATTGTACAAGGGCACTCAGATCTTCGCATAGGGACCATATCCGCACAGCATAATTTATGAAAATTTTGAGTTTTGCTATAAATCTTTATTTAATGTTTTTTATATTTTTTATAGAGCGGCTTGGAGGCTAATTGGCTTTAAGACCGTTATCGTGGGATAAAAAGGTGTCTTCAAGAAACAAAAACCCACGCTATTTGCAATATCCAAGGCCACATCTTTCGGATATTAAAAAAAATTTTGTCCCCAAAATCAATATTCATAGCTGAGACGGATTTGTGGCGTGATAAATCGGAAAGTTGGTTTATGTTACTGTATCGGTGTGATAACTATAAAGGCACTTAGTTTTGAGCCCTGCAGCGGCTTCAAATCCAAGATAAAAAATATGGGAATATTAACATTTCATATACCCGCTATTTTTAAAGATGTGGCGTTGATGTTGCAAATAGTGGCCAGGTTCTGCTTCTTGAAGACACCTTTTTATTCCACGATAACTGTCCTAAAGCCAATCAGCCTCCAAGCCGCTCTATGAAATATATAAAATACATTAAATAAAAATTTATAGCAAAATTCAAAGTTTTCATAAATTATGCTGTGCGGATATGGTCCCTATGCGAAGATCTGAGTGCCCTTGTACAATTGTGCGACCACATTAAATATTTTGGAACGCTTACACACCGATAACATAGAGAACCCAAACCAAAAAATTCATTTTTTCGCAAATTTGACCGTAGTTTTTGGCTCAATAAGCATTTTTTTCATTTTGGGTTTATCGATGAAAATCAGTATGCCATTGGCATGCCGATTCCATACATCATCCAGAAACACTAAATGCGAGGATACCTGCCTCCATCCCGAAGTTTATAATCACCTTCCAAAAGCTGTTCCAAACTTTTGACGCACTTATTTTTTAAAATTTTTTTTTAAATTCCAACGAGCTTTCTGATTTCAGTGGCTATGTATTCATTGAGGTTCTTAATACATGGAGCTTCTAATAAATAAGAAATGAAACTCCCATCTCAAGCCGCAAAGAAGATCTGGCCTGTTCCAAACTTTTGACGTGCAGTATATGTACAGAAAAAAAGATATGTCTTTTTTGTGGACTGTAGGAATTTTTAGGCAATTGGAAGGGTTTCTACTTGGGTAGAATGAAAAATTGAAAAAAATGTGATGCTAAAATAAGGTCAATTTTGTGGGAAAACGTAGTCGAAAGCACTTGAAAATGCAGAGTTTAGTTGAACAAGGAGGTCCGTCCACTTTCAGCCTTCCCGAATCCACCATGCAGGCTCTGGAATTCTTTGAAAACCCGCTGAAACTCGCGGTCAAAGTCAATAAGTCCGCTGGACGGAAGGCTCTCTTCTCGACGCAATTCGCAGGCCAACACTGGCTGTTCTGATCTGAAAATGTGGTATTGGAATTAGCGGAAAATTTGGGGTAAAAAACAACATAAAATTTTTGGGATTTTTAGGAATTGGGGGCAGAGATTGCCACGGTCAAAATTTTGGCTCCGGCTCCGGCTTTTAGCTCCCGGAGCCGAGGCCAAATTTGCAGCTCCGGCTCTTGGCTCCGTGCAAAATTTAAAAAAGGCCTCCGGCTCCGAATCCCGGCTAATTGCAAAATGTTTTTTAAAAATATTTTCCCAAAAATAAAAGGTATTAGTGCCAGAGATCATACAGCCAACGTTTTTGCAGTCAAGTCACATCCTTCGCAGTGTTTTTCAAGCAATTTGGTTTAACAAGAACACGAAATTTTTACTTTTCTGACCGCTGGGAAGCCTGGCTCCGACTTTGGGTTCGGGAGCCGGAGCCGACTCCAAAATTTCCGGCTCTGGCTCCCGGCTCGAGAGCCGGCCGCTCGGAGCCGGAGCCAAGAGCCGGCTCCGGAGCCGTGACAATCTCTGATTGGGAGTACGCAAAATGAGGAGATTCCGCCAGACGAAAAAGGATTTTCGCTCATAACTTTTTTGGCCGTGGAAATGAAAATTTCATTTTTTGTAAAACTGCTTTCAAAAGAAATATCGATTAGCCATAAATCCAAATATTTAAAAAAAATTGTATCATTACATTTTTACGTTCCTCTGTAGAAGAAAGATGTAAAATTCAGAAAAATAGATGTAATAAAATCACCGGATACCCACTATTTTTAGACAAAATTTGAAACACTACATTTTCACATTATTTTGTATCCCAAAAATGTAAAATTCAGGTGAAATTAATGTAGTTTTCGAAATCCCCGCCATCGAAACCTCTCAACCCTGTTTCAGGAAAAGAAATTCTTTTTCGAAAGTCTAGGCCTCATGGGAGTGTAGGAATCTGAAAAATTTTGTTTGTATTCATTCACCGCTTCTAGAGTCATGGGAGGTTGTTTTCCAGAAATGGTTCTGGACCTTAAGAAATGCTTGGTTGTTTTTTTCGTCTGGCAAAGGGTATTTTTTTACGTTCAGATGTCCTTTTTTGCCGGTGTAAGCATGGCTGCAATCTGGGTCGGCGCGGGCTTGCAAAATTTTTAAATTCACGGTAAAATTTCGTGTGTAATTTATTGAATTTGGAAATTTTCGTGTGTGAAAAACGTTATAGCCGGATTTTTTGGACACCAAAAGAATCTTGCCATTCTGTTTATTTTGCTGTTCTGGAGGAAGACCAGACATTGGTTTGGTCTTCTTAATGTAATCTTAGCGGACCTGATCCAGTGGCAAAACATGTGCTATTATTTTGCGTCCGGGAAGCATTAAAAAATGTGGCAAAGTGCTTCCCTCTCCAAGTGAAAAAAATCCGATTTCAAAAGCCACGAAAAAAATCCCTTTTTATGAGGGAAAGAGCCCACTCCGTTCAAAACGGAATTATTTAGTTGGAGAGGGAGGCATTTTGATACATTTTTATTACTTCCCAGATACAAAATGGTACGTTTCTTGCCACTGTATCAGGTCCGTCACTGTAGGGAAAATTATGGGGTTTTTTCGGGTGATTTTTCGGGTGATTTTTTCCGCTATTGCTTTTGAGAGCTCTCAGAAAATCCATGTTTTCTTAAAAACCTGGCCAAGCCCGGGCCGGGCCAGGAAATTTTGCAAAGCCCGGAGCTATGCCTATATCGGTGGTCTTTATCGATGCGGGGCCCCGTTTTTTACATAATAAATAAAAGACCCCGCGGGGTTCTTTCTGATGGGATTCTATATTTTTTTCTTCTGCAAAAAGCGTGAAAATCGCCTGAGAATCGTGTAATACAGTTTCGCAAAGGGAACGTCTTGTTTACTGCTCGCAAGGGCAATCCGAAAAATAGAGTTTATCATCGGCGGGTGATATGTCATTTTTTTGAGTAAACTATCGTATAAAATGGATGGAAAAACAAAGAATTTGGAGCTCAGAGAGCGGAAATTTCATCAGCGAAAAGAGTTTCATGTGGCCTGCGAGTGTGTGTGTCTTGTTGTTATTTACATATTATAGGGGAGTGTTGTTAGTTTTGATTGGCATTTCAAGAAGAGCAGTTGGGTTTAAAAGTGGAGAATAGAGGAAAGAGTTGTGGGAAGAGAGTAAATTACATATAGGATGTCATCATCCTTGTTTGTGCGCATCATTGGGTTGGAAAAGTCTTTGGGATGAAAAGAAAAATATCCCTAATGCGACTCTCAGAATTCCTTAAAAATTTACATACAGGGTGCGGCAATTTTTCGGCCGGATTTGAATTGGCTATAACATTTTTAGTTTTTATCCGAATGTTAAAATTCTTTTTTTCCCTGAATCCATAGACAACCCCATTTTGTTTAATGCCAGATATGTTATACCCGTTCATTAGACTACAGTAAAAATTAGAGACAAAGAAAAAGCTCTAATTTTCATAGCTGGCAGTGGAATTACCCCTAGTGCGACTCTCAGATTTTCTTTAAATTTTGCACATGGGCCGGACATAGGCCACACATCAATTCCTGAAAGTTTCAGCCCGCACCTTTCAAGGGCGACCAAGATATTCAACGATTCTTTGCGGTCAGGAGGGCACATGAGTGGTCACACAGAAAAACTTTTTAGCTATATCTTCGCTAGTTTTGTGCGGAGATAGCTGATTTTTTGTGGAAACGGTATTCTCCATAGCATGAACAGGCATGAAACTTTTTACGACAAAATTCGTAAGAAAAGTCATTTTTTCTGGCGATTTTCACACACGCCGAAAAAGCAGAGAAAACGACCGAAAGGCCAATAACTATGAACTAGGTCCCTGTCTATATAACATATTTGGTACTAAACAAAATGGGGTTGTCTGAGGATTCAGGGAAAAAAAGAATTTTAACATTCGGATAAAAACTAAAAAAGTTATAGCCAATTCAAATCCGGCCGAAAAATTGCCGCACCCTGTACATATTTTGGACATAGGTCACTTATCAATTCCTGAAAGTTTCAGATTGCGATTTGCAGTAGCAGCCGAGATATTCAACAATCTTTGCGGATGAGAGTACGAATAAGACGCGGAAACCGATCACATAGAAAAACACTTTTACTTTTATCACTTTTGCGGGGAAAAAATTTAGCTTTTGAGCAAACATTACTCTCTACGGCAGAAATAGCTTTTCATGCCAAAATCTGCAAAAAATTTCTCGTTTTTTCCAACTTTCGAACTAAAAATCTCGGTTGTTTCTGCAAAGCGCGAGCTAGGATTCTCACGTATATCTTAGAAAAAACTATTCTAATTTTGTGCCAAGTTTCATGCAAATCTGAACCACTTCCATTGCAAAATTCCCATTTTGGGCTTCGATTACAAGTGCAAAGTTTCGAGGAGAGTGAACTTTGTCCGGCGAAACGGCGACTTTTTCTCCCGGCGTTCGTATTTTTTCATTACTTATTTATCTTCGCCCGGGAGTTCATTCGATAAAATTTGTGCTCGAGCACAGAGATATCAATCACATAAAAGCGGGATGGGGGTTTGCAAGGTGTTCGAAGGAGGCGAACACTGCCCAACACCTAAGGGTCAGTTGTGGTCGGTTTTTGATGACTAAGCTCTCACATTTGTTGGGATGTAATGAGGCTAATCTTGGATGGTTGTTTTTATAGGAGAAGTGCTCGAGGGAGGAGGCTTGGATTTTGTTGAAATTTGGCACAAGTTTATATCCTTTTTTTCTATAAGAGGTTCGAGTTTTTTAGCTCGCGCTGTGCAGAAACGACTGAGATTTTAAGGCCGGAAATTGGGAAAAATGGCACCCTTTTTTGCGAATTTTGGCATGAAAAAGTTTGAGACTTATTGTTGCGGTAGAGAGAAATGCTTCCGCAAAAAATTAATTTTCACACGAAAACGGCAAAGACATAAAGGAAAAAGTTTTTTTTCTCTCACCGGTCTACGCATTTTGCGCACTCTTTTGTCGATGAAGGCAGTTGAATATCTCGGCTGCCCTTGTACCGGACGAGGTAAAATTTTAGAAAATTTTTATGTGGTATATGCACAACAGATGTGCAGAATTTAAAGGAGTTCTGAGAGCCGTACTTGGGATATTGCTTTTTTTCGTAGCAAGATTTTTTTGCATTTTATGGTACGGTAACAAAATGTCAAACAAAATCATTTCACACCCAACCATGTGCAAAAATAATGATCTTATTCCACATGTAAATTTCATCCTTTCCCTAACCCTTTCCTCCGTTATCTCTCACAGACAATGCGCCAGCATTGTGCAGCAGATTGGCGGGAAAGCAGCGAAAATTTGTGGATTGCGCCCTTCCTTATCAGACCGCTGATTGTGCCCATAAAAAGTGCACGGAGAATTTCGCGAACTGAGGAGGGCCATCGCGTGATTAGGTGTCATAATCACCGTCAGCTGCTCACAACGTTCCGGATGATAAAATGTTTGTTTGCAGAGTACGTTTTGAGACATTTTTGGGAGGGCATGGTTATATTAGATGGGAGATTTGGAAAAATTTAAATATTGATTTTAGGAAGTTGTGATTGCGGGGCTGGTTGCCTTGGAGTGTAGAGAGTGCTTATAAGTCATCATCGGTTAGTTTATTGCATTTAGAGGAAAATTGTCGGAATGGGTTATATTGCACTAGGTTATTTGATCCTATTTTTCGTTCAAATCTTGCTCCATTTTCATGAATTTTGAAGACCGATGCTAGGGATTCCCTTTGCATAATTTATGTCTGGATTCCATGTGAATCCCTAAGTTTTAGGTTTTTAAATTTAATGTAGCTTACAGGGGAAGTACCCCAATTGCGACACTCATATTTTAATGAAACTCGGCACAAATTTAGAATAACCTTTTCCAAGATATGTGCGAGAATCCTAGCTCGCGCTTTGCAGAAACAACCGAGATTTTTAGATCGAAAATTGGCGAAAATTTGACAATTTTTGACGAATTTCAGCACGAAAAGTTTCATGCCTATTTCTGCCATAGAGGGTAATGTTTCCACAAAAAATTGATTTTTTTCCGCATGAAACAAGCAAAGTTATGGCCAAAAAGTGTTTCGCTTTCTGACCGCCTTCCGCGTTTAGCGTACTCTCTCGGCGGCAAAGAGCGTTCAATACCTCGGCTGCGCTTGCAAAGCGCGAGCTAAAACGTTCAGGAATTGATACTGAGTTCATGACCGACATGCGTCCAAAATTTAAAGAAAATCTGAGCGTCGCACTTGGGGTAGGTACTTCCATCGTTAATCGCAAAAAATTTTAATATTGAAATATAAGTGTATTTTTTGGTATCATGTAAAAAATGGATATAAAACTTTAAGGACTAAAAAAACCCTTATAGGTCACACTGTGACCAAGACTAGCATTTGGTGTTGTAACAAAACTTTGAACATCAGATTGTATTGCATTAGACCCCTTGACTCATACTTCTCCCAAACATCCCCCAATTTACTCGCAATGTAAACAACAGTCCTATTATGCCGCCCCACTTACCTCACACGCTCCCTGAACCTAACTTCAGGCTCCTCCACTTGCGCGAAACTCGACCTGCCGCCGCCTGTCCGCAACTTGGGCTGTCCCACGTCGCTGAACCGATGCTTGGCCAGGTTGTCCTCGGATGGGTAGTGCTGATTGAAGTCGTAGTGGGGCTGACGCTGGCCCTCATTCTGGCGGGTCGGAGCTGGGGACACTGGCCCCGACGGTACGCTGCTCTGGTTCGACGACTGGTTCAGGGTTATGGTCGACGGTGCCCGCGAGGAAAGGATGCTGCCGGAAATGGTGCTGGACCTGGAAAGACACCGTTTGAAGCGAACAATAACTCATTGACAAAAGAAGAGTTAAAAGCAGTAAGTCGGGATTCTAGACTGCTTGTGGTCATATTATCGCCAGTTTTGTAAAATATGGGTATTGTCATCATACAGTGACAAAAATCACTTACGAATTGGGAGTGAGAAGATTCTCAAGGCGATTGGTGGTGGCATACCCTCCCTTTTGACGATAGGCTCGTCTGGGTGTCACAGTGAAGCGATCCGACGGTTTATAAACACCCAAACTCACATAGTTTGACATTGGCTGCATGATGTAGCCTGGAAAAGAAAATAGTCATGTTTTGTGAGGTTTTGATGACTTTATTTGCGCACGGAATTAATAACGGTGGCCATGGTGTCTTAAAAAATATAGCGTGCTTTTGAAATACGACCAAAAATCCCATTTTAGCTGGGGAAAAAACCGAAATCGAAAAGCGTTGAAAATTGGTGAAAACAGTTTTTATTTGGTTTAAACTTTACCTCGACGTCTGATGTTGCCCTTTTTAATGTTGCAGCAACATAACAAACCCATAAAGACCTTGAAAACCAATTAAATTGTAATATTTTTTTATGACTTATGAAGCGACTCTCGCCATTTGCAAAAACTTTCAAAACTCCCTAATTCAGACTTAAAATTCGACACTTGAAGCCACCGCCTAATCGCCGGCTCCTTTTTGATTAGTCTCACACTAATTTGAGGGAAACCTTGAACACTCTCTTGTTGTGTCGCGCAAAAACGACTCGAAATCGGAATGAAAAAGGCGAAGAATAGAGGGTCCAAAGAAGATTTCCTCCATTCATTTGTTCCATGAATCAATCACAGCGAAATTACAACACCCATGTATTTTCCGGCTCTTTGTTTATGTTGGAGGGATAGACTGGGGGGAGGAGATATAAACTTTGCATAATTTTTAATGAGAAATGAAACAAAAGGGGGTTACGGAGCTGATGGGGTAAGGGTTTGTGATAAAAAAAAGCTTTGTTTTTTAGTGAAATACTGTAGTGAAGTAGACGGATTTTGATGGGAAATTACAGTTAGACAGAAGTAAAAAATTTATAAAATGGATTTTGAGGAACTTCTTCACGATTGCATGGAGAAAGTAGGGGTTTTTTGAGCCCACAGGTAACGCTTGACTTGATTTTTAAAAGTTTATTCTAGTGAAATTCGCAGATGTATCAGCCGAAAAAGTATATTTTCATGGACGCCAGTTCACATGGGAACTTCTCAACGTGCCGTGATGAGATTTTGACGGGCTTGGCACAAATTTTGATTTTTGGGAAAATTTTTTTTTGGTCTAAAGTTGGTTAAAAAGTGTCGTCTTTTTGCGAATATTGGCATAAAAAGTTCAATTTTTATATTTCTGCCGAAGTGGGTAATGTTTCTACAAAAGATCCAAAATTTCCACGCGAAATTAGCAAAAGTATGGCCAAAAGTGTTTCTCTCCGACCTCGACTATGAAAGAATTTGGCCGTGCCTAAAATTTTTAGCGATCAAAATTTGCCACCATATAGGCGAAATATTATAGAACCCAAAAATAATGCAACCTAAAAATACCGAAAACCCGAGACACGCTTTACCTCTAAAAACATAAAACCCCTTGAAAATGTGGATACTTAACCCAGTAGACGCACCCGAGATCCCCACGAATCCCGCGTTTTTCACGAAGCCCCGCGCCGTATTTTCTTTACGTCAAAGAATTTTTAAGGTCGTTACGAACGAAAACTTTCCGGTGAAACATCGCCTAAAGGGAAAAGGCGAGAAAATTGATAAGAAACAGGGAAAATACGACAAAGCTCTTCGCCGAACGCGCCATAAGCCGTAACGGTCAATCATAATTCGAGAGCGATAAAAAATTATGAGTGTTTTTGGGTGGGGAAGTGGTTATGGGAGAGTAATTGATATGAGTAATACGAAAAAGAGGAAAATAAAGGAGAGTCATCGCGTTGAAATGGCGAATGAAGACAACTAATTTTTCAAGGGAAGTGCTCAAAGTGCGATGCTCAGATTTTGATGAAACTTGGCACAGGTTTAGGCCAAGGTCTTATAAAGGAAATGTGATCATTTTAGATCGCGTTTTGCAGAAAGAACCGAGATTTTTAGGCCGAAAGGTGGGAAAAATACGGCAGTTTTTTGCAAATTATCAAAAAAAATCTATAATATAAAATTTTCGTCATCCCTTGGACTACATAGATATCTCATTTATTTCTGCAAAATGCAGGCTGAGAATCTCGAATATTTCGGAGAAAAAATCATCCTTAATTCGTGGAAGAGTTCGTCACTATCAAAACGTTAAGTTCAGGGTTGTTAAAACAACGGATTTCTAACAATTTGATGTCAAATTTGCGTCAAATTGCCGTCATTTCCATCATTTTGGCTAACTTAAACATTGTGATATACGAAGCTTTCAAACGCAAGTTTAACATAGAATATGATGACTATCGTCAAAATTAGTCGTAACTGGTTTTATTGTTTATTTCATCGGTCGTTTTGACATGGAGAAGCAATTTAGTTCCTAAAAATTTTAAATTCCAACGATTTTTTTGTAAAAAATGGTCAAAAATTGTCAAAAAAGTTCAATTTGACAGTGAAAACGACATACAAATTTAACATGACAAGAATAACGGCAATTTGAAAATATAGCTGACGCGTTAACAACGCTAGCTTTAACTAAAAAAAATAAATACTTTGAGAATACCTCAAATTTCCCCCAGCACATTTTCCCTCCAACCATCACTAACTATGTGGAATTGCGCTCAACCAGATAAAGATTTAACCCTTTATTACTCGAAACAAAAGAAGACGCTAAATGGAATGCACGGAATTCACGAGTAAACCCATCAGCTCTGTTATCACCAATTACGACCAACTCCTTCTCGTAAAAAAGCACAGAGTTAATTCGTTGGAATTTGAGGAAAAAGTTGGAGAAAATGAAAAAATGCAAAGCTGTGGGGTGGGTAAAATTCGAGGAGTTTGAATCTGCCTATATTTTTTTTCAAATCCACTCAAAAAATTGTTGTAAAAGCTCCGCCTTTATGGCTTGTAAGACGAAATGTCACAGGATTTTTCCTGCTTCTCGTCGTAAAACGGAATTGGAAATCTTTCGAAATAGTCAAATATAGATTGTAAAATACACCCTCTGCTTTTTTAAAATTATTTCTGCTTTGTTTTATTGGCATGGAAAGGCAAAAAATGTTGTTGCTTTGATTCTTTAATAACAAGGGGGCAGTAAAATGTGATAGGTTGGTTTATTTATAACTTAGCAGTCAGTGGACCCTTTGATGCAACTCATATATCAAACTGTTTTGTAAGGGCCTCGTTTTGGTCCCACAACCCTTTTACAATTTGCCACGCGTTAGCGCCTCTAGATTTTTCAAATGTTGTAAGTTAGAAAAAAATGACCGTTCTATTTTTGAAAATCTTGAATTTAGTATCATCCCTTAGGGCTCAAAAATCTGAAAGCCTATACGACAAAAAACCTAGGACTCAAGAATCAATTTGGTACTTCATTCACAAAAAAAGGTCCATTGGTTGTCCATCTAGAGCTGAAAAAATTGCCATTTTTCGTGGCCCACCCTCCACTTATTGTTAAACGTCGCACAATGTACATATACAAATACTCTGATCGTTTAGGTGCCTTTTGCGTTGGAGCTCTTCCGACCGGTCCAAAATGAACACTGGAATTTCATGAGCTTCCCGGGAACGGACGATCCTTTGGACTTGGTTGTATATACACTATCCTGTGTCATAAGGTAAGAAGAACACGTTAAAAGTCGACTTGCCCAAAGAACTGAAAATTACTTTATTCTGGCTTACAGGTATGGAATTATCTTCCCAATTCGCCTTCAACTTTTACTCTTCTCCTCGTCCTTTATTGGGCTAGCTGGTGTGGTCTCATACATCAAGCCATACACTCAAAGGCAGCGATTGTACTGCTGCTCGGTCTACGCCAGATCGTTTAGCGCCTCGATGGGATTGGTCGCCACGTACCATGACAAGGAGAACAAAGCGAGGTCACCAGGTGAGGCAGAAGAATGTAACATAGTCCAATTCTTTACGACTTTTGCTGGCTTTTGAAAGCTTTTTTTGGGTTTTTAAGCGCACTAAGGCGTTGAAATCATTAAAAAGTTTGTGGGCTAAAAATGGAGGTCCTGCCGATCAGCTTGATACATGATTTACAGCAAACGGTCCACTGGCTGCCAAGATATAACTATGTAAAACAAAGTTGCCGTATTTTTCAAGCTCACTTTTATAAAGAGATGGTAGAAGAAGTGTAATATACTGAGCGGTTAATTCACATTTTTTTTGCGACTTGTTGCTTCAGTCTGTCGGTAAAATAACGTGGATTTTTTGCAAAAGAAATCAGAGCTCGTCGCTGTCGCACACCAAAAATCTAGCCGCGGCAAGCCATCACAAAGCGATGACCGACGAATCCACATTATTTTCCCGGCAGACTGATGAATTTCTCAAACTTCAGGAATCGCAATGTCCAACCATTTAACCGCCAACGACATCCAATACATCTTTGCGGACGTGGATTTCACGGAGCCGAAGCCTCAGGGCTACACCGTAACGGGTCAACTGCACAACGGAATCATCGGGTATATCATCAAGATGGCGGCGAGAATAGCGCCGATCTACTTCTTGGACCGAAGCAGACCTGAAGAACGAAAGAACTTTCATGTAGGCTAAACATTCGAACACTTACATGTATTTCCATTTGGTCACTTACATGTAATTTTAGAAAAATGTCGTGGAAGCCGCAAGCAAAGGCGAGATTGATCCGGTGCTGCTGTTCCCGGAAGGCTACTGCTCAAACAATACGGGTGTTATGCAGATGCGGAAAGCCGCCTTCGAGGAGGGAATAAATGTCTATCCAATTGCGATAAAGCAGAATGCAATGTAAGCATACAGAATTTGTTCAGAAGATTTTGAGGCTTGGAGCTTACAATGTAAGTAAATCCAAGTGCAACACTCGGATTTTCTTTAAATTTTGCACACTCGTCGAGGATAGTCCATGAATCAATCCCTAAAAATTTTAGCTTTTGCTTTACAATGGCAGCCGAGATGTTCAACGATATTTGCGGCCTAGAGAGTACAAAAAAAAGGGAGAGCGGTCAGAAAGAGAAGTTTTGACCGTATCTTTGCCGTTTCTCCGTGGAAAAAATTCTTTCTTTATAGAAATTTTACCGTCTGCGGTAGAAATAGGCATGAATTTTTTGTAATGGTGTCAAACATATAGCCATTCTTTCATAATATTCTACTAACTTCCGAATTTCAGAACCGGCGACTCTTTTTGGTACGAAGACACGTTCCTGCCCTATATTTTTCGGGTTATGACTTCCTGGTGCATCAGTTACGATGTCTATTACATGCCGAAGCAACGTCGCCACGACTCCGAGGACTGTGAGAAATTTTCAGCGCGGATTCAGCAGCTGATCGCTGACAAGATCGGTGTGCCGGCTGTCCCATACGGCGGCTCGGAACTGTCCAGAGCGAAGAAAGCGTTTTTGAAGGGGCGGTGACGAAGCTTTTTGCAACTTCATTTTTTAAAAGTGTTCATGTTAAACTTATGTAAATAAAATTTTTAAAGTCTTTCAAGAATTCGGAGAACATGAAGTTCAAGGTGAAAATGCGCATTACGTGCGCGTACCGATTTTTCGGGTCAACGGCAGTTCGGGTCATACTAGTCCTTCCGGAAAGTCGCCGGACGGAAATCGGCGACATGCACTCTGCGAAATCGAAAGTTCACTTTGCACTGTGCAATTTTTGGCTTTTTGCACTGTGCAATAAGCTTTTTCGAGCTGTCGCTCGCACCCTGAGTTTTTTCGCACAGTGCATGTCGCCAATTTCCGTCCGGCGACTTTCCGGAAGGACTAGTAGCAAAATACATAGATCGATACGGGGCGTAGGGTAGGTGGACACCCAAAAAAATCTGCAGGAAATGCCTACGAGGTCTGGCAAACCCGTTTATGGTCTGCGGACGGTTAGCAAAGGGTCGGCGGAGGCTTGGAGAAGGCTTGCAATATGTGCACTTTTTCTAATTTTAGCGGTAGCTAATGTTAGTTTTCTTTATCCTGACTAATAGCAACCGAAATTTGAGGATAAAAATAAGAAGATTCGACCCCGTTCAATTGTAAAAAAATTTCATTAGAATCTTTAACGGGTTCGACATGCAAAACGCCAGAAGGCAAAGTTTCTGCATCCATAGGCAAACCTTGGTTTCCGTTGTTCGACGAAAAGCCCGGAAACAGCCGTCTGACATCAACAGCAGCTTGAAGCATAGCCGTAAGCGTTCCCGGCGACGAAAAGAAACGGATTCCAGCCGCAGATAAGCGTTGCCTTAATTTTTTCGGCTAACGGATACCCGCAAGCTGTAAATGACGAATTCGCAAAACTCGCCGAATTCTTGCAATCTGGGTTATGCTGGAGGCAACTCTGGATCATCTCGGTTACGCTTGAATCAGATTACGATAAACTCGTCGTCGAGGGAAGATGGAATCGGGTTGAGTGTTTCTGATGACAACAAGGCACCAATAATTTGGGCATTGACTTCTAAAGCTTGTCACAACCTTCATAAATCAGAATCAAGTTGTTGGCGAAAGGTCCCAATTTTGGCATTCGGATTATGTTAAAATTCAACCACACGGTCGCCAGGTAGCCAGTTCCTAAGAAACCCAGAATGGATGTGCCCCTCATCCTTGGAGAGGATGAGTTCATGCTACGGATTGATCCAGTACCGATCAAGAAAATTGAAGCAGAGGTTAACGTGTTTACCCTGCCGGATTTTATGACGACTTTGACTTATGAAGGCTGTGCCAGGCCTTAGAAATCCAAATTATTTACGCCTTCCTATCACCAGAAGCAATCAGCTCGATTCCATTTTTCTTCGGCGACCTGTTTATCATGGTCAGATCCCAACGTATCCGTGATGATCCAAAGTTGTTTCCAGCATAACCCGCATTGCAAGAATTCGGCGAGTTTTGCGAATTCGTCATTTAAAACTTGCGGGTATCCAATTCAAGCAGCCGAAAAATTAAGGCAGCGCTTATCTGCGGCTGGAATCCGTTCCGTTTCGTCTCCAGCAACGTTTACGGCTATCCTGGAAGCTGCTGTTGACGTCAGGGAATGATGATTTACCCAGAAATAAAGCCCTTCCGACCCAAGTCGACTTCGCGTTGTTGAAAACGCTCCTTACTCTGAGACCTCCTACTCGAGGATCTACAAGATCTCGGCATGAGATATGGTGCGGTTATATAGCCGAAGTTTTTGAGAATGAACCGTCTCATACTACCAATAAGAAGGGTGTTATAGGAAATGGGCGCTACAATCAAAATGTGTGGGAAATGCCGGAGGCACGGAGTTCTCCAGGCCTACAAACATCATCTAAACTGTCCGTTCGTCGACTGCGGATGTGATAAGGTGAGATTTTTTTTTCATTTTTAAACGTGAAGTTAAGTTTCCTTCCGAAGCATTTAGCCATCACCTTGTTTTATATAGAATTAAGTTTAATTTTGATGCCTTTAGTGCTTCCAAGTCGATGAATATCGTCTGAAGATGCGAAAGGTGGTTGCACAAACCAAAAAGAGAAAGACTGAAGGCGCTGGCTCAAAGCCTGTCACTCCGAACATTGCTGAAGCCCCTTACAAAACTTTGCTAGATCTTCTACCGCCTTCAACTTCTCGCGACAGCTTAAACCAACCCACAACCACAGCCAATTTGTTGCAGTTTGAGGCTGTGCACTCACTCAACCCCTCTCCATCAAGCTCTGTTTTCTCGGACTATTCGATTTCCAGCGAACTCTCAGTTCCTAAGAAACCCAGAATGAATGTGCCTCTCAGCCTTGGAGACACCGTGAATATTCAGGGGCTAGACATTGTACTAATCAATCCGATACCGATTGATCTGTTATATCCAGGCTGTAGTATGTTTAATTTTCCTCATCCAGCGTTGTACCTGGTCGCCTAGTTTTGCGTGTACGGTCTTTGTTCTTTTCTTCATCAAAAAGCGGGATTTAGTTTAAAGAATATGATAATGCTATGCTAGTCTTCTTCAAGTGCCTGTAAATGTATATGTACATATGTATATCGTTTTTAATTTCCTTTAATATAGAGACACCTTAATTATAAATACCAGTGGAGACAGATTTCGATAAATTGGTCGACAAAAAGAAACAAAGTTGGTGTGTGTCCAATGACAAGAAGGCATCGTTTCACGCGTTGGCGAATGCTCGACGGAGGCGTTTTTACCGACCGAAGCAGTTGTGAGTGAAGTGGCTCAAATACACGTTCAGACCGCAAGTTCATGAGGCCTTTTCGGAATTCCTCTTGAGACAATCGGAGGCGCATTTGACTGGAGTCCCCAAGGCGGCTTCAGCCGGTAAGCAAAGGCTTGGCGGATACATAAAACATCCGCCAAGCTGCCGAGGCTGGCAGATTACATCCTGGCAGTTGTAAGAAGCCTAATTGTATCTGTAGTAAAGATATCCGGTCATTGAAAAAGACGTCTTTTTCAAAGAAGAGCCCTGTAGACCACTATATCCTGTCCCGCACCGAAACGCTATCGAAGAAATTGATCTGGAGTTGAAACAGAGAATGGTGTCTCGCGATGGCAGAACACTCACTGATTCATACAACCTGGATTGTTCTGGTTTGTGCAAAGAACAAGGTTATGCTCGAAGGTGCTACCGCAGACAACTCAGTTCTTTTGAAGGTAATGGTGAAGTTTAAGGCAGCTCAAACAACAAGCGTTAAGAGTTTATGCCTTTATCGGTGATTTGGATCTGTGAAGTTATTCCACCTCTTTAATAAGCATTTTCTCAACCCAATTGAGAGAATTAACGTTTCGGAAGAAACTAGGTTGAATTTGGGTCCATCGGGTCGAACTACAGATAAAAATCACAACAAACAACTGTCAAGGCTCCCCTTGTTGACCTTAAAAGTAAACGGAGAGAGAACGGAGAATTGCAAGAAACTTGGCTGAGGCTCGAGGTATGATCTCAGCCGACTCCTTGGTAGCCTTCTTGACAGGAAACAATTTTTACGAGGTGAATTTCTTAGACATGGCAGAAATTTTATTCTATTAGGTTTAGAAGTATGACTTTGTCGTTTTTTGCGGCTCATAAATTAAACCAAAACAAAAAACTTTGCACTAAAGCTTATTTAGTTACTATTACCACTACTAACTATGACATTTTCCAACAATTTGACCAACTTTTGAACACCATCAGTGAAAACGTTTTTTTGTTTTGAGGCGATTTAGCCAAGGGGCCAATTTTTGACATTTTTGTATTCAGCGAAGCGTTGCCGCCTCAGATCGGGTGCCATGGATGGAAACAAGTGTTAGTCTGAAAGCATGGTGTCCGGAGAGTATAGCGGGTGCGGGAACACCTCCCACCCCGCCGGTTCTAGGGTGTTTTCGACCGTTTTTCAACATGGGGTTTCACGTCATCATGCAGCAAAATAAAAAAATTTCTTTCCGACCGCTTTAATCATAGCTATTCCTTCAGTTGCATCAGTTATTGTTGATAACGGATGCCAGTAACCGTTCTACCGGTTTTCAAGAGCTCTCAGTAAAGAACATCTTGTTTATGTCATATTATACAGAGCAAAGCTTTCTCCTCGGTAATGATAGACAGCACGGTCGCTTGCGCTCCGGGTTGTCAAAATCGATTGATTGTGCGTCCCGGATCACTAAATGAAACAAAAATGACTTTCTCCCCGTCTGCCTGTCAAAATTTCGCATGTTCTCCATGTTGCGTTAGGTCAGTCCGTATGAGACTCAAGTCTCTTCTGTTTGGATCATCCCCATTTGATGCAAACTGAGTGAAACTCCTTTCTGCGTCACGTGCAGCTTTTCGGCTAACTTTTAATGCATCCGGCCGTCGGCTTTAACCAATATTCTCCATCTACCAACTTTTTAGGTGGGTTTGGAAATCTCCGGTTTTGAACCGTTGAAGCCATTCCCAACTGATTTTTTAATCAAAGCGCGATTAACTCATGAGCTATCATAAGCTATCATGAGCGTTCAATGCATCATCGGCGTTTTTGCTCACATTACACGTGCAGAATAAAGTTCCCCGCAAACGACACTTTCTTAAGGCGAAGTTGGTCATGTTTGAAGTCTTATAAAGGTCGTGATATAAAGCCCTGCCATATGAGACATATATCAGTAGATAGCGTTTTCAGCGTTCTTTCAGATGCTCTAAACAAAAATTGCGAAATTGTATTTAAACCTGTGAAAAACGCAAAATAAAAAAAACGACAAAGTCATACTTCTAGACCTAATATTATAGAACAATGAAATCAACAAATCACTTGTAAGTTGTCCAAGTCTATACACGGAATTGGGACGTTAGAATTTTGGGCCAACAATGTTTTCAATGGAATGGGCTCAATGAGCATGATGTCGTAATGGCTGAGAAGCTGGCTCAGCAAATCGGCCGGGGACGCCACTTTGATTTTTTTGACTGATGGCTCTTCCTCGACGGGAGAATTAAATAACGGTGTTTTTAGGCGAGAAAATGTGTTCATTCGGGTGTCAGCCGTCGCTGTAGTGGGCTTTCTGAGGTGTTGAAGATGAAACGAGGATGTTGAAGGGGACTGAAGGCTATTTGAAGCAGATGCGGGGATTCTGAAGGCACTAGCATTTGCTGTGTTGTGCACAATGTTGGCTTCGGTAGACGGTCCGGCAGTCTCAGAGGCCTCGAGATTTTCAGTCTTCCTTTTCTTGGTTTCAGCCACAATTTTCCTCATTTTCTGGCGATATTCGTCGACTTGGAAGCACTAAAAATCAAAAAATTACTATCTTAAAAAATAAATTTTTGGTTGTAAACATCTTTTTATCCCCTCAAGCCCCACCTTATCACATCCGCAGTTCGTAAAAGGACAGTCCAGATGGCTTTTGTAGGCCTGCAGGACCCCATGCCTCCGGCACTTGCCACACATTTTAATCGTCGCACCCATTTAAGGTTAGAATTTGGAACACAATGTCGCAGGTCGCTTTCTCCCATCTTTAAATTCAACATTTATCGCCCCGGGTGATCTGACTTTTCCCAACTCCCACCCTCCTCGTGGTGGCCGCGTTTCGGACGCGCCTTTCGCCGAGTAAGTCGACATCTGGGGCAACAAGAAAGACTTTGCGATCTTTGGGGACGATTAGAGTAGGCGAGAATGCCGTGCGCAGACTGGATGACGAATTGCGCCGCTGGTCGAGAACAAAATCGAAGAACTTGAGGGGCATTCTGCCGGAGGGGAAAAACTTGAAGATGGATTGCTTGGGTTGGGAGAAGCGATAAGACAAAAGTCTCGCACGTCATGAAAAATGATTTCTTTCAACAAATCTATATTTACTTTGCCACAAGACTTGTCGACTGATCGGCCTTTTTTCTCAACGAAATTAGAGTAATTCCGACTTACTGATGGGAAAAATTCGGTTCTAATCTTTATTGACGAAATATCAGGAAATAAATTTTAGTCATCTCCAACACCGCAACTACTAATCCGTTCCTAGAATCGCTGGAGTGATTTTTGGGGTCCGTACTGTGCAGAAAATGTCAGGGCAGCCCAGAAAGGCCTATTGCATGGTGCAGGGTAAACTTTTCATTCCTCACAATGCATGTCGCCTAAAACACTCTAGCGGCTTCGCAAACGGGTTGTTACCAGTCAATCCTTTCACATAGATTATGGTAGACAAGCCCAAACGACAAGAATTGCATTAGATCAGCAAGTTTCTGTGGTCTAGCGGACAGTGTTGGCCCACCGACGGCTCCATGCCTTTATCTTGCTTTACTGCTAGCCTACAAAAGCAAGACCTTTTGGGAAATGGATCAAGGTCCTGTAGAGATCTAATCGTTCTAGTTCGTGTCAATGGAGCTGTAGTTGTTCAATACATCTCTTTACATTGAGGAAAGGGAAATTGGGCCGATGTATAGTACGTCAATGATTGGAACGTCGTCGATTGGAAGAAAGAGAGTTGGGGAAAGCAAAAATTGGAGACAATGCAGTTTTTCTAGAGCCTGCTAGCCAATCTATTGTATAATATTTCCGTTGTTTACAATGGCGCTGCAACGGCAGTTCAAACTGTGGCTTCAAACACAGACTTTTGAAGTCTGCTGCCTACAAAGATTTCGTGCAGATTAGGCTCCGTGACTTTCTTTTAAGACGGCGCCCTAAATTAAAAGTCAAAAAAGATTTTTTGCGATTTTTAAAAATCATCGGAGACTCTTTGGAGCTCAAACTTTTTTGAACTCAAGTTGAGGGGTGACACATTTTTTTGAACTCAAATCTTTATTGCAAAAAGAGCCAAAGATTACAGCAAAAGGTCTCTGTTTGATTATACGAGAGCGGAAGCTTCGGCGTTGAGAATGGCCGCGTCTTCGATGGCGCGTTCAGCGGCGATGATACGACCCGCACGTCCATAGCCCAGTCCAGTGCCATACGGTTGGACGATGGGGTCGACAGGGAGAATGGGATCCACGGGAGGGAGAATCGGAGCCACGGGAGGGATAACTGGAGGAGGCACCAACAAAGGGTCGATGTATTGAGCTGAAGCGAGAGCAGCGACCATGGCGAAAACGGCGAGGTAGATGATATTGGACATGTTTGGAGGTAGTGGCTCTAACTGAGGTGTGATGAGAAGAGAACTGATGAGAAACTTGCCATTCTTGTGGCTTTATATATCCCTCGTGTTGACAGAAAAACGCCGGGCAGAGATTTTTACGGTTTCTTGAGGCTATATCGCGACCAAAGCCGCGTTAATTGCATCATCACAATCTCAAAAATACGTGTTTTTCCCTACTCCTTCAAGTGCTTTTGTCCTTAGTGCCAAGAAATACGACTTATCGCCCGTTAAGTCCCACGTATTTACCACGCAAAAAAAGTTGGCTCTCTTTGTTGCATTGCGTCTGCGGAATTGTTGGAAGCAAAGATTAACACTCAGTGACAGAGTGACGGAAGATCGGGGTCATCCGGGCGCTCAGTTTGTGCTGAGTTTTTGGAACTCCGGCACTCACAAGAGACTACGCACATGTCGCTGGGAGGATTCGGCGCATCTTGGTGAGGAAAACGTCGAAGATCGTCCGAAGGAGTTACATGAAATTGGCGGGCGTTTGTAGAAAATTTTAGTAGAAGTTTCAAAGGATATTTTAATCTCTCTGGATGTCCTTCCCAGACCATAAACAAGTGCAAATAAATGAGAAAAAACTATGCAATCTCAAGCCGTATACAGTAATCACAGATATGATGGCACAGTCTGCTAAATCATTCATCCAGCCCCATCTTCAAACGCGGCATATGCGTTTGATATAAAAATCTGTGTGTGTGTCTGTAATAGAACAGTTCTGCCATGTCTAACTAGACCGTAGTAAGACCGAAAATCCTTTTAAAAAATCAGAGGCAAAGACAAAATTGGCCAATTTCAATTTTTCCCGTTTCTTCTCCTTGTATTCCTTAAAGATTTTGAGTTTTTAGCTTGTTGCTTGAAACCTATTCATTAAAACAGTTACACATACAAAAGTTTCCGCCTTGCGATTTTCACTGCACAGACACGAGGTAAGCTTCAATGACGGCCTTGAAGACTGAAGGAGCTACGCGCACAAATTTTTGAGATTAAAGTTGGAGTCTTGAAATTGATTTTTTAGACCTGTGCGTAAGCGTGATAAGAGAGGTATTCTAAGTGCCTGGTTCAGTAAAAGAATTGTAATACTGAAAGAAAACAACATCGACTATTTGGCCTATATGTGGGAGTAGATTCCGGTTTTTTCTTCCTGGAGAGCGGTCGGTTTTTCCTGTCCACCCATGCCGTTGCGGGCACAAAGGGCTTCGCCTGGGACAGTAGCTGTTCATCCTAATGGATTTCAAGTTCCTACTGGCAATGTCAGATCAATCCAAAACGAGGGAAAATTGGAGCAGTTCAAGAAATCGTTAAAAACGGAAGTGATCAGCAAGAATTCGACATCCCCCTATACACGACCGTTTGGGCGCTCGCTTCAGGATGAGATGGATCGATGATGCTGGCAAGAGTCATGGCCTCCGATGAAGCGATCTTGCCCTGAGCGGACAATAGAAACCATTATGATTCACTCCATGATTTTTTTGCATGTGATTAGTGTAAATGAAATTGAAATTGAATGTGGGAGTATGTGGCCTACTTTGCGCGACGTGCGCTCAAAAAAATGTAGGGGAAATCCTAGCGTTTCTCTTGGGACCAGTTTCCAGTCAAACCTTTACGGTGTGTTTGAATTCGTGAAGCTATGTATTTAAAAGGGGTACATTACAAGTGATGAGTTTCCAAAGTGAGACTGCTCAGGAATTTCCCGACTGGCTTCCATAACGGGTGGTCAGTTGAGGCCCTCATACATGGCAATATGTGAAATTATCTCAAGGGCAGATTAGATACTATGTATTGGATACACTTTAATAAACTTTTGGTTTAATAAACTTCATTTTCAATATAAATTTCATTGGCAGACTGGACAATAATTTATGCCTCATTGAATCCACGTTGCCTCATTGATCTCCTTGTTGGCCTTCACAATTCTTCTGACTCTGCCTTAGCAATTGAAATAATGTTGGAGTTACAGATTATATAGTTTTCTGACCTCATTGAAGGCTGATGTCTGCCTCCAGACGAAAAGAACACACACACTCAGATAAGATCGCATTTCAGCGAAGACTATTCGAGTAGGTAGGGCTGTAAAAATTTGAGTGTGGATGGGCATAATAGACCGGCAGAATTCATAACAATCTCACAGGCATTGTCATGTTTGGAAGTCTGTGGCAATCGTATTTTACCCGTCTTTCCATCCCAGTAAATTTCATTTAACTACGATGGCAAGATTAGTCATAATTTGGAGTGTGTGTATTATGACTTTCCGTTCAAATCACCGGCTTCATTGACGCAAATCCCCCAATGACCTTTCATTCAAATGCACCCAAACCCAAAGGAAAGCGATATGATGACGAAGTGGGGGGAAAGAAACGCAAATTTGTGCAGAAGATATGTCGATCTTCGAACGCGCTGGCCTTGATCTCGGCTGTTTTGGCGCCAAATCGCCTGTGATATCTCTGTGTTGAAAGGAGGGACCATCCAATTTCTCTGCGCTGAAAGGTATATAAGACAAGAGTTTGTGAGATTAAGACCATCATCTGATCTTGTTCTGTATATACCTCAATATCTTCCTCTGTTGTTCAAAGATGTCCAAGATGTTCGCTTTGATCCTCATCGTCGCCCTGATTGCCACGACTTCAGCTCAATTCGTTGATCCTCTTCTGGGTGGACCCTTTGGCGGTCCTCTTGGCGGCCCATACGGTGGGCTCGGCTACGGCGGTGGTTTGGGCTACGGAGGAATTGGATATGGCGCTGGACTGGGCCTTGGACGAGCTGGTCGTCTCATTGCTGCCGAACGGGCCGCCGAAAACGCTGCCATCCTCAACACCGAAGCTGCTCTTCTTGGATGAGACTGTAAATACAAATTTTGAGTTGTTTGTTGGTTGCGAAGAAATTTCAAGTGTTGTAAATTTTTATTGTAAATAAATCAGCAGGCATGATGGTTTGTATCAGGCTTTGTTTTTGATATTATGATAGGATATGGTGCTTTCTTAACATGGTAGGCAGAATTTTCAAACAACAAAATAAGGTGACTAAACTTGAGTTTCAAAAATAAAGGCATCTCTGGTGTTCTCCTCCTCTCTTCAAGTTCGAAATCAATTCCTTTCAGAATTGATTATGGCCACTGTCATACGTCTACGTCGCCTGGGTGTTTATATCCCGACAATGGAAGGCGATCGTCGCTAAAATTTGAAACAATTAGCTGTTGCTATAATATATAATTAGCTGCTTACGTGACGTTGTTGTCCAGTCGATTATTGACCCCTCTGTTCTTCTCTCTTTGAGATTTGCGGCTCAACTCCTCAATCTCGATCAATTGCATTTCCTTGTGAGGAATGGTGAAGTCATCAAGATGACCTTTTGGGATTATGTCTTGGATTTTGAAGGAGGCTCGAGTATGAGGAAGCTGGGGGTTGAGATGGTTGGGTGTGGCAGTTGGAAGTTGATCAGCCAGATCGACGGCCATTTGCTTTGCGATCAGGGTATTACGGTCAAGGATGTAGTTGAGCTCTGAAAAATTATTCTAATAATAGATGGGGGGCTTTTGAAGTTTCTTGAAACTTCCGGCGACTTTGTCAAAGCTAGGATCCAAATGCCTCTACTAAAAACATCAAACTACTCACCAAAGTCATCGTCATCCTCTCCGAACGGATTCATCAAGTACTGTCCGACCTTCAACCACCCCAGGTAGAACAACATTTGGAAAGTTGTGAAAATAGGGAAAAGGATTGTAATCTCCGTCTGCATCGATTTTATATCCAACTTTGGTTGACGGCCCAGCAGACAGATAAAGAAGTACCCGTATGTGGCAATGGCAACCACTTGTGTATAAACTAACGGGATCTTGACCCAATCATAGACGTAGAGCATGGCAAAGCCGTCGCGGAATTTGTAGAGCTGATCGATCAGCATTTGGAATTGGATCGAGTCAATCTTCTTTTCTGCATACTGTTTTTTGAGAAGGTTTAGCATCCACATGATCGGCTGGAACCTATTTATGCGAGAGTAAGTAGTAGCAAAAACAACAACTTACCATTTTCCGTGTGGAGCGTCAAAGTTGGTGTAGAGATCGTATTCTTCCTCTGTCATCAGACGGCTCTCAACCAAATGACGTTCAGTCGGGAAACGCTTCAAAGTTCTGACGGATAGGGCTTTCCAGGCAATTGCTGACTAAAAATAGTTTGGTTAGGACATATACGGTGACTATACCAAAAAGTATGGAAATTTGTTGCTTGTTCATCGAAATTTATGGACAAAAAATCTGTTCTGTCCAGGTTTACTGTCGGATTTTAATCTTAAAAAGCGTCTATGCGAAGTTCAGCCCCAAATTTCAAAAATGATGACTTGGCAAGCTAAACCTCGACCCTGTTCTTATCGATTCATTGGTTTACTCTCATAAAACCCCTTACCTCTAAGCTAGACCACCTTGCCAAAGTCATCCTGGTCTCCATGTTCTCCCTTCCCGGCAAACAAGCCGCGCAGGTCATGATGAATTTATCCGGCCAACTAATGTAGTTGAACTGCTCCCACCAGCGCCCAACAATGACTGCGACGAAGAAACCGAGCAAGAACGACAATGGAATGTACTGAGAGCCAATTTCACACCAATGAATCCAACCGGTGAAATATTCTTTTTGTTTTTCGTCCAGAAGGTACCACTAAAGTTTGAGTAGGGTAAGGAAAAAATTATAATAAGTTCGAGATAAAGTGAGCCGGGAAAATTTAAAAATAAGACTTGCCTGTGCAAAGAGAATGATGTAGTAGGCGATGTAGAAGGCGATCAGATCTTTGAGAACTGCCTTCCATAACGAGCCACGCCATCTTAGCATCAACGCTGAGAATTCTTCTTCGTAGGAGATCGTCATCTTGCTGGTGGGAAAAAGATACGTTTTAAGTGAGTATTACATATAAGGATGGTGGGAGGGTAAACTCGCGAGTATACTTTGAAACAAGAGTATTTAGAACGCAGATTCAACACAATCGTTTCTGCAAAGCGCAAGCTAGAAATCTCGCAAATGATTTGGTAAAAAAATGTCTAAATTTGGTCATATTTCAACACAAACTGAGCATCGAGAGTTGATCAATAATTCTGTAAGAAATCTAGCTTATCTGGAAAGGGGCTTTTTGTATTCTCTTTTACATAATATTTCACAAAAAATAAGATTTTTTTCTTATGTGATTGCCTAGCGAGAGCTTAAAAATTCAAGGAAAATTTCAGTTGATTCGGAAAGTCCGTTGCAGCTTTTCTAATTTTTACTTGTTTGTCTTATGTAGTACAGTGAATTAGTAATGTTTTGTACTTTAAGGGGTGCTTTTATAGGTAAAACTGACTACCTTGCAGTAGTATCTACATAATGAAAAACAAGTAAAAATCTAAAAAAAATGTCCATTTTTTTTTAAATCCACTCCATCGGTTACCCTCAGCTGTATAGTCGGAATCTCTCAACAACGAAAAAAAATATTCGGACTTTTTTGCCCAGCGCACCTCGCCGACGCTCGCTGGCCAGGGCCCAACACGGAAGCGCTCCTCAAACCCGCAAAAATCTTTTTCGCAATCCCATCGATAAATATGTGTTCAAGAATCAAAACAAAACCGGAAAGAAAGGAAAGGAGAGGAGTTGTCTGCCAATTAATTTCCCAAAGCCCTGCGGTTGAGTCGAGCGTGGCGAGAAACGCGAAGGTCCGTTTGCTGTGGGGTAAACTGTTTTTCCACCTTGATTTGAGTACATTCACTCGGAAAATCAATTTGTGAATCTGACGCTGGAGTGCTGTAAAGTAACTTAAGGTAGCGATTGAGGTCAGAGGTTGAGTCACGGTGCTTAATGGGCTTGGGGGAGTTGGGGGGAAATTGGGAGTTTTGGGTGGGAAAAAAGAAGGCGACGTGAGGATTGGGAAAACTGTACGTTAAAAAGATTTACTCCTTTGGAAATGTAGTACGTGCCCTTAAATTTTATATTTACGGAAACACCTAAACTCCATTTTTTCTTGGAATTGGCGGTAAGCTTTGTGTAAGAGAAAGATGTGAAAATTGGAAATTTTTAGCCTTTAGATTGCATTGAGAACTTCAATGGGCTTTACAGACTTAAACAGTAAAACTTTCGACCAAAAGAAAAGCTTCCATAGTGATAAAAATTTGGTTGATTTTTGCCAAACTTCGACTTAAGGATCCGTTTTTTTTGCAAGCTCAAAGTGAAAGCCCTGAACACCTTTATCCGGCTTAAGATTGATAAAAAAAATGTAGTCAAGCACATGCACAAAGAACTAAAAGGAACAGAAAACTTTTTTGCTAAAGGCAGGCTTTGTTCTACGGAGTTTTTTTGGTCAGAAATTTGTTCTTGTGGCTTCAAAAATTGTTAAAGAGGGGGGTTTTTTACCGACAGGTTTTTTACCGACAAACATCGTTTTACAGAGTGCTATCTCTGTGGGCATTTTTTATACAGGGTGTTTCAAGAAATTCCGCGGAAAGTTTTCTTCAATTTCTTGGTGCTCAGTCACGATATCCAAAAAATTCTTTTTGCATAAGAAAGAAGAATATGGGCGGTTTTTTGCCTATGAAAATCATTTTCTACGCCAACGCGGAAAGCAATGTATTCGGCGGAGACTTTTGGGCACTTTTTCGGTCATTACACGAATTGAAAATTGCACTCACTTCTAACGTCATCCAAATTAAATTACCCTTCTGCACAGCTCCTTCAAACCCAACAACCTTTTAATAAACTGATCAATCAACTCTTTCTCAACAAAAAACACAGGAACAACATCAAACAACCTGGAAATGAGCTATACAGGGTGATTCAAAAAAAATGGACAAATTTTGAAGTCGGTTTATCCCACCACAAATACCGCAGTCGGTGGAAAGAAAAATAGTTTTATATTTGTCAGCGATCCTGCTTCATGACACCCGTTTCAATTTTTAAAATATTTTTGCTGAACGGCTTGTACGAGCCAAAATACTAGGTCAGCCCATATTCTGACCACATTTTCCAAGAATTTTGTAGGTCCAAAAAACTTTAACGGCCTGAATTCTCTCAACCAGCTAAAAACTGCGTGTTGACTGTTTATTACGATACTAAGGGGAATCTTGAGAAGGGAAAACGCTGATATTATTCTATTAATAACGCTCCAGCAATTCGCAACGTGATCCACAAGAGACCCATCCACATAGTTCTGGATTTTTGGGATGATCGGGTTTCAAAACTTAGCAGGGCGGCCTGGCTTGTGCTAATAACGGCAAAAAGTGATTCCTGTAAGACATCTAACGTTGCTTTACATGGGTCCGCAGTTGATTTGATTGTAGCTTGCATTAGCCATGTACTGTGCTTATTAAAGGTTAGCCGGCTATACCCAGAGACGCCGATATTTTTTGACCAGAGAAATTTTACTTTTTTGTTGGCGTTCTTCAACAAGCCGCACAACTACGACAGGCTGCATTTATACGATAGTGATATAAGTCCGTTCTTCAATTTTAAATTGGTCTCCGTTAATTTGAAAAAACCTAGCCTTCAGAATCCGCGTATCATTGCGATGACCCATCAAAAGTCAAAAAAGTCGGAATTTTGTTTGCAGTTTTGCTAATTGAAGGGTACGATTGTTAAAAATGCGTTTAATATACTCACAATAGAGCAGTAAACGTGGTATAAATGGAATTGGTTCTAAAACTTTGACCACGTTTGGCAGAGCTAAGTTTTTCAAAAAGCGCCCAAATGAGCGTCGATTTTCCCTCGCTGGTTGTCTAACTTTTGGCCTCTGGTTTTTCATTGTCTGAAAGACCTGGGTTAAATCCTTAAAAGGTCCTAGAGAATAGGCGTCTGTGTTTCGCTCAGACCGATTAGAACGTCTCTGTTACACCCTTCAGACATTTATGAGCGAAAACTTTGCAAATTTCGCCACGGGAACGGGTGCGCTGACCCGGCAATTTTTAAGCAACCATATCTCGGCAACTTTTGCAGTTAGTGAACAATTTTTGCAATGAATATGTACACATAACGTAGTAGTTTTATGCCATGTGTACCTTTTTACCAGAAACATTCAAAGCCAAGAAAAATTGAAGAAAGAAAAGTGTCCGTTTTTTTGAATCACCCTGTAATCACTATCTAAGCCATAACACAAACGTCTCCGAAAAAGGGAAGACACAAAATTTATTTCTTTTTTAGACGAAACCGTTAGATTCTCAATGCTTTTGTGGGATTGCAAACAACTTACAGCCGTTAAAACGGTGAGAGGAAGAGGAAGATACTCTCGCTTTTGTGTTATTGGACAAAAAATTTTGGGAAAGATTTTTGTTCGCTGAAAGGCCGCGATTTTTTACAAAATGCTTTACAAAAACGGTTACACCCACGCGACGCGGAATGAAATTGATAAACAAACTGTAATCTAACCTTTCTAGAGGCAAAAAAAAATTGAAAAATGCAAAAAACCGCGTTATGCAGAAACATCCGAAAATTCAAAAAAATGTCAAAATCCCTGGATTTTTCCCTAGAATACTTAAAATTCATTTTAAATTGACCTTCGCAACTCAACGAAACATTGAAAAATCTTTTCCGTCGCATGGTTTATTCCTAAATTCAGGTAATTGATAGAATTTTATGGGGAGTCCGGCGATTCATTTTCGTCTTGCTCTTCCTTCCCCAACTCGCTTCTGGTCTGGTAATTTTTTGCGGGTTTGTAAATTTACCAGCATTCACTTTCTCAACTCCGGGAAAGCAAAGGTTTAGAGCCCTCCGTGTGGGGATATTCCCACAGGCAAATCGATTAGGTCTTACGGGTCTTGATTGGGTGCGGAAAATACGAATTGGAGGGCAAGGTCAACAAAGAGGGTGTTGTGGTAGTTTGAAGCATAAAAGTTTGAATTCTGAAAATTTAAATCAGGAAGTCTTGCAGGTGGAGTGCTTCAAGGGTGACCCTTAAATTTTGATGAAACTTTGCGTAAATTTAAAAGGGAATTACCACAAGTGAGACACTCAGATTTTGATAAAACTTGGCACAAATTTAGAATAATTTTTTCTAAAATATATGGAAGAATCCTAGCTTGCGCTTTGCAGGTAAAGCCGAGATTTTTCCATCGAAAGTCAGCAAAAATTTGACAATTTTTGCCGAATTTCGGCACGAGCAATTTCCTACCGATTTCTACCATACACAGCGTTCCGAACATTTTTTCCGCCGCCGATCGGTGTCGAAAAAAGGAAAAAATGAAGAGTAGTGCTTACAAGTCGGTGTATATTTGGCTAGCCACAATAGATGTAACTAAACTAAAAAGTGGTTATTAGACTATAAGAGATTGCCATGCCACGTATACAAACTACATCATCATACCTTATGTTAATGTTGAGAAAATGATGATCGAAAATTATCAAAAGTTCAACCTTCAGGTAAAAATAAGAGTACCTTCCAACCCTTAAGCACACAATTTTTTTTTCTTCCATCGTGTGCAGAATTTCAAGAGCTACAACATAGACAGATTCAATAATTTTCCCGGGCCTTTAATCTTAGTTATGGTTGAAAAGGGCCTAATTTTGGCCGTTTTTTGCACTTTTTTTTACTTATTTGCACCTTAAGAATAAAAAGTGAAGATATTCTATATAAAACGGATTGTCATGATCATAGTGGTCATCCATGCCAAATTTCAACTTTTTCTGACACTCCAGAGTCGTTGAATACGAACTTGAATATGGAACCCAAGTGTACTATTTCTGTTGAATAAAATCACGTTAAGTGCTCCAAAATCACTTCTTGAGCGAAAATATGTTGTATACATACACTCTGTGCAAACTTTTTGTCATCAAGCCAAAATATATCTTTTTCATTTCGAAAGTTGAATTGAACAGACAATTCTGACCAATGCCAAAGTGTGAGCTTGCAAACACTTACTGGAATTCCCCGTAAAGCTGCGTTTGGCCTTTGTAATCGCGACCTAAGATTCATTGCGACCAGAAGTGCTGTAATTAATGCCAGCCAAGGATTTTATTACTGTTTTCTTACAAAGTTGAAGATACGAAGTTTCCATGTTGACGTTCGTATTCAACGACTCTGGAGTGTCAGAAAAAGTTGAAATTTGGCATGGATGACCACTATGATCATGACAATCCGTTTTATATAGAATATCTTCACTTTTTATTCTTAAGGTGCAAACAAGTAAAAAAAAGTGCAAAAAACGGCCAAAATTAGGCCCTTTTCAACCATAACTAAGATTAAAGGCCCGGGAAAATTATTGAATCTGTCTATGTTGTAGCTCTTGAAATTCTGCACACGATGGAAGAAAAAAAATTGTGTGCTTAAGGGTTGGAAGGTACTCTTATTTTTACCTGAAGGTTGAACTTTTGATAATTTTCGATCATCATTTTCTCAACATTAACATAAGGTATGATGATGTAGTTTGTATACGTGGAATGGCAATCTCTTATAGTCTAATAACCACTTTTTAGTTTAGTTACATCTATTGTGGCTAGCCAAATATACACCGACTTGTAAGCACTACTCTTCATTTTTTCCTTTTTTCGACACCGATCGGCGGCGGAAAAAATGTTCGGAACGCTGTGCCATAGAGGGTAACGTTTCCACAAAAAATCAATTTTTTCCGCACGAAACTTGCAAAGTTATGGCCAAAAAGTGTTTTTCTCTCTGACCGCTCGCCACGTTTAGTGTACTCTCTCGGCGGCAAAGATCGTTTAATATCTCGGCGGCGCCTGCAAAGTGCGAGCTAAAACTTCAAGGAATTGATATTTAGTTCACGACCGTTCAAAATTTAAAGAAAATCTGAGCGTCGCACTTCGGGTACTTCCCCTGTTAGTCGCAAAAAATTTTAATATTGAACTACAAGTGTATTTTTCGGTATTATGTAAGTATAGATACACTCTTTAGGACCTAAACGGCCTTCTTATTTCACATTGTGAGCAAGACTAGCATTTGGTTTGGTAACAAATCTTTGAACATCAGATTATGTTGCACTAGACCCCCTGACTCAAACTTCTCCCAAACATTCCCCAATAGGGTAACGGTTCCACAAAAAATCACTGTGTTATTAGAAGTTTATTGGCATGAAAGACGAGCGTAAAACAGTGTACAAGAAGGAATGGTCTTCAATTTGCAAATAAGAAAGACTGAAATAAATATCAATTGGCAGTTATTTGAGATAAAGTTGATTGCTATGCCGGATGCTTTTACAAATGTCTAAGTATCGTCAATGCAAACACAGTCATGAAAAAGCTCGACGCCAGCTTGAGCGATGACTTCTCAACAGTCTTGAGAGTCGAGTCGTCGATTATCTCCTTTGGCTTTGGAGTTAATGCCGTTGCAAGTGAAGCCACCAACCTATCAATTTCTTCATCTGAAGCTTCGTTGGACATTAATGTTGTTGGCAGTTCGGTACTTGAAGTGGTTTCATTGCCTTGCTGAGCAGTGATTGATCGAACAGGCGTTGAATTGACAGCTGTAGTGTCCATTGAAGCCGAGCTGTCCGTTGATGACAACGCTGACGTTTCCTTTGATGAAAATATAACAGGGCTTTTTGCTGTGCTTGTGATATTCTTTGATGCTTCGGAGAGCTCGACAATGGGCTCAATAGTCTGCGCTGGTTCCCCGTCAGCTTCGGCAATTTCCACAGCGGCATCTAAATCAACTTCTCCTGGGTCTGACGTCCAATCAAATGGAACAAACGGAGATGTAGTGGAGGTTAAAGGTATTACAGGGTCTGCCGTCGTGGTTGACAAGATCTGTAAAATTCTCAAGCCAGAAGACGATGTGGGCTTTTCTGTTGATGTTGACATTGATCCATCTGCCAAAATTCCCGTCGAGGAGTTAGAAGAGTCCGTTGATGTCTACAATATTACAGTCTATCCGACTCCAACTTACAGATACACCATGTGTTCTCTCCAACACTCCTGCAGCCTCGTCTCTGAACTCCATGTTCCGAGCTTTCTGGAGCTTTTGAATCTCGTCTTCAATGTCCTGCCAATCGGGATATGGGCCTTCAGAATCGAGCCTTGCAATGAGCTTTTCCTCCAGTTCTCTGTCGGCCGTTATGTCAACCAATGTCGAGTCAAAAGTATAGTCTTTGTCCATGAGATCTTTAGGGGGTTCGTCTCGAGTATAGAAGAATCGATGACTCGGCAGTGGACTTGGGAATTCAGGAAGACTGTTGTCGCTGAAACAAAAAGTGATCGATGTAACCCTTGAAGATACCGTCAGTTAATATTTTTCTACCGACAATCCCCATAAACTCACATTTCCTCGTCATCCAGCCTTTCTGGCCTCGTCTTCCGCATCCTTCGGCCGTCCACTCGGAATAACAGGATCGTCATAAACGCCCAAATGTAATCCATATTGAAAGGAGGACTGAAATTTGCGAACACGCAGGGAATAATTGGAAAAATCCTCGTTAATATCCTTGACCGTTTATTTGAAACTGGATTCTCCTGGAAAGTGGAAATTAAACGCAACGAAATTGGAGCCTCAAAGGTTTAATGAGAACGGTATATTATTTTCTAGACGGGAGTGAGGAAATTAAAGGGGACCCATCTTGGCGTCGAGTCATCACCGCCTAACGCTTAGATTGACTTGAAATTTTGGCTGGTTGGTCTACCTGAGCCGCATATGGATTGCTGAAAATGTTATCTTGCCCTTACAAGGCGGCACGGATATACAGCAACTCTGGAATTTCAAAAAAAAAAGAAAATCAGAGCCAGAAAACCTTTTTGATCGTATCTTTACGTGTCTATTGCAAAAAGGACTTCAAATTTTGCTGAAAAATCGCGAGCTACACCAAAAAGGGACCTCCAAAATGTCATGATTAAACTTGCAAAGAGTTTACTGCCAGCTAAAAGATAGGACTTTCTCCTCGAACTTTTTGAAGCGTTTATCAAGGCCACGATGCTACATTCTATGGCACTTGCCGATCATCATTGCCAAAAGCAAAGATGTTAATGTTGAGACCTCCCTTCCCCACCTCCCTATCTCATCAAGAATCGCCCTGAAAGAACAACAACTTACCCTTCTTCTTTCGCCTCCTCCACCCTCACATCGTTTCCATTTCCAAACCCGAATCACCGAGTTTATAATTTGACTACCGGTTGGGTTGAAAGTGAGTCGAAGCGAGCAGGTGGAGCAGGTTCAATTGGCCTCGCTTTTTTCGCGTCAACAGTAAATTTCCGCTGTTGTACAGATAACCTTCTCTCCTCTCCTCTTTCCCCCCTCGGTTTTCGCAAGGCCAGCTAAAAATTAACTTGAGCTGTAAATCAGACAGTAAATCGTTGATTAAGTTTACTGTGGCGGTAAAACAGTCACAGAGGTGGATGGATGGGTCGGTTTGGAGGGTCAAAAAGAGGAATGTGAGGGACTATCGCTATGCCCGACTATAAAGAAGGCTTAATCAGCGACTTGGAGCACCTAATTTTCAACTAAATATAGCCACAACCTCACGCACTCGAAAGCTCGGTAGGCTCCGTTCGACTGACCACAAGAATCTTACGGTTAACAAAACTGGAAATCTTGTATTGTTATGGTCAGCGTGAAAAGCGCAGCGTGAGAAACGGAGGAGATAAAATGGTGAAAAGATCTGATTACTTGACATAAGAAATGGCGAAAAAAAGGGAACGCTCAACGTCACGGAGGACATTGCACCTAAATGCGGAAGCAATTGTTGCCTCCTACACATAGAGGAAGTATTTCACGTGTAATTTTGATAAAATTTGGCACGCATTTGTTGTTCGACTTTTATGAACCGCATGTACAGTGAGCGACCTGATCCAGTGGAAAAAAACGTCTATTTTACGTCCGGGAAGTATCAAAAATGTGGCAAAATGCTTCCTTCTCCAAGTGAAAAAAAACTCCGATTTCAAAAGCGCGCCGGCTCATTTTGTGAGGGAAACGGTGCGCCCTTCAAAACGGTTTTTTAACTATGACAGGGAAGCATTTTGCCACATTTTTGACACTTCCCGGATGCAGAATGGACGTTTTTGCCACTGGATCAGGTCCCCCACTGTAGTATATGAGACTCCTAGCACGCGCATTGCGGAAACGACCAAGATATTTCGGTCGAAATTTGACAAAAATGTGGCACTTTTTGGCCAACTTTGGCATGAAAAGTTTCATACCTGTTTTTACCCGTAGCCAGTGGCGTTTCCATGAAAAATCAATTTTTTTTCATGCAAAACCGGCGGCCAAAAAATGGCTTTGTTTCTGGCGGGCAGCTCTTCTTGCGTACTTTCTCAAAGGAATTCGAATATCTCGGCATGCAAAGCAGGAGCTAAAACTTTACGGCGATGGTTTATGGCATAAACCTGGCGTATTTGAAAATTTCGAAAAAAAACTGAATATCGCACTTGTGGTACTTCCTTTGTAAACATACTGTAGAGTACTCCAAGTGTATTCTCTACAGTATATCAAAGGAATAGACTGTACAGCGTCTACTGAAGCTGCGTGATCGAGAAAAGCGTTGCCATTAACAGTTGAAGTTTACATGTCTTTTCCGTATCTGACTATCGTAAAGAAATCTATGTTCGCCGCCTTCTCAGAACACAAATTTTTTAGGTCAGAACAAAGCTTGAAAAGTCATTTTTGGACTTGCAAAACAAGAGATCCTGAACTACCAGCAATAATTGCGCCTTTATATGGCATCTACTTCTAAAAAGAAAGAAAACCCAACGAGAAAAATCGTAACCATCCCAGAAACATGCAAACGACAAGATTGAGTAATCCTTACCCAATCGCTTGCAATCCAACCCTCAAAACATCCAAAACAATACACGAACGTCTTCACGCACTGCTCTTTTCACTTTTCCTTACTCTTCCTCACCCAATATCCTCTAATTTCTCCATTTTCGTCAAATCTTTGTGAGTTGACGTTTCCCGCTCCTTTCCTCCCTTGCACGCGCCGATCCAGCGGATTTGAAAGGGATCGGGATAGGAAAACAGTGGAAAATTAGGTGACCGAAGAACTGCTAATCCACTGCGTTTTGTTTCTTAATTACACTTTTGCTTTCTTTGAGCTTTGGTGTTGAGAGAGAGGAGTTTGCGACATTTGTTTTTCGGAGGGTACAAAACGAAGTCTTTATTGCGATGTATATATTTACAAAGATGTCTTTGCTGTGGGACACAACGAATTGGATAAAATTTGGTTCAAATTTGGAATATTGCACGTCAAGCTGAGATAACTGAAACAGCCCGGTGAATGGACTGGCAATTTGCCAAAAAAGACGCAAAAAAACGTTTGTCGGGGAAGAAATGGGGAATTTTTTGGGGCAAGATTTTTTGCGCGTCTTTTCTCTGTCTTCTCCGCGAAATGACGACGAAATGCAAGAAACCGATAGCGAAGAGTCTATTCCGGTCACCGGACTCCTCAGTTTGACGTGCTATTCTAAAACCGTCCAGATTTTACGATCGAAAGTAAAAAAAACAGAAAGACTTTAGGCCAGTAAATTTGAGACCTCGAAAAAAAGATCATTACAAACAGTCCGAAAGGAAAAATTTATGAAAAGCGTTTGTCGTCTGACCAGCTCTCTTCACTTCGCAGCTGAGATATTGAACGCTCTTTGCTACCGAGAGAGTACGCGAAACACGGAGAGCGGCAAAAGATAAAAATAATTTTTTACCGTACCTTTGCTAGTTCCGCGTGGAAAAAAATTTTTTTTATTGAAATATTACACTCTACGGTAGAGACATCTCATGCATCTTGTCATATCAAAATTTCCAAAAAAGTGTCTCATCTTGGCCAACTGTTCACCTAAAAATCTCGGTAATCTCTGCAAATCAAATTCAAAACATTTTTTTCTAATTTTGTACCCAGTTTTATCAAGGTCTGAGAGTCGCATTTGAAGCATTTTTCTTGTAAATTTGTAGTGAAAACACTGGCTTTTCTTCTCTTTGGTGGATAGAGTTAAGCTTCATGTTCGCAGTTGGCAAAATTCAGGGTGATTGGTGTGAGGCAGAACGACTGAGCTTTGAGGATTTTCGCACTGGAAACTGTCTTCATTTATTCAAATTTGATTGTACTTTTCGACGTGGGGTTTCCCTATAAAAAGCCTACTTTCCACTGAATAAATGACTTGACTCTGTAGCTCTCGGCCTGATCAGTTACTGGGTTGTCGGGCTTTTCGACTGACGTTTCATTGCTAAAGAACACTCCCTTTTCGACAAAATAATGACGTTTCATTTCTGGAATGAATCAAAGCTCTGTTTTCGATTACTGCTCATCCTTCTACAGTCATCGGAAACTTATTCTTCCAAGAATCCAACTTCATCAAAGCCGACGTTAAAGCCCATTCCCCAGATTGGCTAAATTGACTGTAAATTGGAACGGACAGTTCGTTTCAAAAAATATTACTCATTGCGTAAACGTCTCTCTTCCCTGTCCGTATTATCTGTGAAGAACAAATATTGTACAAAAGGGGGACCGATAACAGGGCGAGGAGGGTTTCGGAAAAACCGCTGGCCTCCAAAAGGATATCATTTCGAGGTGAAGGAGAGTGGAATTCGAATAAAGGACGGGGGGGAATACCAATTTGCGTCGGTTCGAATAACTTTTCGGACGCGTTTTGAACGGCAAAATGGAGGAAAAGAAGGCATATGACCCGTTGACGGACATGATCGACTTACAATGCGATTACGAATACGTGGAGTCGAATGTAAGTCGATTTCGAAAGTTGAAAAGGAAATACCGGGCAACGCTCAGATTTTGATAAAATTTGTTAAAAATGGTGATTCATTTTTTCGAAAACCTAAATGAAAGTTCAAGCTCGCGCTTTGCAAAAACAATCGAGACTTTTAGGGCGAAAGTTGGAAAAAAGGTGTCACTATTTTGCGCTACAGTGGAGCAGCGGATCCAGTGGCAAAAAACGTACCATTTTGCATCCGGGAGGCATCGAAAATGTGGCAAAATGCTTCCCTATCCAAGGAAAAAACTTCGTTTTGAATTCTTTCCTCACAAAAAGAGCGGGCGCGCTTTTGAAATCGGACTTTTTCACTTGGAGAAGGAGGCATTTTGCCACATTTTTGATGCTTCCTGGATGCAAAATAATACTTTTTTTGCCACTGGATCAGGTCCCCACTGTAAAAGTTTCATGCCAGTTCCTATCACACAGGATAATGTTTCCAAAGAAAGACAACTTTTTCCACACAAAACTGGCAAAGAAATGACCACTCATTTGATCTTTTTCAATCCTAGAGCCTTCATTTCAGGTCCCAGTAGCCACAATTTCCCTTCTCGGTATCATAGTTTCCCTCATCTACAGCGGCATTTGCTCACAATTTTACTCCGACGATCTGCTCTACATCTTTTTCATGATGACGCTGAGCTACATGGCTTTATTTCTCGGCTACAAATGCCAGTCGTATCGGCTGTATTATCCGATTATTGTGGCTTCAATTATTGCTGTGCTGGTCACCGGCTACTTCATTTTCCTATTCCTCGCTGATCCGGAGATGCTTTACTTTGCATTTACACATCGACGATACGGCTATTTGACCAGCCAGAGTGACAGCATGTTCAAAGTCGCTGGCTATTTATTGGTGGCCTACGACTGTGCAGTTGCACTGGCTTTGTATCATATCATGTTTGATTTTATGTTGTTGAAGATGAAGTCGGAGGAAATGAGGCCTGCATACTTGTAAATTATAATATTATTAATAATGTACTGATAAAGTAATAAATTCACAAAAAAGATTATTGTTTATATCACAGCCGCCTAGAGAGTATGCTAAACGCGGAGAGCGGTCAGAGAAAAAAACAAAATTTTTTGGCCATAACTATGCTAGCTTCGTGCGGGAAAAATTGATTTTTTGCAGAAACGTTAACCTTTACTGTAGAAAAAGGTATGAAACTTTTCGTGCCGAAATTCGGCAAAAAGTCTTAAATCTTCGCCGACATTCGATTTAAAATCTCGGTTGTTTCTGCAAAGCGCAAGCCGGGATTTTCGCATATATTTTAGAAAAAATCATTCTAAATATATCCCAAGTTTCATCAATATCCGAGCGTCGCATTTGGTACTTTCTCTGCAAAAGTAAAAGCTTGTAAAAATGTGTCAATTTTCTCGCTAACTTTTGACATAAAAATCCTGATCAATTCAGCTAAGCGCGACTCAGAAATCTCAAAAGAAATTTTATAAAAGTGTATTCTAAACTTGGATTAAGTTGCACCAAAATTCTGACCTTCTTTGAAAGCAAACTTAGCAAGATCTGCGCCTAAGCCTACAGTAATCCCCCAGCATATTATTCGGACTGAATTGTTGATTTGTTTCTTGCATATTACATGATCTGTTGTGGTGCCGATTATGCGCGGATGACGCTCGTTTCCAATGCATCCCGGCCGATAATTGCGGCGGCGCGAATCCAATGAAACCCTTTTATGCACCTAATTTCCCACAATATGGTATGGTTGTTAGGTGAAACACAAGCGGAGACGGGGTTAATGGGGATGCGTAACGGGGTGTGGATACGGGATGAGGTCGGCCCTTCCATGGACATGGTAGCTGGAAGTGTGGCGGAGACCAAGAGGGAGGTTGGGTTGGGTGATTGACAGAATTGACAGAATTCCTGTATATAGGGACAGTGAATAGGGCGGATCTAGATTTCTCTAAAGCCAACGTGATTAAAAAATATAGTTTTTTTGTTAAAATCAGCAAGACCGATCCTGTGGAAAACGTAAATTTTTTGATGACTAAATGAGTTTAGTAGGAGTACTTGTACGGTCTTTAGCAAGGATCAAATATGTGGTCAAAAGCCGCCTCAGACCCAGATGTCTTTACAAATCGCTTACCACAGTTTTAAAAGCTGATAGCGTATGTTAGACATGGCTGTCGAGCCGGCCCAAATTTTCCTTGGCCCGGTTAAGGTTAGGCCGGCCTAATTGGGCCCGACAGCGATAATTTGGCGAGACAATAAAAGGCACTGCCTCCAATGTAAAATCAACTTTCCGGGATGCGCAGAAAACATCCTATCTTTCCTCTAATTATAAGTTCGCTTTGGCCCAGCCCGTCAGCCATGGTACCTACCTTGCCTAGATACCTAAAACCGCGAAAAATTCAAGCAAAGCGATCCTGTCAAGACACGTCAGGACCTATGCAAGTAAAAAAATCTAACTAAGCAGATCGGTACTATTACAAGGTTGAGAAAATAATGTGGATTTATCGCTCAAAGAGCCTTGGAAAATCCGGCACTCCTTTGCCGCCGGGGGCTTGATTTATTTCCTTCTATTATTGCTGTGCAGGTGCCCAATACCTTCAGATTTCTCAAAAGCTCTCTCGTCTTACTTTTCTACGATAATAATTGTTTATACTCCGAGGACCAATCTTTTCATTTTCATTATCCATGGTATATATGTATGTATTCTCTCGTAGCTTCTGACCCAGATCCCTCCTCTTGGTGTATCTATTATCAATCAATGTTGTTCTTGCCATGACACGAAATCGGGAAACAATTGTTGTCCCGAGGAGAATTTAGCCCCGCCATTGTCCAAACATTTGTTTTCCGATATGTCATTTGGAGTGATTTTCGTGTGTTGAAAGGCGAATCACTTTTCTCAGGACACTGGAATTTTGGGAGGTTTGGGAAATGGGATGGAGGGCTACGGTAGAGATGGATGTAAATTATCATATATGAATAGATATTAGGATTTTAAAGGGTTTTTAGAGGCGAAAATTTAGCGCAATAAGATAAAATGACCGTAATCTGTATCAAAAAGGGTCTATAAAAACAAGGAAAATGCTGAAAGGACAATGCTTAGATTTTCTTTAAACTTTGCATAGGTGTTGGGTATATGTCGCATATTAATCGCTAAAAATTTTAGCTCGCGATTTCCAGAGACAGCTGAGATATTCAACGACCTTTGCCGCTGGGAATCTCACATATCAACTCTTTATTTATTTTTTTATATAGTAATGTTGTCTTTCCTATGTAAAACTTCCTGAAATTTTGTATGAAAATGCTTGCAAAAAAGGGTCACATTTTTGTCAATTTTCGACCAAAAAAACTCATCAACTTTCAACCGTAAAGTCATCAACTTCAACCGAAAAATCTGGGTTGTTTCTGCAAGACGCGGGCGACCTGGCCATTTTTACCTCATTTTTCTTTTTCATTACTGCACTTTCCCCCTCTGCCCTTCCGTCCGCAGATTACTCAACTGAGAAACGGGAGGTCCCAATTGATTCGGCGTGGAAGAATAACATTTGTATAAGCGAGGCGAAAAGTGATTTCTCTCCTTCCGATTGATGAGATCTCTTTTCCGAGTAAAACGGGGGGCCAACGAAAAAATGTCGACAAAAAGCGGTGTAATTGGCGGTGTTTTCGCAAGGCGGTGGGCTTTGATCTTATCGAATTCCGCGAATATTCACCGGTGGTTTTATGGCTACCGGCTAATGGACTGAATGGTTTTGGTAGTTTTCATCAGCTGGCAGGGCTGGAGTTTGGTTTTTTCAGAGAGATGAAAAGCGTTTAGGGATTTATTAGCAAGAAAAGTACTACAGGGTACGGCAATTTTTCGGCCGGATTTGAATTGGCTATAACTTTTTTAGTTTTTATCCAAATGTTAAAATTATTTTTTTCCCTGAATCCTCAGACGTCCCCATTTTTGTAATACCAAATATGCTAGATATACAGGGACCTAGTTCATAGTTATTGGCTTTTTTTGTATATGTGCGACGCTCATATTTTCTTTAAATTTTACGCGTATGTTGGAGATGATCCATTTATGAATTCCTGCAAATTTTAGCTCGCGCTTTGCAAGGTCAGCCGAGATATTCAACGGTCTCTGTGGCCGAGAGAGTACGCGCAACGCGGAGAGCGGCAGAGAAGAGTACCTTTTGGCCACATCTTTTCCAGTATCTACATTTTTTTAAGTAAAAAAATATTTTTTTGTGGAAGAAAAGCTGTCTGTATAGAAATAGAGGCATGTAATTTTGATTCCAAAACTCCGAAAAAATGCGTGACACTTTTTCCAACTTTGGCCTAGAAATCTCGGTGGTTTCTGCAAAACTCAAGCTGTATGTCTAGTATATGCTTTAAAAAATTATTCCAAATCTGACCGTCCCACTTTGAGAACTTCCCTAAATTCAAATACAAGCCAATTTTTATGTGCTTTCAATGAGTGGGAAAACCTCATGATTTTTTGGTTCTTATCATGGTCTATGTGAGAAATGGCATGTCGAAGCATGCCAACTCTTGCCGTTCATTTTCGAGGTCTTATCAAGCGTTTGGGGATGGGAAAAAGCCCATAATTTCTTGATTATGTATGTACATATTGATGATCTTTTGCCATGATTTGACATGCTTGGATTAAGATTGTTTTACAGGGTTTGTATGGCTTCTTTAGAGGCCTCAGAGAACGTAGTATCATCCGTATGTAAATTTCGGCAGGCTTGCAATTTTTGACAACTTATGGTCAAAAAATCCCTGGTAAAACGGTATTTCACGTCCAAGAAGCATTGAAATTGGGCTTATTTTATCTGGCAGACATTTTGCGGCCCTGCAGTTAAGAATATGTTAAAAATTTCCTTTGTCACCTGACTCAAACCTAATATTTTTGTCTTTAGTCACCCCTTACCCCACCAGAAATCGACCCTCTTCAACTCCCCATCCAGCTCAGCCCATATGCTGAGTATTTTGCAAGGTAATCGTCGGAATGAGTGGCGCGGTGTTTTTAATGGCTTTTTGTTGTTTTTTGCACGGTGCACCATTACCGCTTCGACTCATTTCCCCCAAAAAACCTTCTGTGCCCAGGCTTTGTTCGATTTTTTCGGTTGAAACATCCTTTTGGGTCCATTGGGGAGAAATAAAAAGGATGTGGGACTACTGGTTTTTTCGGGGCTTACCGGAAATTTGATTTGAATAATTTTTAACGGGCATGCGCTTTGGCCTATTTTTATGCGATTCTGGAGGTCGGGGGTTCAAGTTTGGCGGGTAGCCGAAGATTTTTACGATCTGAACTTTAAAAATTTTGTTTTTCATACAGAGAAAATGCCGTTGGAGTAAAAATTTTTGAGGGTATTTTGGCTCAAAAATCGCTGAAATTCGCTACCCTCAAAAATATTGTTTGCCAGCATATTAGTCGAGGGGAATTCCGTCCCAACGCAAATGCATATTGAATTTCAGCGGCAAAGAAGAAGCGATAAGTGCCGTTATGAAAGAAAATGAGCGCGCGTGTTTAGCCATTCTTACACAAATACGGATTGATCTGCGACCATGCAGTCATGTCAATGTCCTTTTATGGGAATGAAAATAATACAAAAAATCCTCCAAAAAGGGTAAATTTGGGGGAACGTCAATTTTTTAATTTTGAAAATTTTGATATTTGGGTTACTGTAATTTCAAAAAAATATTCTGTCTGGATTACTGTAATTTTAGAAGCATTTTTGGGTTAGTGTAAAAAATGTTTGGGTTACTGTAATTTCAGAATTTTTCTGGGTTACTGCAATTTCAGAATTTTTTTGGGTTACTGTAATTTCAGAAATTTTTCTGGGTTACTGTAATTTTTTTTGGTTAAATTACTGTAATTTGAGAAAAATTTTTTGGGTTACTGTAATTTCGGAAAAAATTTCGGTTTGGTAACTGTAATTTGAGAAAAAGTTTGTTTTGGTTACTGTAGTTTCAAAACTTACTGGTTACTGTACTTTTTATAAATTTTCTCTTGGCTACAGTAATTCCCAAAATTTTCCTTTGGGCTACTGTAATTTCACAGAATGTTCCCCGAAAATTTCAAAGCTTTTTTACTGTTTATTTGGGGTATATTTATTTTTCTACTCCGCCCACAATTTATTTTCATTTTCCATCTTTCTTCGTTTACAGAATCGCGCAGATGCGACTTGAAACGAAACTTTTTTAATTTTTTTTGATCTTCAATGTAAATGACAATCTCTGTTGCCAATTTCCGTATTTTACCATTGCTATTACCTATCTCAGAACACATTTTTCATCGAAAAAGTTTGCCTTTGCCGTTCATTTAAGAGTTCTGGCAGCTTTTTGCCATATATGTATTTAACGTATTTTACATTTTTCACATAATTTTCAATCCTTTTAAGGCTTGTGAATCCAGTAATTTTGCAAGAAATTTTGCCTCATCTTACCCTTAATTCGAAAGAATCATAAAAAGTTTCTTTCAAGTCGCCTAATTTTGCATACGATGCCGCCCAGACATGTATGAAAAAACCTGTCGCGTTCGCATTACAATGGAGCCGGTCGGCTTTCTTGTCGCGCCAATCCGACTTTCCATTCGATTATTAGGATTGTTGCCACACTTTCGTGTCAGAGGATTTGAATTTTTCTTGTAAATCGGACGTTTTTTTAACAATGATGACTTTATTTTCTTCTTGAAAAAATTGATTTTTTCGTATTTTAGCCTATGCCCAGACCAAAATGAGGCATAAAGCGTTCATTCTTCTTCAAATTGCAATATTATGCACGCTACTTGGATCGTCTGCAGGCTACTTGTCACCCAAGAAATCAGAGTCGAATTCAGAGGCGTCTGATGCGAAGGCCAAGGATTTGGCCGGAAAATTTGAAGATGTTCTGGGAATTCATGGGAATAAAGGTATGCTGAAGTTTTTCTAATGGCTCTAGATGATGTCTTTGACATTTATTTATCTTGATTTCCCACTGAACCGCGTGAAAAGAGAGATTACTCAAGTTGCGCAATATTTGGATTATATAACTGAACAAAAAGCTATTGTGTGACATAGACATTGCGTAATGTTTTATGGACAATGAGTGTCCAGAAAATTGACAGTGGTTTGAGATTTAGGGTTTGTTTTGAAAAGATAGTAATTGCAAAGAGGAAGCTATTTACTAGGTGCTATTTACTTCCATATAACCTGTATATTTTGCACACTCCTGGAGAATATCTCCCATATCAATTCCTGAAAATATTAGCTCACGCTTTGCAGGGATAGCCGAGATATTTAACAATGTTTTACGCCGAGAGAGTACGGGAAACGCGAAGGGCGGTCACTGAGAAAAAAAAACAGTTTTGATCGTGTTTTTTGCCAGTTTCAAACAAAACAAAATTAATTTTTTTGTGGAAATCACACTCTATTGTAGAAATAGGAACATAACTTTTTCATGCCAAAGAAATGACCAAATTTCGTCAGTCTACAGTATGCGTCATAATTATAACCGCACTTTTAAAATGAGTGTAACTTTTGTGATTGTGAATAGAAATGTGTCATATTTGGCACCAATGTGCATCAGTGTACTAGAAATGATGTCCCAAAAAATCATTTTCAAGAGTTTCCGTATTTTAGAGAAAAGCTGCAAAAACCAAAATTATGATACTTTTCGGTGTCGCAAAATTATAACCGCACTTGCGAATTTGGGGTATTACCCTAATAAAAACACAGTATATCAATAACTGATGTTTAGTTACGCTTCCTGAGGCCTCAATAACGCCCATCACACGACCCGAAACCCTCTGGGCAAATTTTTTTGGCGCATACTGACCCATCTTGTCCCTGAAGCGGAAAACGGCAGATTTTCGCTTAGAATACCGCTTGTTGTAGCGATGTAATCAACGGGCGAGGGGGCCCCACAAGTTTCCTATCGGATTTAAACCCAGGGAATATGCGAGCGAGTCTATGGTGGCAAATGCCTTGCTGTCAAAGGAACTGGTATGTCGGCCTTCTACGGTTGACGTGGGCATTCTCGAACAAAAGTAGAGCCAGATTGCCAGTACGGTACCAGATGTTCGCCTAAGACTTCGTAGTACTCGAAGCTATTCATTTGAGTTGCTGTGGCCGCGGACGGAAGGCCTCCGGCTTTTTTGAAGGCGCCCCAAGTCATCAACGGGCGGCCTCTATAATTACGGCACGAGAAGCGACGCGATACGTTTTTAATGTCATGCCGTTGGTATGTAAAACCGTCAGGGCATCGTGTGACTACGCAATCCACAAGGAATATGGTATTGCAACGGTCTCACGTTGGTTTCAGCGACCTTCCACTAATCAACCTCTGTTGTGAATGTCTCCTTGGCAAATTTCGGCTGTGGATTGCCGTAAACCGGGGTCAGCTGGGGTCAGAGCTTCACATAATACCTTGTGATGACGTCGCTGTGTTTCCTACCCTCAGCACGGTGCTTCCGCTACTAATGAAGCTCAGTTCTTGATTTAAGTGAACCCCAGAGATGGCGGAGTTAGAAGTCCGGCGGATTATTTCTCTTCAACCAGAAGCAGTGGTAAACTTTTGTCTGCCATAACATTTAGATTTGTTAAAGGCTTCCGAGACGACCAGGAAGTTCCTCACAACTTGAGCCCAACGGTCTAACTGAGCGAAAATCTGCCGTTTTCCGCTTCAGGGACAAGATGGGTCAGTATGCGCCAAAAAAATTTGCCCAGAGGGTTTCGGGTCGTGTGATGGGCGTTATTGAGGCCTCAGGAAGCGTAACTAAACATCAGTTATTGATATCCTGTGTTTTTATTAGGGTAATACCCCAAATTCGCAAGTGCGGTTATAATTTTGCGACACCGAAAAGTATCACAATTTTGGTTTTTGCAGCTTTTCTCTAAAATACGGAAACTCTTGAAAATGATTTTTTGGGACATCATTTCTAGTACAGTGATGCACATTGGTGCCAAATATGACACATTTCTATTCACAATCACAAAAGTTACACTCATTTTAAAAGTGCGGTTATAATTATGACGCATACTGTACCATTTAAAAATCTCGGTTGTTCCTGCAAAGCGGCAGCTAAGACTCTCGCATGTCTCTGGCTAAACTACTAGTCTAAATTTGCCCCAAATTTCATCGAATTCAAAGCGTTGCACTTCTTGCGCTCTCTCATGGGAGGAACTGTCATAAAAATCGATTTTCAGACCGTCCCGACCCTCAAAAGTTCGATCAGATCTCGCGGAAAGACGCTGTGAGGTATATGCAAAGGCTGTTCACCGATCATCTGAAACAACACTATTTTAACACTGAAGATGTTATCACCGCTATCTTCCCGGAGAAAGGTAATTTATATCCATTTTTCCTGTCGAAAAAATCACTTTTCATAATTTCACCTTGCATTTTCTCAATCTCAAACTCTCGAGATTTTACGGTTGTCGAGAGAGTTGGGGTTTGCTCGTAAATCACCGGAAAAGGAGACATATCACCGCGTACATGACGGGAGAAAGACAAATTCCTTTTTGATAGGCGCATAAAACAAATAGCCCGAATTTAGACTAATTATCGGGTTGTAAACGAACTCGCCGCAAATGACTTCGGGTGGAGAAGATGGACAAATCCGTATGCAAATAAATAGAGACGTTGCTGTCGGTTCACTACCAATGGTAGTGGGCCAAATTTAGGCGGAAGGCTTTTCTGAAATCCTCCTGAAAACTTGCAAAAGTTATTCTGCCAGGCTGCGTATAGTGTAGTGAAAATGCAAGAAATCAAATATTTTGCAATGCTTTTACAAATTAGATATTTTGGCAAAGACGCTGAAAGGGAAGTGCCACAAGTTCGACGCTAAAATCATGATAAAACTTGGCTGAAATTTAGAATCATTTTTTCCTAACACATATGCCAGTTTTCTTGCTAGCGCTTTGCAGAAACAACCGACCATTTTCGTGGAAAAGTTGGCCAAAATCCAGAAGTTTTTTTTTGAAGTTTATGTGATTGGCAGCTTCAGCTTTGCCAGAGATGAGAACCTTTTTAAAAGCTTGTTTTTCTATGTCCAAAGAGGGCATACCACTGCCCTCTTTTATGGAATAAATTTACTCAAAGCAAAATTGGCAGGGATATGGCCAAGCAGCGTTTTTCTCTCTGACCGCTCTCCGCCTTCCACATACTCTCTTGTCGCCAAAGTTCAACGAATAAATGTCTCTATTTTAACATTTATCATCAAATCACAACGATTAAGACACTATCCTCCCATATTTCAACGACAAACCCACATACTTTTCAGGTGAGCGCCGAAAAATCACCTTCAAACCCTCCCTGGTCGACTCAAATTCAATCATCGACAAAGCCGAGGTCCATATTCGGCCGCGGCACAACGCTGACCTCCGCAACTCTTTTATCCAAGTCTCATGTGCATCCTGTGTCAAAACAAAATCGCTCAAAGTCACACCCTCATCGTACGACACCCACAAATGGATCAAGTACGACGTCACGGATCTCGTCGACGACGCTCTCCGAAATGGCAAACAGAGCATTGAAGTGGAGCCGAAACTCCGTCGCGCCATCTACGACATTGATGTCAATCAGCCATGGAGGTCGGCGTTTCTGACTGTTGAGACCTACAACTCCAGTGTGGTCGGCAAGAAGGACAAAATGGCGGAGAACCCGAAGAGCCGCAAGCATAAGATTCATAAGAGATCATTAGACGACTATTATCGTTATATGCCCACAGGCGACGAGAGTGATGAGAACTCGATTCTGGGGGATGTGTATGGCAAAGCGGATAAGTCGTTGGAGCAGTTGAGAAGTCGGGACGAGACAATCTTCAGGAGGAATTACAACATGGTCAAGACGGCTGGGCCAAGGATTCTGCAGGCCAGGCCAAAGCCGGTGAGTTGAAAATTTAACCGACTTTTTTGATGTCTAGTATCACTGTTACGAACTGTAGAAATAGTGCCGGAACTCTACAGAAAGATAAATGCTCCTTATGTTGTACAAAAATAATTTTCCAGAAGAAAAAGTATCGTTCAAAGATCCACCGTCACGACCCAATGATGGGCTTTGGTCGAGATCTCAGCGACGAAACGACGACTGAAATTACTCCTCATCTCTCTGACTTTGACTCCGAATTTTCGGTTCATCTTCTTGATCAGGAAAATGACACCAAGAACAAACATCAGGTAAGTGGGAAAAGAAGCTGGTAGTTTCAAATTGATAGTTTGACCCTCTCATTGTGGTAGATCAACCCAACTTTGAACTTTTAGAGATGCCAAATGCGAGATCGAACTGTATCATTCCGCGAAATCGGCTGGGACAAATGGATAATCGCCCCCAAAGAGTTCCCAGCCGATTATTGCTCCGGCTCCTGTGAATTCCCACTGGAGCCGGCTCACCATGCCACAAATCATGCGCAGCTCCAGTCCATTCTCCATACGCTGGCCGGCACAGACATCCCTGATGTTTGCTGTGCGCCACAGAAGCTGGACTCGCTCAGTCTGCTGTTCTACGACGAGAATGGAAATGTGGTCTTGAAGAACTTCCCGAAAATGGTCGTATCTTCATGTGGATGTGTTTAAAATATGAAAAGCAAACGAATGATTTAAAATTTGCATGATGTTGCGAAAGATATTGCTCTGCCTTTTTGCCGCCAAGACCTCTGATATTTTTCAGTCATAACTCTAATTTTTATTCTTTAATTTCTTTTATTTTCCATATACACTTTTATAAACGTGAAATTAATTAAAATAAAGTGATGTCGTAAGAACTGTTTGATGGGTAAACGGGAAAAACAACAAGTAATTGGGGAAGTAAACACCAACAGTCATTTATGGGATGATTGTCAGATCATTACATTATTTTCTTTCTTGATTTTCATTATTAACTGACCTTTATGTCGAATTGCTTCTCAATTTTTGCGAATAAAAACTCTAGCGGCCGCTGCCGGACTTTTTTGGCCCGACGCGAACTCGATCGGTACGGGGCGTAGCTAGAGGTTGCAGTTGGGCCGGGCCTGGTGTTTGGGACGGCCCCGAGCGGCCAGATGTTTGAGCCGGGCCTGAGCGTGTTTTTGAACAAACTTTGGGACGGCCTGACCACTCCAGAACTGCGAGCCGGGCCGCAAAGATCATCTTGAGCCCGTCCAAAGACCAGGCCCAGCCCGATTGCCTCTTCTAGGCGTAGGACAGGCCGAGACCAAAGAAAGGGTCGTATAAGTTTCCCATGAGGTCTGGAAAAGCCGTTGGATGACAGGCGGATGCTCGGCGAAGGCTCGGCGGAGACTTTTTTTTATCAGTTTAACTATTGCTAGCCTTTGTTTTCTCGACGCTGAGCTAGTGTAAATAACGTAGAAAATACCAAAATTTGCTTCAAAAAACTTGCTTTAAAAATGAGTTTTATCTAGATGTCATCCATGTAAAACACCTCAAAATGTCTAGTAAGATATGCCACGACCCGTCTGAACATATTATTTTTCTTAATTTAGCCTTCTCCCCGTGCACACAACCCCATAAGAATGAAGAAATAAGACTCTTGGGGTCAATTGTCCTATTGCTCCTCACCAGTGGAACAGTTGACCCAAGAATTTCTACTCGAGAAGAATTGTTTTTTGTTTTTTCCCGTTTGGGACGTACTTTGTAAACGAATAAAGCTTGGAATTTGCTCAAAAATGGAATTTTTTATTTCTGTCTACGTTTATTCCCCGTTTGTCTGTAACTCGCCAATTTTGGCAAATTGTCATATGGATAATGTAAGCTGTATTTCTTATTGTGCTGACCTGTTTGTATTCGTCTAAACGGCCGAGATTTTTTGTTTCGATAGCCGAAAAAATCCAACATCTATTTCTATTATACATATTACACAATAGGGGGTAATGTTTCCACAAAAAAATGTTGTTTACACGCAAAGATGACAAAGATATAAGAAATGTTTTTCTCTCTGACCGCTCTCCGCTTTTTGTATACTCTCTCGGCCGCAAAGATCATAAACTTCGCTCTTCTATTAGCTTTTATAAAACAATAAAAAATGTGTAATACAAAATTGATTTCACATTCCATAATCGTAAACTTTTACCACTTGATAGTCGCGTCATTGTCGAGCAATTTGTCAGTCCTGTTCAAACTGTTTGTCTTTCGATTACATCAAAGACGTCAAAAACAACCTTCCCAAATTTTCGTCATTGTCTAATTCACAGAACGGTGTTCTCGTTTAATTAACCGCACTTTACTCACCGCTTTTTTTCACTCTCGACTGATCAACGCTCGTCGATGAAGGCCGTTGTCAAAAATCTTTTTTTTTGGGCAGAGCTTTGATTTAAAGTTTTGAAGAGGTCGAAGGTCATGACAATATTACTGTCAGCTCGATGATTTTGTATCTATCTTTAGTCATGGTCAACTCGTTATCTAAAATTCCCGAAATTTCCGCAAACCTGGCGAGAACTTCAAGGAAATTGTTGAAAGATCTCGGACAAACTCATGCATCAACCAAGTCGTAGCTGTTTTTCTAATAAGCTCGTGACCAAAAGAGCGCGATCAAACCTTGTTATCACCTCTTTTACCCACTTTGTTTGTAACCTTTTTGTATTCGGGTTTCGTAAAGATGATTCATTGAGAGTTTGGCGACTTTTTAGACTTCCGACTTTCTTGCTTCTAGTGTTTACTGCATATATAAGGAGGGAGAAAGCCTGAGAGTCTGTGAATTTTGTTGGAAAAGTCCCAAGACTGAACAGGAAGGGGTGTTTATCATAAATTTGGGGGATTTTTTTGAATCATTTTAGAAGGCTTTCGATGGATCTTTGAATGGCATTTTTTCTTTTGAAAAATATGTCTTTTTGCCATGTAATTACCATTTAACAATTACTGAAAGCCTTAGCTCGCGATTTTCCAGAAAGAGCCGGGTATTCAACTATCTTCGCCGCTGAGAGAGCAGGCGAAATGCGGAGAGCGGCCATAGAGAAAAAACATTTTTGCCGTACCTTTCCCAGTTTCATAAAAAAAAAATTTTATGGTAACAATACGGTAGAGACAGCGACAGCACTTTTTATACTAAAGTCCACAAAAAAGCATCATGTTTTTGCCCATTTCCGACCTAAAAATCTCCGTTGTTTCTGCAAAGCGCAAGCTAGAATTCGCACATACATCTTGAAAAAATTAACCTATATTTGTGCCAAATTTCATCAAAATCTGAGCACTGAACTTGCAGTACTTTTCTTTTTATAAATCACGGGACTTTTACATTTCGAAGATTTTCGTGGCGGGACCAAAATATTTATTTATAATGTGAGCTCTCAGGTTTTGTATTTGAAGCTTTTGACAATTGAGTTTCTACTGTATAAAATTTATACTGATGCTGGTCGTCCTAGAAATGTAGTTTCAATGCTTTTTGTACAGAACAACGAGTTTCGCCGCGGTAAATTGCCGCAATGTTCATGGAGCTCCCAAATTTTAATCTGCTCGCCTCTAGTCACAAAAAGTCACATTACTCGCCCCACATGTCTCTTGTTCTACAGTCTCTTGTTTGTATGACCAAAAACTAACTCCTACCGTAACGGTGTGAGCGATCGCTCGGCGTTTATTGATCAATAAACAACAACTTCTCCATTCTCAGCCTGTTATCATTTTTTCGGGGGGTTTGTCTCATTCTGGGTCAGAAATTTACGACCAAACGTCAGAAGACCAAACAGTCCGAGGAAAGAGGGAGAAGTGATAAGGCGCCGGAGGTCGTTGTTTGTGGCTAGGTGGTTGATCGTAAATATTGGGTCCGAAAAAAGATTTTTTCCACTTTTGATGAGCTCTTCGGTTTAAATATAATCATACTCCCGCAATATTGATGCTTCTTTTGAGGTTTCCTTTATATTGTGCTGCTATCGTTTCTCGTAAATGCAATTTGCTCCCCTTAAGTGACCAAAACAACCTCAATTTAAATTTTAAAGCCACTGTTTCAGTTAATATTATAACCCTCAGACAACGGCCTATACATAGTTGGTACCTTTTTTTGACACCTGATCTTCGCAATGAATTTACTGGACCTCGGTCTGTTTCAACAAGACACATCATGGATGATGATCACCGGCTTTATTATCGCCTTTGTTCTGGCCTTTGCAATAGGCGCCAACGACACGGCTAACTCGTTTGGAACTTCGGTTGGAAGCAAAGTTCTAACGCTACATCAGGCTTACATTTTGGCGACGATCTTTGAGACGCTTGGCGCTGTGCTACTAGGTGGGAATTGTTAAAAATGAAGTTTTTTATATTGAAGTTTATAGGCTATCAAGTGACGGATACGATACGCAAAGGGGTAATCGATGTCTCCATGTACGATGGAGCGGAGAGAGAGCTGATGCTGGGACAAATCGCTGTCTTGGCTGGTAAGAGTTTCTTTTTTGATGTAAACAACAAAGCCAAATTAGATAACGAATCCTTGGATATTGAATTTTTTGTGTTCTATATAAGTGTTCTAATATAATTATCTGCAAGGTCAAAACTTTCGTACAGTCATAAAAATGTTTTTTAGCTTGCGGATGCTGGCTTCTGATTGCCACTCTTTTCAAACTACCCGTGTCAACGACTCACAGTATCATTGGAGCCACCATTGGCTACTCGGTGGTGCTTCGAGGCTGGGCTGGAATCCAGTTCTCGCAAGTCACCAATATTTGTAAGCTAACAATAATCATTGAATACCCTTCAGTGGGGGACCTGATCCAGTGGCAAAAAACGTACCATTTTGGATCCAGGAAGTAACAAAAAAACGTGGCAAGATACCTCCATCTCCAAGTGAAAAAACTCTGGTTTCAAAAGCGCGCCCGCTCATTTTGTAAGGAAAAGGGGGGGGGGGGGCGTCCTCAAAACGAAATTTTTTACTTGGAGAGGGAAGCATTTTGCCACATTTTTGATACTTCCCGGATGCAAGATGGTACGTTTTTTGTCACTGGATTAGGTCCGCCACTGTACATAGATGGTTCAGTATGTATAATCTTGAATTTCTTCAGTTATCTCTTGGTTCTTGTCGCCAGCAATGGCTGGAATCATCTCCGCGGCTCTCTACGTCGCCTTGGACCACCTGGTTCTCAGAAAAGTAAGTCTCTCACCGTTAGCATCAACTATGACTTCAGAAAAACTCTTTCAAACGGGGTCTTCAAGCTTTACCGGTAATTTATTTGATCTGCACTTGCTTCAACGTGTTCGCAGTGGTCTACAACGGGTCTGTTTGTAAGTTTTTTGCTTGATAAGACTTAAGACAATGTTCTACTTTAGATCTAGCTTTTGACAAGCTCAGCTTAGCTCAATCTCTGGGAATCTCGATTTTCTTGGGTTTACTTGTCGCCGTTATTGTGCAATTCGGGTTCGTGAGGAAATTGAAGAAAGTCAATCAACGTGAGTGAACTTATCTTTTGCAACTAAAAAGGTCTACATGTAAGATAATAATATAAAAAACTGGCTTAACAAATTGAAATCATCATTTTCAGAAGACTTCAAGTCCGGCAGTATCATAGCACAAGGCAAAGAAGCTTCAGAAGTCTGTACAATTCAGTTCGAAGAGGACGAACAAGAACAGCCAAATTGCTTCAGGCAGTTTTTGCATTCGAAAAAACCTGATGATCCTCAGACCTCTCATCTGTTCAACGTTCTTCAAATCTTGACCGCTTGCTTTGCCGGGTTCGCTCACGGTGGCAATGATGTGAGCAATGCTATTGCTCCGTTAGTTTCGTTGTATTCGATTTATGTGGAAGGAAGCGTTTATCAGGTACGGCTTTACAATAAATGTCGTATCTTCACAAGAACGATTAAAAGGGGAAATACCCTGAGTACTCACGTATATATTAGGTTGATGCATAATTAACCGGCGGTTTTATACTTGGCAGAACGACCGGTATTTTTAGGTCAAATGTTGGAAAGATTGTAACACTGTTTTACCCATATTGGAATGAAAAATTTCGTGCTTATTTGTACTGTGGAGGGTAATTTTCCCCAAAAAATCAGTTTTTCCGCACTGGCAAAACTTTGGCGAAAAAGTTCTTATGCGATTCCTCTCCGCGGTTAGCGTTCGGCCGAAAATAAGTATCATTTCCTATGCCGGCTGCGTCTGTAAAGCCATACAGTGGAGGATCTGATCCAGTGGTAAAAAAAGTACGATTTTGCATCCGAGAAGGATCAAAAATGTGGCAAAATGCTTCCCTCTTCAAGTGAGAAGAACTTCCGTTTTTTGGAGGGCACGCCATTTCCCTCACAAAAAGAGCGGGCGCGCTTTTGAAATCGGAGTTTTTTTCACTTATAGAGGGAAGCATTTTGCCACATTTTTGATACTTCCCGGATGCAAAATGGGACGTTTTTTGCCACTGAATGAGGTCTCCCTACTGTATACAAAACTTTCGAAAAAATCTGAGCTTTGCACTTGGGGTACTCCCTTTGTAAGATACGTGTGCATATTTTACATTTCAGGAGGGCCAAACTCCCCTCTGGCTTCTGCTTTTCGGCGCCGCTGGTATGTGTGTTGGACTTTGGATCCTGGGCCACAGAGTGATCAGCACAGTGGGAGAGGGGATCACTGAAATCAACGCCCCCCGAGGATTTACCATTGAATTGGGAACAGCGTTTACCGTTCTTGTCGCCAGCAAGTTCGGACTGCCGATCAGCTCAACCCACTGCAAAGTGGGCAGTGTTGTAGCAGTGGGAGCCGTTTATCAACCAGGATCTGTAAAATGGAGCACTTTCGGAAGCATTTTCATGTCATGGATCATCACTTTGCCGGCTTCGAGTAAGTGAACCAGAAATTATAAATAATATAAATCAAAATGAATTTAGCTGTCCTAAGTGTCGTGTTCATCTATATTCTCAAATTCTTCGCGCATTAAAAGCGCTTCAAATGGGATTTTTTCATCGGGCTGTGTATCATAACATTGTACATATCGAGAATTGAGCTTGGTAAATTAAAAACGAAGTAAATAAACATTGTAACATCATGCGGAATAAACATATTGTCTTTTTATTGAATAAATGGCTTTATTTTTAATGTACTCGGAGATTCCCCTGCTTCTATCGCAGTACCACCGCGAAAACTTGGAATGTTAAAAGATTCTTGGCATTCTGCAATAATCAAGAAAAAGTCTTGGATATTGTAAAAAAAGATAACAGATGCTCCAAATAGGCATGAAATCTGTAAGGTGAGTCGTATTTCCATTAGTTTCTTCTTGGTTTAGGTATTTTCAGGAAACGTATCAAGTATAGTATATTATTTTATAATTTTCTGGACAAAACCTCGCTAAAAGACAGATCAGTTCTGCGTCATACGTTCAGCAACAACTGAAACAGTATTTTTCGTGCGTAATGTGACGAAAACGGGTAGATCTCGCTATCAGATCCTGTGTAATATCGGATTTCGTTTGTTTTAGCTGTTTTCTTTTAGTGAGTAGGAAGTTTTGGTGGTTTTCTGCTGCTCACAGCCTCAAATCTTCCAAAGACAAGCAGCTCAACTTCTAGAAACAATCACTTAGCGAGGGTAACATAATTTTATTATCTTATTCATCAGTTCTCCCACTAAACCGTCGCAAAATAGCTGAGAATGTCAATTTAGGCCCAGATGCCTCCAACAACAATGTAATTCAAACTTTAATACCCATTTAGAAATAAGAATAAAACGTTTTCAAATTGAAAAATGATCAAAGAGAAGAAAAAAAGAGAAGGACAATGTAAGCATTGCAAACGTACAATAAAAATATTCAAAAACTCGCGATGTTTGAGTGATACGACGGTAAAACATGATAGAAAATAGTGTTGGGCATGCGGGGGTGTGCAATTAGACTTATTAGAGGGAGCAGTTATTACAAGGTGAATTCATAAACAAGCTGTATGAATCGGCGAGTTTCGGGATAAGGCAACTGTCTGTATGTTGTGTTCAGCAAAGTTTTGTGTGTTCAGAGATGTAGAGAGGAGAGGAGCGAGGGATTAGAGAGGCTGTACATCTGCCAAAGCCGCAAAACAATGCGAATTTCCTAACGCAATTAAAATTTATGGTCCTAATGAGCGAAAATAAAGTGTTCTGGGAGCCAAAAAAGATAAGAAAATCGAAGTAAAATTGTGGTAAAACTCTCTTAACAGTAAAAGAAATGAAGATGTTTCTTTACTGACCGCTTTAAGAGCTCTAACATGGGAGAAAAATAAAATATTGTGACGAAAAAAAGTTTCAAAAAACAATGAAAAATGAGCCCTGAGTTGAGGCAGACGAGCCGAAGTCAAGGATTGTCCAAATTTTTGATCAAATAACAGAGTTACTCTCACACATTACCCAGTAAGGCTTGGATTGGATAACAACGAGTTACCGCAGTAACATGTGAAACTAATTTCGCAAACAATTAGAATAATTATAACAAACAAAGCTTGAGATAAAAAGGCTGAGTTGAGACTTGGCGAATAAAAGTTGTTATAGTTACAACGCAGGTTGTGTCTTTGGTTTTTCGTCGTTGCGACGAGTGTTTGTATGTTGTGTTGGACTAGACCGAGCTGATGGCGTCGTTCTGACGAGAGTGCGACCTCGATCGGCTGATACCTGAAGAGAAGTTGGGATGGGATTGTAATGGTGTCATTTTTGGGCAGATCGTGTTTATGGCTTGTAATTTACTTATTCAATCGTCCCAACGACCAACTGAAGAGTGGATTGACCAAAAAATCTCATAAAAAGCTAGCGAAGAGTTGGATTGGTATGAGGTAAATGATTTGCCTACCAATCCAGCTCTTTGGATAGCCTCTTGTGAGATTTCTATGGGAATCCAACCCTTCGAATGGTCATTTGACCAATTGGCCATGTAGATTACACGCCATAACTTCGATATGCTCAATCTTTCAAAATGTAAGCTTTATACTTTCGGAAGCTCTTTAGAGCTCTTACAAAGTAAGTTTTTGCCGCTATTTTTACCATTTAGGACGACTTACTTTCTTGTTCAGCCTGCAACTTGAGTTGCCTTGAGATTTCGCGTAGGCGCGCCGCGCTAGGACCGGTTAGCGACGGTTCCCGCCGATCCAACCCTTGCTGGAAGGCTTTGATGACTCGGATCTGAAAAAGTTAGTTGTTTACTGGACGAACGCAACGTACAACATTGAGCTGACATCACTACAGGTGGAAAAAATAGCTATTCAACCTAGGTCTATCCCGCTTTTTTATAGATTTTCGGTCACTGCACACGGAACTAAAGGAACTGAAAGTGTTATATAGAATAGTTAACTCAAAAGGTGTTTACTCCGGAAATTTTAGTGATTCACAAAAGGTGACGAAACATGATAGTTGGAAAGTCGTTTGTATTATAGTAGTTTGTAAAAGATGTTAAAAAGTATATTACCCATGTACCGATACGACATTCAGGAAAGTAAAGAAAAGAAACAAAAAAAACTTGACAAAAGCACCAAACATTTTCATCACCGTTCCATTTACTGTCATGTCCGACTTTCGAATAGATAGGACCAACCGACGCCGACACACCACTGCACTGCCCTTAGCCATATAATGAAAAAGTTTTTTGTTTCGATTTGATTTCCCCTTCAACACCTAGATCAATAGTCATAGAAGGTTTCGATCAACTCAGGAGGAATTTGGGTATTCTTGTCTGGGGAAGAAAATGGACCAACAATATTGGGAAAGACACAACGGAGAGAAATTTGACGTCTAGATATTTCTAAACAACGACTTTTCGATGGGAGAAACAAGTCTTTTTGGCATATAGTTGGGTGTAAAGAAGAAATGAACTCAAAAATACTATGTTAAGAAAGGGTAATGTGTTACGAAGGAACTAAAGAAGATGGTTAACAAAATAACTGAGGGAAAGAAACAAAAAGTCTCATCGGATTGGTTGGGGGATATCGCTGAAATTGGGGGAACTTTTCACAACACGAATACCGCAACCAGAAATGAAAATATCTACTATTCTATGTACTAAAGAAGGTTTACAACGATCAATAGACTACACAACAACGATACGGCCAACGAAAATCACCGCAACCTTCTATGGTTTTTTGATTTTCTTTGCTCATTTTGAATAGACTAAATCTGAAAATGGTAATACTTTGTGCAAAAAGTCCTCGGTATTTTGCTGCGAGTTGGATGTTCTAGAACTGATGACATGAAGGTATGCCATCACACCCCTAGATTCCTACTCCCCAAGGCTTTTTTCGTTGAGTAAAGGCATAGTGCTTACGGCTTGGTCGGTCGGCGCGGAGCTATGTGGAACGGGAATCAAATGTTCGGCGCATCGGTCACCACCAATCACCTAAAAAATCGGTACACTCCAACAAAATAAGGAATAACTTTTCAAAATGTGTGCTGCGTTTACTTCGTTTCAAATTTGGCCAAAAAAAGCAAGTGAATTTACAAGAATTTCAGCTCAAAAGCATGCTGAAAATTGGTGTCAAAGGTTTCAACTAGTCTACGATAACAGGACACAACTTCTTGATCCGCATCAAAGTTTACAACCAATCCGGCCACTGCGTAAGCCTCACGATAATATCACCATATCACGATCACAAAAATAGTCTCTCTCAAACACACCACAACATCGAAAAACCAACCGTTATTCGAGCGCTCCTTTCACACTTTTGGAAATCTAGTATAAAATTAATGTTCAAGGTTAAAAATTTATTTTTGTCTGTTAAAACGATTATATATATATATTGGAAAATATTTGCTGAGACAGTAAAAACTTATTACGCAAGAAAATGAAGCGAAACAATTGTCAAATTTACCGGTATAATGGGTTTCACTATCGAGTATTTCTAAATCTGTATGCCGTGGGACGCTTATCAGAAAAAAACGAAAATTGCGAGGATTTTTTTGGCAGTTACCAGAGTATTTTTTGGAGAACAGGATTGTCACCAGAGCGCCGCGTTTTCTTGAACGGAACCTTGAGATCACAGAATTTTCGCATAATGCCTTCGGGCCAAAGGGCTGCCCGAAATGGACTGAGAATCTTTGGTGGGGATGAAAGAATGAGAGACAAACCTTTGAATAGGAAGTAATCTGCATAAAGAGTTTGTATACTTTTGACAATATTAGTTATGCACCCGTTTTTGTAAAGAGTTTTTCAACAACTACTGGGTCAAGAAGTGGATTTGGAAAACGTAAATGTTAGACAACAAAAAACCTATTGGAAGACCTTCGCATTGAGCAGGACTTTTCTATTGCGATTGCTGGTTGATAGTCGGTTCCGCCTGTCATACGTGCGCGATCGAGACGGGTGTGTCCAATGACATGGATTTGCCAATATGTCGATTAACGCTGCTTCGCGCCCCACCGGATGGGGTCCATTGTTGAACTAGCGGGATTTTCTCGACTTTATCTGCGGGCAGGTACGCCACCATGTTTTGCGTGGCTGTTGTCGGACTCATAGGAGGCTGGGTTATAGGACAAGCTCCGTAACGCCCATTTTCAGTGTAAGTGTTATTCTCAACACGCGGAGTAGATCCGTTTGGACGATGAGGAGCCGAGTTCTCCTTGGAGACGGTCTTATGCGCACCTGTGTGGATGTAGATGTTCGACGTTCGTCGGTTGAACCCCACAAGACCGTCTTGCAGATGGCTTGGCCCATTGGACAGTCGATGCAGATGAGAGAGCCCTCGCATCGACTGGAACGACTGCGAGCTGGCCGTCGAGCGGCGCTCGTCGAACTCGTCGAGGGTTGAGCGGAACGCTTTCACCACACGCAACTGCAGCCGCGTTTATTAGTAATTGTTACAGGTTGCTTTTATATTATCTACGGAGCATTCGTGGGTTAGAAAAGGGGGGTTTAGTTAGAGGTTATCTCCCTTCAACACCAAAGTCCTTCACCGAAAATACCGTTGGCCGTTCGGCTCGACGAAATTCAGAGGCAACAACAAAAACGAATCGGAGTTTTAACCGAAAACGGAAAAAATCACCGATTAGTGAACCGAAGGAAACGGTGGTCTAGCCTAGAAAAGCCGGGACGAAAAAGGTTTACATCGGCTCCAAAAAGTAGGCATGCCCTTTCACGAACAGCAGGGGAAATCAGGAAGGAAAAAGCAAAAGTTATTGAATGCCAAATGGAAGAAAAAATTACATTGATCAGAGTGACGTAAAGAAGGCACTCGATATTCAAAAAGAATCGAAAAATAATCGAAAAAATCAAAAAAATATAAAAAAATAAAAATCACATGCGACTGCCCATGAACTTTGAAGATGAAAAAAACCCAAACCAACCAGAAAATTTCAGTCCACTACGAAAGCGAGTCGACGGCGTGGAAGTCGGTACCGAGTCTCCAAAAACTATTGGTGTTCGCTGTAGCGACTTCCAAGCGCACGGTCAAGAAGAAAAATACGCAAGCATGTTTTACCAGCTGAATGCCGCTTCAACGTTCATCGAATCATGTGGTGGCTGGTGTTGAAAATGGTTACACAATATAAAATTACAAACGCCATCAAAGGGTACAGAAGCGTAAGCTCGGTGCAGATAGGGGTAAGTGACAAGAAAATGGTTGAAAATTAGCCAAGTTTTAGCGAAAAGAAAGGGATTTTCGGTGAAAGGAGTTTGGTGCTTCTCTAGGAGGATCGGAATAAACGGTAACGGGCTTTTCTTTATAATTTACAGTATCTGTTTGAGTTATTATTCGATTATAGGAGGGTTTGGGGTACTGTTTTTCGATTCTCTAGCGGTTTTTTCGGTCGAACTTCAGACGATGCGCAGAATTCAACACTTTAAGAACTCTCAAAAATACTCTTACAACATCACTCTCACAATGTACGACATCTTCACACGGAACTCAGGAATATATGAACACAGCAATATCATCATGATTACGCAGCGGCTGAGGTTTGGTTGACTCTTTTTTCTCTCAATCGACTTAAACCAAGAAGTATTTGAAAATAAAAATTATGCAGAAATCATCGTAAAAAAATGAAAATACGAATATAAAATGAAATAATAATAAAAAACTCGTACACTTTATATATAAAAATCAAGAAACTCTCGTTCAAAGTTCATGGTTCGTCTAAAGTGGCTAGGGGTTTTCCACAAATTTCGTACGAATACTTTTTTACTGTGACTGGTGCCTTATCTCCTCTGATATTCAACGCAACTTTTTCAGCACTCGCTTCAAGGGTCAGCACTCATTTTTCGGAGATTTGCGGGAGTTGGTTTAGAAGGAGTGTAAAGACCGGGACCGATGTCCGCGAATGGTCTTCGGATGTGACGAAATAGGTATTCTCGTCCGGAAAAAGAATTCCGATTCTTTCAGTACCTAGGAGACTCTCACATTCAGCTAGAGGGCCCCATTTTTCCACAGAAACCAACCTGAGTTTGGAGTCGAGTCAGACCGCGGATCCACAGGATCTGACCAGATCGCTTTTCGTGGGTCTCTGCATCGTCGTATTCGTTGTTGAAGATGTCATCGGCGGATTCCACTTCTCCGGAGCCAATGGTGAAGCTTCGAGGCAGACCACTGGTGGGGATGGTGGTGACTACCTGAAATTCAGCGCGTCAAATAATGATTCTTCGGCTGAATGATAACAAATATTTGCTGCGGGGAGAAGAACTTACCTGTCCCCACAAAAGTCCACCGACGCCGAAGGCGACACACCACAGCCACTGCTCAAGATTCAATGGAGCAGTTGAGAACCATCTGCCACCATATTGAACAATAATGACTTGCGTGATCATGGTCACCACCCAGATACTGTAGAAGATTGGGTTGGTGAACAGCCCTCGGAACACGTTCCTTTCTCCGTGGATCTTTCTGGCGTTGATCTCGTTGAACAGTGTCATCATGACGAAAGTGTTGAAGACAATTGTAAAGTGTTCAGATGGTGGAGCGTGAAGCGGCGCCCAACGTCCCGAATCAATGCCGAAGAACTTCTCGCCAGCGAAGATGAGGACGAACAAAATGACCAGCTGGTAGATGGCATGACCCAAGATGTTCTTCGACATGGTTCTTGAAATCAGAGGGCTAGTACGACCATAAGGCTTTCTGTTCAACAAGTCCATGGTTGGCATTTCTGTTGCCAACGCCAGCGAAGCCAGTGTGTCCATGATCAAGTTGACCCACAACATTTGAACAGCCTTCAAAGGAGTGTCTTGAATGGCACACGCTCCGACGAACGCCACAACCACGGCGACAACGTTGACGGTGAGTTGGAATTGCAAGAATTTGGCAATGGAATCGTAGACATTCCGACCCCACATGACGGCCTTGACAATTGAGGTAAAGTTGTCATCAGTCAGAATAATATCCGAGGCTTCTTTGGCCACGTCCGTACCCGCAATACCCATGGCAAATCCAACATCGGCCTTCTTCAAGGCGGGACCGTCGTTTGTACCGTCACCAGTTACAGCTACGACTTCGCTGAAAAGTTGCGCGTTATGAAGGTTATGGCATTACCTAGAGTGTTCAAAATTTAATGTAAAACCTTACCGGTTATCGCTGATTTTACTGTCAATGATACCCTTGACCAAAACGTATTTGTCAGAGGGCTGAGCTCGAGCCAAGACACGAAGTTTAGGCCAGATCTGATCCAATTTGGCTTGGGAGACTTCCCCATTCTCGTCGCGGATTCTGAAGAGAAAATGATTATCAATGATTTTTTAGAAAAAACAAGGATAATAGCGATTACTTACCTAGCGTTGAAGTCCTTTCCTTCTAGAGCAATAAAGTCCTCTCCAGGTCTGAGAATTCCACAAGATGTGGCAATGGCACGAGCAGTGTTGATGTTATCACCAGTAACCATTCTGACGGTGATTCCCGCAGACTGGCAGCGAGCAATAGCCTCCGGCACTTCAGGTCTGACCGGATCTTGGATTCCAACAATGGCCAACAGAGTGAGCTGGCTGATCACCTCGTCCTCGTTTTCCCAGTCGATCTCTCCGGAGTAGTTGATCTCGTTTTCTGCTTGAGCATTTCCTGGCCTGTAGTCTTTGTAGGCGAGTCCGATAGTACGCAGGCCGTCAGAAGCCATCGGTTCAATGACCTGCCGAACAAGACGTTCTTGATCCTTCTCAGAGAACTTCTGGACGACTCCATCTTTGCCAAGGACCCATTTGCACTTCTTCAGGATGATCTCGGAAGCTCCCTTGGTGAAGACTCTGAAGCCCTTGCGATCGTCGTTGTTTTCCAACACAGTCGACATGCTTTTTCGGACCGAGTTGAAGGTATAGACCTTGTAGATCTTCTCTTCAGGGTATTGATCACGGATCTTTTGGTAAGATTGTCCTAGGTTAAGAACGAAGCCAAGCATACCACATTCAGTCTTGTTTCCAAGTTGATCAGCTTGTCCTCCGGGTTGTTTCGATGGGATAACAAGACTGGAATAACTGGAGTTGACCGAGATGAGAGTTACGATCAAATCGCGGGTCTTCTGGTTGAGGCTCTCGAATTTGGGAGTCTCTTTGTAGTGATGATCGTTGATGAATGACTGAACCACAGCCATTCTGTTGGTGGTGAGGGTTCCAGTCTTATCAGAACAAATACTTGTCGCATTTCCCATGGTTTCGCAGGCATCCAAGTGGCGAACCAAGTTGTTGTCCAACATCATCTACAAACAAAGAGTTAATAATCAAAACTAGTGTATTCCAGCTATTCATGGCGTTTTTTACCTAAGAATAAAATCAAAAAAACGTGTAAGATGCAAACCTTTTTGACGGAGTACGCCAAGGACAAGGTGACGGCCAAAGGAAGACCCTCAGGCACGGCCACGACCAACACCGTCACACCAATAATCAGCGAGTTGATGAAGAACTGGAAGTCGGCCAATGAGAAGGCGTTTCCGTCGATTCCGTAGTTGGAGATGCAGAATCGGATGATCAGGATGAGCACTGTGCAGGCAGCGACGAACGATCCAGCATATCCGATTTGAATGGCCAGTCGGGTGAGCTTGGCTTGAAGAACGGACCGTTCCTTCTTTTGCTCGCCTTCTTCTCCCTTTGGAAGGGCTGCACCAGCTGCGGCGCCGTTGTAACCATCCAATTTGATGTCTAAAAAATTGGGTTTCTACTTGAACGCAGCTTTTCATCCATGGAAATTCTTGTCTATGTTAAAAGTAATTTAAAACTTTAAGGACCGAAATTGAAAGGAAAACACCCCTGGCGTTAAACCGTCGAAAAATGCGGAAAATAACTGTTTAGTTAGGGAGTGGCAAAATTGCAGCATCAGTGATGCGCTGTGGGTTCCGAAATTACGAACTATATCTCTCCCGATAGCTCTCTTCGGCTGTTACCAAACTAAAATGTATTCAGCTTTCAACCACAACACGGTGTACAGTACGCACAGTCTCTACTCAGCTACGCATAACAATCACTAAAACTTAAGCCAAAACCCTTTCGAACACGGTCGTAAAACAACGTTTTCTTGGCCAAATGACTTACGGTCTTCGGTGAGAAGCGCCTGCTTTGTTCCATCGTCTAAGGTGATGGCCGGGGGTTCGACGCCTGAAGAAACGTTTGCTTGAGACCAATCACAACAAAGCGGTGGCTCTGGCCGTCAACATTTGACGACACGGAAGCCAAGCGACAAGAATAGACTCTCGATTCATGTTAGACATTGTGTTCCGGTTCTGTTCTGGACAAATGAGAGACCTCAAGAGCAAGACGACGATGTTGAGTGAAACAGAAGCGCGTAATATTCGGAGCCTGGACCGCAAATGGCTCTGAGTCCTCGAACGTGCAAAGCCGCGCAATATTATAGCCTCACACCGTGCGGTAAGCAAAAAAGAGAAAAGCGTTATGAACTGAGCTTGACGACATCACAAACCAAATGTTACGAGACGATGAGTATACAACAGTATTGTTACTCGCGTTTTCAAAGCGGTATCGGCCGAAGAGCCGCTGAGGTTAGGCTAGCAGGTTGTTAAAATCGGTTGGGAGTAAGTAAAGGTTGAAAAGAAGGTGGTTAACAACACCTCGGTTCGACTTTCGGTTCGTAAAGTAATGGGTATGCCCATGGCGCCTTATTAAGACTGCTATCCCCTCTGGCACTCAAAAACCGAAATCAGATTCAGCCCTTACCTTCCAGACTCGCATTGTACGGAATGGAGCGTCGAATTCGCACTGTAAACTCAGGTTATTCGAAGGGAAACATTTGTGAACTAATAGTGAATGGAAGAGGTGCACTATAAACGGAAAGAGAGGTGCTTAAATTGGATTCTGTGTCGTTCGACAACGTCCATTTGTTCCGTGGGAAGTTGGTGGTGTTCTCATGACGTCCCTTCCGAAACCGCGCATAAAATGTTAGTCAAGAAATGCCCGAAAAATTAGGACTTTGGCTTAAATTTGCCTGCCAAATTAGGCCTTGTATTGAGCAGAAATTGGAAGGAAAATTTGCCGGTGAGAAGGAAAAAAATGTTATTTCGTTGGCTGTGTGTTTAAGATGTGAAACAAACTCGGTGCGGAAATGACAAATGATGCAAGACAGACGTTCCAAAAATACGTGTCGTATTTTTGCCTACCTGATGCTTTGCTTTTGCGTCGAGTTCGTCGGTCTAAAAGAAGAAAAATTTTAATTTTTGGATCCACGCTCCGGGCCCATTTAAGCGTCACAACTCAGAAAACGGAAAGATTTTGGAAATACGCCGTGAAAACGGATAGATTTTGAAATGCGAACGCCGACAATGCGGCTTGCATTGACGGCATTGCGCGAAAAAATGAGGCATGAAATCTGCAACCGGCGATATTCGAAGATATCGCGTACGCAGCCGGAAATCGGCCGCGCTTCCGGCTCGCTAAGCATATCCAGTCTGAAAGTCGAATAGTACAGATATCCAGCAACAGAACCGAACACAAGATAGAGCGACAAAGTAACGACGAGCCATAGAGACGCAAACAAACCTTCGCGCTTCTGCTGCTTCCGCTCCTCTTCGGCGACGGTCTTGGCCGCTCCCAGCAAGGTCATGATGATGCCGGTCTGCGAGTTCACTCCGACGGCGGTGATCAGCATCTTGCCGCTGCCCTCCATGACATGAGTGCCCGACAAGAGCATCGGATCATGGTCGGGGGACTTTCGGATCAGGTCGGATTCGCCGGTAAGTGAGGATTCGTCGATTTTCAAGTCATTTGCTTGAATTAGAACACCGTCAGCGGGCAGGAGATCACCTAAAAAATTGAGATAAGTTGGATACGAAAAGATGATTTATCTTAAATTGAGTTATTTCTTGAGCGACGTTATGAAGTCAACCTACCATATTTGATTTGAGCGATGTCACCAACGACCAATTCGTTGACAACGATCTGCATCGAAACCCCGCCTCGGATCACCGAGAACTTGTGTTCGGTCTCGATTTTGGCCTGAAGGCCACGAAATTGTTTTTCCTTTGTGTAATCGTTCAATGCCGTCACCAAAACAACAACAACTACTGAAATCAGAATGGCGACACCTTCGATCCATCCGGCGTCGTGCTCTGATTCGTCTACTGCGACTGAAAATCAAAATATTATCTCTTCATTGTCTGTGAAAGTGGTTTTGTAAGGGTTCGTATACCTCAAATTGAAAATGAAAGCCAAAGGAGCATTCGCTTACCTCCTGGATTCTCGGGCGGTCGATAAAACGAGAGGGCGAGGGAAATGACCGCACTGACCAGTAGGATGATTAACGTCACATCTTGCAGGGCCTCCCACACCAACGTGAAGAAGCCCTTGGGCGGATGGGGTGGGATTTCATTGGCGCCGAAGACGGCGCGTCGCCTCTCCAACTCCTCCGTCGTGTTCGGCAACCCGTTGAGGGGGTCGGTTTTTAGGCGCTTGCACAGGCCATCGAAGCCTTCGTACTCGGCGTCGATGCGCTCCTTGCCCTCGGCGCCCCGGCACTCCATCAAGGAGCGCAGGTCCTCCAACGAGACCCCGTAGCTCATCGTGCCGAACCTTGGGCGCTCTGCGTGCGTGTGTTCGGCAGGGTGTGTTCGCTCGTAGTGGTGGCGGCGGTGGCGGTGGTCGTCGTGGGCCCAGAATGTGCTGCTACCGGCGGGGCTTGCGTGGAAGGCGGGCGGGGTGAGAGGGTGGAAGGTCGATTAAGTCGAGAAAGGAGAGAGGAAAGGGAGGGAAAAATTGAACTACTCAAACTACTTTCCTTGATTGTAGTTAGGTTTATTCCGACCAGCCCTGAAAGCGGCGAACGTTGAATTATGGGAATGTAATAAAGAGAAGCGGCGTCCCCGACATGCCAATGTGGAACACACGCACAATCCTTATTCATGGCAATAACGGGGTTTTCACGCTCGCGAGACGTTTTTTTTCGGACAGTGAGTGGATAATTCCTAATTCTGGTGATGATGTGACGGGAAATTAATCTCAACATGTCATAGGCGCGTTGTAAGATGGTTCTACATTGGAGATAGATAAGACGCCGCTACATTACACTACACATTGAAGCGATGTAAATCCGGATTTTAAAGAATTATTTTCCAAACCGCAGAAGAGGCTATTGTAAAATACATACTATGGACGCAAGTACCCATATTTGAAAAGGTGTTGAAAAAAAGCACGACTTTTGCTGCCCTTCAAGAATGAAACCGTCAACATTTCGGAATGACGGCCGCACCGACGTCAACATAAACAAAAACGGCACTATTTCGGTCCAAAAAAGGAGCTTTCCCGCTTTTCCTGCAACCCCATAATTAAATGAGTTTAGGTTCGGCTCCATATTTGAAGGCATTCGCGCTCGCGAAGACAAAAGCTCTCAGCGAGCTGGCGCCAAAAAATTTTCACGCGGAATAATTGAGGGGCCGATGAGTAATGCACGTTGTAATATTCATTTATTTACGTCCGTTTCGTATAAAATTCCCGGACGTGAATCATGGCGGGGAAGAGGATCGCACAACGGAGACGCATAGATAGCAATTTATACGAAACAGCAAGCAGTTGAGACATGGAATCGCCTTAGGGTGTTTGTAAAATAATCCCGAGATCTTCGCGGGGAGATTATGGGGCGTTTTGGCCAAGGCTTTGGTTCGATTTTTTCGCCAAGGAAATAAGAATAATTTGGCCAGAACTCGATGAAAAAGTGACAAATTATTTACCGCCGGTGCCTCGGTTTTGCAGTACACAATTATAAAAACGAGTAAATGAGGGGAAATAATCGGATCGCTGGCTTTGTTTTCGAATACAATTGCCTCATCCGTGGGCATGAGACTGGAAAATACAGGCCAAATTACGGCGCAAAAACAATGAAAAACTTGAAAAGGCACGTAGGAATTTGCAACATTAGTATGCCTGGAGCGGAACATTTGAATAAATTTGTGGCCATGTCAAATTAATTACGAATACTTTCGAAAAATACGATAATATGGCGTGATAAATAGCACAAAGACGAAGCTCCGCCATATTTCATCGTTTTCGGGGGGAAACTGATGCTCCCGTGGAATTCACGTGACATCCAGGAAGCAATGTTTCAAAACGACCAGTATCACAAATTAAACCTCAAAAATCGTCGAATTAGTAAGCATTGGAACCCATCAAAAAGCCATCTTTTTTTTGATCGAAACCCTCAAAAAACCCCCTTGCAGTACGAAAAAGAGGACGATGTTCCTTGGGAGGAATGCTGCGCTAGATTCCGTGGGTCTTCCTCTCCTCCGGCATCGCTGTCCTTTCGACGGATGCGTTTCCAACGCGCCGCACTTGGGCCGAAAAACCGCTGGCAAAAAATCCGGGAGAATCTTGGGGGCGCATTGCTGGAAGAGCCGGTCACGAACCCAGCCCGGCCTCGGGGGCCGCCTTGGATTTTGCAAGACTCTTTTCTGCGAACTCCCGCGCCCCCATCGACCACCTCGGGACGTCGGTGCGGCACGACCCCGCGGGTCAATGTCGGGCGGATGTCGATGGTGCGGTCGGGACAAAGAGTCGTGCCACACGACGACCAACAAGCCCCCAACGAAGATGCCATCGTTTTTTTTTCTTCTTTGCTTCTTCGGCCGCCCCCCCTCGACAACCGACGGCGGCCGACGGGCCCGGCCGGTGTTGAAGAAGAGAGCGAAATGCAGTGTCCCCCTTATCGCCCCCATCCCGACGCAGCGGCCCGGACGCGGCCGTTGTCCCCCTCCCTCAGGCGAAAGGGTGTTGGCATGCCGTTCCCCCCGCTTTTTTTCGGGTTTTTTCGCCGAGCGGGGACTTTTTCGGTTTTCCCTCCCTCTTGTCGCGTCCCCGGGCCCCGAAAATTCTAGCACAGCACATTCGCCCATTGCGCTCGGCTTCTCCTCCTTCCCCTCCCATCCGCCAGTACAACTACATTTGCGTGCTGGAAAAGTGCGGCACTCTCCTCCAAGCAGATGGAGCACCAAAAAAAAAAAAAAAACTCGGAAAAAGGGTCTTTCCGCGGGCGCGCCCCGCATCTCCAGGACCCGCCGCAAACGTCTCCACAACGTTCGCAGGTTGTGGATGATAAATTCGCTGCCATCGACAATGTTCATGTCAGCCCACTGGGAAAGGGAGTGCGCTGAAGAAATGGTGTCAAATTTCGGCTTTTTTCTTCAAATTCCCAAGGACTTCAAATAAACAAAAAACTGTCGATGGAGGCCGCAATCGACCATTCTACGTGGGGCTTGTGGGCTCTGTAATCCACGCCGGAAGAGTGAGTGTCATATAGACGAGCTGCTTTTGGAAAAAATGAACCTTATTTTGTATCTTACCCTTAAAGGTGCTCCAGATTGGCCAGACAACTTTTTGAGGAGCAGTAAGAGTGCGTCAAGCCTTTCTAATCTTATTTTTAGACTGACTAAATTACCTCAATATACCGAAATGACGATATAAAACAAAAGGCAGAGTTTTTCGTCACTTGTCTGCTAGGTTTTACAGGGTTCGTCTACGGGCGAATAACCACAATTGCTGCATAAGAAATGGTACAAAAGGTGTTTGGAGGGTCGAAAATTGAAGAAAAAACAAGCAGTCTTTGGGAATTCTAAATCACCGGGGAAAGAGATAAAAAACAAAACAAATTGGTGGGGAGGCTCCAACATTACAATTAGTCTCATAAAAACAACGCAATTAATATTATAAAACTCGGAGATTCCGAGAAATGAAAAATTTGTGTACAAAAATGTTAAAAATCGGGGAAAACATTTAGAAATATTGATAAACATGTCATCTTTGCAACATTTTTCAAATTCCAAGGGAGTAATCAAACATTCGGCTTTAATACGTGACATTTACGGTTTGTAAAAAGTGTAGGCGACATTCTACAGGGTTAAATTGGAGGCTGGATGCACGTAATGAAGTTTAATAACTCCCTTGAGAGAAACAGAAAGGGTTATTCGTAAATTCGCGTTAATTTGCCCAAATTCTCCCGGAAAAGGTGAAAATCCGCGTGAAACGTGTCGAAATCGCCGAAGTTTTTGCTATATCAAGTGACGACTTGCTTAAGCAACCCAACACCAAGCACACATAAATATGCAAGCCATGTTGCATTGGTGATGGGGAGAAACCGGCATTCCGAGGCGAATTACCGATTCACTCATCGACCAACGCTCTCACCACAATCACCTGTTGTTTTTTTCCGATGCAAATCCTAGCGAGAACCGGCCCGAAGTGCTCGAATACGCAATCAGCGGACACGTAAATGGAGACATGACAGTTTCGTAAGATAGTATAGGCCATAAACAATGAAAAAATCTCGTCTTGAGAGGGTTTATTGCTACCAGATAGACTTGAAATCACGATAAGATAAGTGCATTTTTCCCTCTGTTCAAAAGGAAGTCGAAAAATAAGCGTCGTAGACGAGGAAACGCCTCCGAATCCGCGCATTGTCCATGTGTCTTGCCGGAATCGACAAAATTTCGTCGATTATGCATCAAACAACACTTGCTTTGACGCGCAATTCCAACCACAAACTCCTAACGACCCCGAAATGGAGAAAAAAAGAACTCTTCCCCCCTTCTTCATCCCCTCTCTTTTCTCGGTCCACTGACCGACTGATATCAACAACCAGGGGTGGGGAAAAATTGTTTTTCCGTTTCCCGCGACAGGCCCGCAGAGTTATTAGAGCCCGTCCGGAACCGGCGATCAAAAGAGACGCGAAAAACGAAAAGCGGCCGAAAGTGCGGAACGGCCTGAAGAGACCATGTCCGCAGGGCATGCAATCCCTGCGTATCGGCGGGAAAAGCGGGGCAGCAGAGAGGGGAGGGCGGCCCCGGAAAAAAAGACCCGGGTGTTTGGATACCGGGCGGCTAAAGTGCGTCACTCTGATCTCCGAAATGAATGGGAACGCCGGTGCGGAGCGGCGCTGCCGTTTTTTCGAAGGGTTTGGACAATAAAATGGACAACAGACAGTTGGTGTTTTCGGGGGGTTCAAGCTAGCCGAATTTTTCAACATTCGAGGGGGTTTTGGCTTCCTCATCCTACGATCTTTTCGCCGTCGTTGGACGCGTCTGAAGAGCGGAGGAAAAGGAGTTATTGTTCGCAGAAAATAAACACATTTCCGCTCACGTACGCCCGGCATACTTATCGATACGCTCACCCCCTCATCGAAGGGCCCCATTGGCGTTTCCCCATTCCACGGAATGGGAAAACAAACGGCAGAGCTTAACGCGATTTGCAGACCCTCGGAACTCCGCTGACCTTACATTGATTTGTGGATGTTCGCGGAGGAAAGGAATAGAAAAGAAACGCCCCGAGAGCGAAGTAAACGGCGACTATTAAATTGTTTTGGCGCACAAAACAAACAGCGACAATGCAGGGAGATTTGATGAGGTATTAATAAATGCAGGGGAAGGTTTGGGTCGTAAAATGAATTAGGGCTACGAATAGAGAGGTATTTTCGAATACCAATGGGCAAACAAGGCTGTAAAGGGAGTCGAAATTGACTGGGGAGTACTCCAAAGCGACGCTCAGGCATTCTTTAGGTTTTGCACACATTTCCGGCATAGCACACATATCAATCACTAAACGTTTTTGCTTGCAATTTCCAAGGGCAACCGGGATATCCAACGGTGTTTTCGGCCGAGAGAGTAGGCGAAATGTGGAGAGCGTTCATTGTGAAAAACGCTTTTTGGACATACGTTTGCTAGTTTCGCGCTGAAGAATTTATTTTTTGTAGAAAAATTACACTCTACGGTAGAAACAGGCTTGAAACTTTTCATGCCAAAATTGCAAAACACAAGGATTATTTTGGCCAACTTTTGACCTAAAAGTCTCGGTTGTTTCTGCAAAGCGCGAGCTATAATTCTCACATATGCCTTAGAAAATTTTTGCAAATTTGGGCCAAGTTTCATCCAAATCTATGCGCCGCACTTCAGCTACTTCCCCTTGAGCTAAAGATTGTTTGAATCACAAGGGTGTGAAAAACGGGGTCATAATTTCGGCACGGCTGGAATGCCACACCTTATTCAACGGATAGTACAACTAAGAACAGACCGCTTTGTCGGAAAAACAAACACCATTTCTCCTTGGCACCAAAAAATGTGACCTTTAACAACAAACACAAAGGTTAATACAACAACGTTTCTTTCCGGCCTCCGTTGAGCCCTCAAGCGAGCAAATCTTGTTCGAACAATACAAGTGGCCCCCCAAAACCCGACTTTTCCTCCCTTTTCGGGGCTCCAAAAACGCAATACCATTATTCATTACGGTTGAACTAAGTGCCTCCCTCAATAACCTAAAGTAACTCCGTCCGCATTGCAGAGTATGACAACTCTGGCCGTCCAATTTCACGAATAAAACCTATTTTTCCGGCAAATTTACTCCACTGAACGGGAATCATGGACTTCCGGGGGTTCTTTGGGACAAAAATCCCCATCGTCATGTCCGTTTGGTCTTTGGGAACGAACATATCTTAACAAGGGAAATGCTTAAAGTGCGACGCTCAGATTTTTTTGAAATTTTGCACGCACGTTTTGAGTAGACCACACATCAATCTCTGAAAGTTTTAGCTACCGCTTTCCAGCGGCAGCCGAGATATCCAACGATCTTTGCGGCCGAGAGAGTACGCGAAACTCGGAGAGAAGTCACAGAAAAACTTTTTTGCAAAACCTTTGTCAATTTCGCGTGGGTAAAATAGATTTTCTGTGCAAAAAATTTCACTTTACAATAGAAATAGGCATGCAATTTTGCTTGGCAAAATTCACATAAAAAAGCAACTATTTTTTGTCAACTTTGGATCTAAAAACCCCGGGTTTTTCAGAAAAGTGCGAGCTAGAAATCTCCCATATTTTAAAAAAAAAGTTACTCTAAACTTGTGCCAATTTTGCCAAAATTTGAGTATTGCACTTTGACCATTTCCCCTGTAAACAAAAGCTTTTCATTCAGAGCCCGAAACGTCGCATTCGAGCCCCTTTCCTGCGCCAACCTCTTCTTCCGCGCTCCAACGGAACGCACGAAAAGCGCGGCCCTGGATATGCGAGTGTTATGCGTAAAAGTTCAATGTCTCCGCGAAGCGACCCAACACCAAACAGCTGGCCCAGCGCCGTTGCAGCGAACCCGAAATGCGTCGGTGAGGAGAGGTGGTGTGGGGGGAAAAAGCTGAGGGGGGCTGGGGTGGCGGAAAAAAAGAGAGGGAAGTATTTTATCGCAAAAATAGACGCAAAAAGACACCGTCCTTATCTGTGCGGCTTTTCCCCCTCCATTTGCCCTCTGCGTTCGTCTTCAGCGGCGGCGGCGGCGGGGAGGGGCGGCGGCTCGTCATGCACAGCCCGCAGAATTGTTGTTTATTGCCAATATTTTTCCGGGTCTGATTTTTAGCGGCGGAGGTTCATGGAGACGGCGGGCAAAAGGACAGCGGATTTATGTGAGGATTGGGGTCAGAAAATGTAGAGCGAAGCACAAACAGAACGGGTTATTAACCCAGTCTCTGAACCCGGGTTGTGATTTCTCTGCGAAAAATAATATTTTTGATTCTTCCGGAAGGTTTTGTTTTCCCCCGAAAAACGACAAGAGGAAATGGCGTAAATTTGTGGG